TAACAACAACCTCCCACTACTCCAGTCATGAAATTAAAAGACGCCTGCTTCTTGGGAGAAAAGCAGTGACAAACCTAGACAGCATCTTAAAAAGCAGAGACATCACCTTGCCGACAAAGGTCCGTACAGTTAAAGCTATGGTTTTCCCAGTAGTGATGTATGGAAGTGAGAGCTGGACCATAAAGAAGGCTGATTGCCGAAGAATGGATGCTTTTGAATTATGGTGCTGGAGGAGACTCTTGAGAGTCCCATGGACTGCAAGAAGATCAAACCTCTCCATTCTGAAGGAAATCAGCCCTGAGTGCTCACTGGAAGGACAGGTCCTGAAGCTGAGGCTCCAATACTTTGGCCACCTCATGAGAAGAGAAGACTCCCTGGAAAAGACCCTGATGTTGGGAAGGATGGAGGGCACAAGGAGAAGGGGACGACAGAGGACGAGATGGTTGGACAGTGTTCTTGAAGCTACCAGCATGAGTTTGACCAAACTGCGGGAGGCAGCGGAAGCCAGGAGTGCCTGGCGTGCTCTGGTCCATGGGGTCACGAGGAGTCGCACACGACTAAACGACTAAACAACAACAACAACTCCAGTGTGAAAGAGTTTAGGAAAACTATAACTGGGTTCCACAAATCTTGGCTGGATGTTGTAGCCAATCCTTGTTTCCAATAGCCAGCAAGGCTTGGCTGTCTCACTTCCTGCACCCCAGAGAGAACACGTTTTATGTTGTTAAGGTAATACTTCCCTTATGAAGACAGGAGTGCCTGGCGTGCTCTGGCCCATGGGGTCACGAAGAGTCGGACACGACTAAACGACTAAACAACAACAACTTCCCTTATCTTCTTGCACGCACCCCTCAGCATGTAGTGCAAGATAACTTTCTTTTCTTTCTGTAAATTTTTATTTATAATTTTCAGTTATATACATTTCAATAGTTTTACACTCATTTTAACATTTTGAAACTCCCTTTCCCCTCATTCTGCGGTTCCTTAAATTTATTCTTTGAACTTCCTGCATGTTCCAAATTTATTCATCTACTTTAAATATATACTCTTATAAAACTGCAGGTTATTACAATAATCCTGCCAGTGTTCTTGTCTGTTTACAACTTGTTTGTAAATATTCTATAAACCATTTCCATTCTTTTATAAAAAAAGTTTGTTATCTTGATTTCTTATTTTTCCAGTAAGTTTTGCCATTTTTGCATATTCTATCAGTTTTTGTATCCATTCTTCTTTTGCCGTACTTTCTCCTTCTTTCCATTTTTGGGAAAATAACATTCTTGCCGCTTTGGTCAGGTACATGAATAAATTTCTATACAGTTTGGGTAGTTCTGCCCCTGCAATCTTCCCAAAAGGAAGATAACTTTCACAAGCAAATAACCCACAACTTGCATGGGTGATTAAACCGGGGACTTTAAAAAATAATAATTTAAAATTGCCCGCTTCCCATGGTAAGCTCTTGGGGGAAAAGGGAACAATTTAGTGCTGCCGTTTAGTGCGGCAAAGATGCTCAGCAAATTTATTAATGCTTTGGAAACAGATAATCAATCCTCCAGGTCAGAGATGAAAGGGACTGGTAGCAGGGCTTAAGTTGAAAACCTTGAGGAGGTCACTTAGTATTGGCTGAGAATTATGTGGCCTCACTTCCTCCAGATGAAAGTTCTGTCATTCCGACGAATGCTTTTTAATCTTTACCCTCAACCTCATTTAACTAAAAAGTCTTGTAAACTGAGTAAAGGGAATTAACCCCCCACCCCGCCTTGGCTGTCATAACTGATGCGCTTTCCTGCGAAATATTGGCTTGCTTTGCATTCAAAAATAGCAACCTGCCTGGTGCAGGGACTCACTATTCAATCCCATGGAGCAGGAGTGGGGGAGCCTGTGGACTTGCAGATGTTTTGCTGGACTGCAGCACCCCACCGTTCCTGGCCATTGGCTGTACTGGATTGGGCAGCTGGAAGTTGGCATTTAGCAACATCTGGAAGGCCGCAGGTTCCCCATTCCAGCTGCAGGATCAATGAGGGCTGGTAAAAGAAAGGACTTCTTCATGTAATGCATGGTTAAACTATGGAACTCACTGCCACAGGAAAAAGTGATGGCCACTAACTGGGATAATAAGAATAATTTATTATTTTTACCCCACCCATCTTGCTGGGTTTCCCCAGCCCCTCTGGGCGGCACCCAGTCGAATATTAAAAACACAATACAGCATTAAACATTAAAAACTTCCCTAAACAGGACTGCCTTCAGATGTCTTTTAAAAGTAGGATAGCTTTTAATGTTTGATGCATTACTGTATTTTAATATTTTGTTGGAAGCCACCCAGAGTGGCTGGGGAAGCGCAGCCAGATGGGTGGGGTATAAATAATAAATAATAATAATTATTATTATTATTATTATTATTATTATTATTATTATTAGCTGGACTGGATGGGCAACTGGCCTGATCCTGCAGGCTCTTCTTGTGTCCTTAAGGAGGAATGACTTGATCCTCATGCCTGCATGCTGCTGCACATCTTTCTCTGAGGGCGCATGGTGTGTCTAAACCCAGAAGACTGAAAGACACCGGGTCATACTGAGTCTCAGGCTTTACACTTTCTCTCCATAAGTCCTATCAGCTCAATCATCTCCCCCTCTCTGTTTTATTCATCATATGCCTAACAAGAGACACAAGGGTGGAGGCTCAGGCTGGGGGGGGGGGGGAGAAGGGAAGGAGAAAATGCAAAACTGATTGCGACTGAAAACAGATAACTGTGCCATATATATTATGCATTATTTTTAGAAGGAGAGAAAGATTGCACGAGAAATCTTCACTTTCATGGCATTCCAAGCAGACAGTGGCAATTTGCTTCTGAGGCTACCTGCATTCTTTAGTTAACAATGGCTGTAGATTAAAGACTATTTACAGGCTCGGTATATATTGCCGTGGTTGGTGGAAAGGAGGACAGAATAAATTATGGGCTACAGCAAATCGTGTGGAAAACTGGCTCTCTTGTGTTTAAGGCCGTCATTTCTTTCAGAATAGCCTTTGGGAGCAGCGACGGACTAAACTAAAAAGAAGACCTCTGTGAGATTTATAAGGCTGATAGAGAAAAGGATTGCCAGCTTCCTTCTCCCACCTGTGTGACTGTGCCACCAGTGTGGTGTAGTGGTTAAGAGTGGTAGTCTCATAATCTGGGGAACCGGGTTCGCGTCTCCGCTCCTCCACATGCAGCTGCTGGGTGACCTTGGGCTAGTCACACTTCTTTGAAGTCTCTCAGCCCCACTCACCTCACAGAGTGTTTGTTGTGGGGGAGGAAGGGAAAGGAGAATGTTAGCCACTTTGAGACTCCTTAAAGGGAGTGAAAGGCGGGATATCAAATCCAAACTCTTCTTCTTCTTCTTCTAAGCATCCTTGTGACAGGCACAGGTTCAAGGGGAAAGGGTTTCTCCAGGACTGAGGTACAGTCATGGGAAAAGGCTTCCCCTACGAAGGAACCGCTAGCGGGGCATGCATTTTCACACATAAAGCTTGTTTTCATTTTATTTACAGTGGTACCTCGGGTTAAGTACTTAATTCGTTCCGGAGGTCCGTTCTTAACCTGAAACTGTTCTTAACCTGAAGCACCACTTTAGCTAATGGGGCCTCCTGCTGCCGCTGTGCCGCCGGAGCCCGATTTCTGTTCTCATCCTGAAGCAAAGTTCTTAACCTGAAGCACTATTTCTGGGTTAGTGGAGTCTGTAACCTGAAGCGTATGTAACCTGAGGTGCCACTGTATTTACTGCGTTCATATCCCACTGTAATGAGTATGGGTTGCTCATGCGTAAGTTGCCGCCTCTCCTGGCTATGTTGCCTTGTTTAAACCTTTCTGTCTGGACAGCCCTTCACTTCGTGGCTGCCTCAGTCGCTAGCAGAATCCATCAGTGGGCGTTTCTTAAACCTTTTCCAACATAAAAGTTGTTTGACGCCAAGTCTCCTCCTACTCTCCCTGCGCGGAAGCCTTCTGCGCAGGGAGGGCGTGGGTAGCGGAGGACCCGTGCTCTCCCCGCTGGTGTCCGGTGAAGAGTCCTGGAGCCCTCTCGCCGATTCCCCCATCTGCCCCCCTTTATCTCTGGTGTTGCGCTGATTTGCTTCCCCATCTGCTGAGCTGCCTCTCTCCCTGCTGGGCCCTTCTCCAGCATCATTTGAGAGCCTCCCCTCCGCCTCTAGCTCCGATGTCAGTTCCCTGACACCCACCTTTTTCTCCAAGGAGCTCAAGATGGTGTACTCCTCTCCTTATTTAATCCACAAAAACAACCCTATGAGGTAGGTCACCCACTCCACTTCATGGCTGAGTGGGGATTCGAACCCTCGTCTCACAGACCCTAGTCCAACTCTCAAACCGCTACACCACACTGGCTATCGGTTGTCCGTATCATCTTACCAAGTAGCAAGGAGAATTGAGGTTTCCTGGGAAAATAAGGTAAGGGCAAGCATGCTGGATCACATCTCATGGTGACCGGTCCATTATTAGCAGGACCAGCCCACCCATGAGGCAATCTAAGGCAGTCGCCTCAGGTGGCAGAATTTCACGAGACAGTGCCCTTGCCTGCCACTGCCATAGAAGCAAGGAGAAGTGGCGGTGGCCGCTGCCGAGATCTCATGAGAGTTCTATGAGATCTCACAAGATCTTCTGAGATCTTGGCAGCTCCAGTAAGTGAGCCATCCGAGGGGAGAGGGGGCGCCTTCCCATACCCCACCCCTGAGCAACCTCTCTCCCCATCACCAGATCTGCTCCAGAGGGTTGGGGAAAACCCTTGAACAGAATTAAGGGGAGACACAGAGGGTGGGAAATGTTCAGTTGTCCAAGGAGACTTCCTTATGCTGACAGAACATTTGCCATTGTGCTACATTCAATACAACCCCCAGTATCTCCAAATTTCACTATTAGATTTTTTTGGAAAAAAGAAGAAAAGAACAACAAGCCTCAATTTATTTCTCCTAAGGAACCTGCCATTTTCCAAACAGCGGTCACTAATCTCATCCAGCGCTTTGAAACCGCAGTATCCAGCTATCGTTTGGCTAATCTCAATTTCCAAGCTAGCATGTCCTCTATCATCTCCGACAAAGATGTTCAGGCCGGATTAAATCTGACAGGTCAGCATCAGACAATTTGTGCTGGCCTCACATGTGGCTTTCTCATTTATTTATTTTTATTATTATTTTAAGATACGGCCTCACTCCCCGGGGCCTTCGCATCATTTAGTGTTCAAACGCAGCTACATAAGAGCAAGGGAAATGTGTTTGAAGAAGGAGGGAAATCTGTCGTCTGGTGTATGTTACTCTTTCTTCTTGTTAAACTCCCCACCTCCTGAAAAGCAAAAGTGAAACATATCTGCAGTGCCACCTCTTGGTTACCGAAGAGCATTTCCAGGGACAAGTGCAATTTTGCAGGGGCTTTATGGACACACACGCAAACACACACACAAATATAACAATCTTATTTTAATACACAAACGGCACAGAATGTCTGTGAGAGATGGACTTATTTAATAGACAGAAACCAATTTCCAAGGCTGTGGGGTTGTTGTGTTTCCCTTTGCTCAAAGACAGTATCAAAGTATCAAGCAATCCCGTAGACTGGGAAGTTATTTTCACAGCTTGGTTCCCCAGGTGTTATGCACCTGATCCCACGGCCTGTAGATTCTCTGCAGACCCCAAAACCAGCCCTATCATTAGGCAGCATGATGAAGAAATGAGCTTTAAAGAACCCGCAAATCGGTTGATCAATGGTGCCCACAAAGCCCCTTTCAAAGTACAGGGCAACACACTGCTCTGAAATTGGCTTCTGAAGGTGCCTGGAATCACTATTTTCTAATCCAGTTGTTGGATCGTCAGACACTCAGTTCAAAATGCTGAGGAAAAGAGCAGGAAAGGTCACCCAATCCCATTACAACACCAGGTGATTGACAGGTGGGGAGCTTCACTTGCCTGCCAGGCTTGGCCTGCGAGGGGCGGGCCTCTCACCCCTGGTGTAGAGCAACACTGGGCTAGCTGGACCAATGGTCAGACTTCCTATACAAAGTTCTCCAGGGAGGAACCAGTGGTGATCACCAGGTTTAGCTCTAGGTTTTGGAGGGTCCTTGGGCGAGACGCCCTCCACAACATCCCCTTCTTCAGTGAGTCTACCTCCTCACTCCAGCAAGTGCAGATAACTCATCAGTGGGTCTGTGTTGGGGTTACGGACCCTTGACTGGCCTAGTGGTGTGGCAGTTAGAGGGAGGCCAGGGTGACCCTGGCCCAGTCACTGCCTCTCAGCCTAAAATACCTCACAGCGTAGCTGTCTACCGACTCCATCTGGTATGACAGCTGATACCCTACCTGCCCATGTCCTGTCTTGCCAGAGTGGTGCATGCTCTGGTTATTTCCCGCTTGGACTACTGCAATGTGCTCTTTGTGGGGCTACTTTTGAAGATGACTTGGAAACTATAACAAATCCAGAATGCGGCTGCCAGATTGGTGACTCGGAACGGCTACCAGGACCACATAACACTAGTCCTAAAATATCTACATTGGCTCAATGTACATTCCGAGCACAATTCCAGGTCCTGGTGCTGACCTTTAAAGCCCTAAAAGGCCTTGGGCCTGTATACTGGAAGGAACATTTCCACCCCCATCGTCCAACCTGGACACTGAGGTCCAGCTCCAAGGGCCTTCTGGCGGTTCCCTCACTGCAAGAAGTGAGGTTACAGGGAACCATGCAGAGGGCCTTCTCGGTAGTGGTGCCCGTCCTGTGGAATGCCCTCCAGTCAGGTATCAAGGAAATAAACAACTACAGTGGTACCTGGGTTCTCAAACTTAATCCATTCCGGAAGTTGGTTCCAAAACCAAAGCGTTCCAAAACCAAGGCATGCCTTCCCATAGAAAGTAATGTAAAATTGATTAATCTATTCCAGACTTTTAAAAACAACCCCCAAAACAGCAATTTAACATGAATTTTACTATCTAATGAGACCACTGATCCATAAAATGAAAGCAAAAAACAATGTACTGCAGTCAGACAGTCAATCAGTCAGTAGCTGAACTTTGTTCCACACAGTCACAAAAACAAAGCAAAAAGAGCCGCAAAAACAAAAACGCAAAATAAATAGCAAAAACAGACAGATCTCAGCTTAACACTCAAAACGAAAGTGTGGCACTCAAAACAGAAGTGTAACACTCAAATCGGAAGCATAACACTCAAAATGGAGCACGTTCAGCTTCTGAACAAAGTTCGCAAACCAGAACACTTATTTCTGGGTTTGCAGTGTTTGGGTTCCAAGGCGTTTAAGAACCAAGGTGCCACTGTATCTGACTTTTAGAAGACATCTGGAGGTAGCCCTGTATTGGGAAGTTTTTAATGTTCAATGTTTTACTTTGTTTGAGGTTTAATTTGCTGGAAGCCACCCAGAGCGGCTGGAGCGACCCAGTCATATGGGTGGCATATAAAGAATAAACTGTTGTTGTTGATGTTGTTGTTGTTATATGAGCAGCGAGAAAGAACCATTTATACTACCTTAAGCTCCTTAGAGGAAAATGTGGGATAGAAACGCAATAAGGAAATGAAGTAGATGCTGAACTTTGGACCTTCAGCACACAGATGCTCTCTCTCTGACCTATGGCCCGTCCCCAAGAAATGCAACTTGTGACACATACAACCTTGAACATACTTCAGAATCCTCTGTAGCGTATCAGGGTTTCTGTATTCGTTGTGCAGGGGTCCTTCCACAGACAAGCTGATACGGAAAGGGGATTTTGAAGGTAGAACATTTGACAGCCGCAGTCCTAGGCATTGCAGAGTTGCAGATTTCGAACAACTGATTGGTTCCGGCCAGTTAGTTACTGAAGTTTTTCTCCCACTAACTGTATTGATTGAAAAGACAAACAGGAGGGGGGGCTACAGATAATACAAACTGCAGCACATGTAATGATCTAGCTCCAGAGCTACAATTAGTTATTTCAAAAGATGTATGCATCTTAATTTTAGCAGAACGATTTTTATTCCCTGTTCAGAGTTATGGAAATGTTATTCATGAAGCGTTCGGAGCCCTCGCCTTCTGTTGTTCCTGCTTTTATTTACATATCATTATAATCCCCTCGTTTTTAAACAACAACCCCCCCAAAAAATTGAAGCTTATTTCAACTCTGAATTCCACCCTTAAATGAAATAAATTGCTGGTGTTTATTTTCCCTTTGATCTGCCTTTAGTTTATGGTTCAATCCCTTTCTTCTCGCAGCAAAAACAAGGGAGAATCTTGCAGCCCTGAAGACTAATTTATTTATTGTGGTGAAAGCTTTCGCGGGCCAAAATCCACATTGCCCGATACATAAAGCAGTCACTTAGGTGGGCCAATGTGAGCCCTGTGCACAGAGGGAAGAAAGGAAATACATGTTCACGAAAGGAGGGCAAAAAAACAACAGACAGCCGTAGGCATTGTCAAGTTCCTGTAGACACTACAAAGGAATACAAGATGCAGTCAAATGAATTCTAGTAGGAGGGTGCCAAAGAATTCAGCCAAAACACGAAAGGTTGACTCTTACCAACAGAGATGCTGCAGTCTGTGTTCATCCTATATCATATGCAAGCAGGTCGGAATTCACTTTGCTTCTAAAAAAGTATTTTGGGTCCAAGAAGAATATCTACCTGAATAGTTCATAGCTCAGTCTCTTGACCACTAGAAGGTACGTTCCCTTGAGGCATGGCCAGCAGCAGCATTCTTTTTTTATTTTTATTTTTATTTATTTTTTTAATGATATTTATTAAAGTTTCAATAAATGATTAAACATAAAACATAAAAAAGAAATACACAATTCAAAATATACAATGCATAATCTAAAAGAAAGAAAAAATAAAGAAACAAGAAAACAAAAGACAAAAAAAAAGTAGAACAATTAAAAACAATATCACCTTTTCGTCTCCATTTTTAAATTTACTTATTTTCTGGACCTCCTCGTACCTCCCTCTTTTGTATTCCAGTTCAAATTGTTTGTCCAGCAATTTCTTTCCCTCTTTTTTTAATCCCAATCTTACTCTTAATATAATATAACATTAAAATTTTACCTTTTAAAAACCAAATTTCCATTTCCTTAAACTTTTTTAATCCTAATCCTTAATCTTAATCTATCCATAATTTTAAATCCTAGACAGCTGGAAGCCACTTATTTTTAACCCAACATCACTCTAACATTCTTTAATTTTGCAATGTTTCGGCAGATAGTCTTTGAATTTCTTCCAATCTTCCTCCACCAACTCTTCTCCCTGATCACGGATTCTACCAGTCATTTCCGCCAGTTCCATATAGTCCATCAGTTTCATCTGCCATTCCTCCAGTGTGGGAAGCTCTTGTGTCTTCCAATACTTTGCAATGAGTATTCTTGCTGCTGTTGTTGCATACATAAAGAAAGTTCTATCCTTTTTTATCACCATTTGGCCGACTATGCCCAGGAGAAAGGCCTCTGGTTTCTTGGGAAATGTATATTTGAATACCTTTTTTAATTCATTATATATCATTTCCCAGAAAGCCTTAATCTTTGGGCATGTCCACCAAAGATGAAAAAATGTACCTTCAGTTTCTTTACACTTCCAACATTTATTATCGGGCAAATGATAGATTTTTGCAAGCTTGACTGGGGTTATGTACCACCTGTATATCATTTTCATAATATTCTCTCTTAGGGCATTACATGCCGTAAATTTCATACCTGTGGTCCATAACTGCTCCCAGTCAGCAAACATAATGTTGTGTCCAACGTCTTGTGCCCATTTAATCATAGCAGATTTTACCGTTTCATCCTGAGTGTTCCATTTCAGCAGCAAGTTATACATTCTTGACAAATTCTTAGTTTTGGGTTCTAACAGTTCAGTTTCTAATTTTGATTTTTCCACCTGGAAGCCAATTTTCTTGTCCAATTTAAATGCCTCCATTATCTGAAAGTAATGAAGCCAGTCTCGCACTTTGTTTTTTAGTTTTTCAAAACTCTGCAATTTCAGTCTATCTCCATCTTGTTCCAAGATTTCCCAATATTTCGGCCATTTGACCTCCATATTGAGCTTTTTCAAGGCTTTCGCTTCCATTGGTGACAGCCACCTTGGAGTTTTGTTTCCTAATAGATCCTTGTATCTTATCCAAACATTAAACAGCGCTTTCCTGACAATATGGTTTTTAAATGCTTTATGTGCTTTGACCTTATCATACCATAGATATGCATGCCATCCAAATACATTGTTAAAACCTTCTAGATCCAAAATGTCAGTGTTTTCAAGAAGCAGCCAATCTTTCAACCAGCAAAAGCTGCTGATTCATAGTAAAGTTTAAGGTCTGGCAGGGCAAATCCACCTCTTTCCTTTGCATCTGTTAGTATTTTAAATTTTATTCTGGGCTTCTTGCCCTGCCAGACGAATCTAGAAATATCTTTCTGCCACCTATTGAAACAGTCCATTTTGTCCACAATTTGCAAAGTTTGAAACAAGAACAACATTCTAGGCAATACATTCATTTTTATCGCAGCAATACGGCCCAGCAGTGAAAGCTTCAAATTTGACCAAATTTTTAAATCTTTTTTCACTTCCACCCAACATTTTTCATAATTATCTTTAAATAAGTTCCCATTTTTTGCTGTCATGTTGATCCCCAGGTATTTAACTTTCTTAACCACTGTTAAGCCTGTCTCATTCTGAAACCTCTCTCTCTCAATCGGTGTTAGATTTTTCTCTAAAACCTTAGTTTTTAACTTGTTCAATTTAAATCCTGCAACTTGACCAAATTCTTGAATCAATTCTAAAACTCTTTTAGTACTAGATTCTGGCTCCTGTGACGTCAATACTAAATCATCTGCAAATGCTCTCAATTTGTACTGTTTAGTTCCGACCTGTATACCTTTAACCAACTGGTCCCTTCTAATCATGTTCAGCAAAACCTCCAGGACCGAAATAAAAAGAAGTGGGGAAATTGGGCAGCCTTGTCGTGTCCCTTTTTCAATTTTAAGTTCTTCCGTCACCACATTATTTACAATTAATTTAGCCTTTTGTTCTGAATAAATTGCACTTATACCATTCTCAAAGCCTTGGCCTACCCCCATGCCCCGTAGATTCTTCTTCATAAAATTCCAAGAAATATTGTCAAAAGCTTTCTCCGCATCCACTTTTTTTATATGCTTTATTGGTTTTAAAAACAAAACAATACAAATACAAAACAATCAACAAAAGACAATCCAAAATCAACACTCATTTTAAAAAAAAAGGATTTAAGTTCACACATAACTAATTCCAACATGACTGTGATTCTAAATTACATTTTTTGATTGAGCACTTAACTTTATCTCTCCTAGGTTATTCGGTTGTGTTAGTTTTGTAAAGTTCTCTTATTTCATGCAGAGGTCAATCCAGGCCTGCCAAAGAATTCAGATTTCTACAACGTTCTTTTAGGTATTCTCTGTAAATATTCCACTCTCTATTGAATATTTGGTCTGTATGGTCTCAGAATCTTGCTAACTCTGCATATTCTAACATTTTGTTCTGCCAATTTAATTAAGAGGCAATTAGAATTTCTTCTGCTGCTACCACATGCATAAAAATTCTCCTTGCACTTTTTGGAATTTCTTTACTCATCATGCCCAGCAGCAAGGCTTCAGGCTTCTTAGGGAAAGAACATTGAAACATTTTTTTAAGCTCGTTATATAGTGTTCCCCAAAATTCCCCTTTTTTTGCAATTCCACCACATGTGGATCATAGTGCCTTCCGTCTCCCTGCATCTCCAAAAGACGCTCGACCTGGATTTGTAAATTTTGACCAATTTTACAGGTATTAAGTACCATCTGTAGAGGATTTTCATGAAATTCTCTTTCAAATCATAGCATGCAGTGAATTTCAGGTCCTCCCTCCATAACCTTTCCCATGATTCCATTTGGATGTTATAATCAAAATCTCTGGCCCTTTGTATCATAACAGATTTTACTTCTTCCTCCTCGACCTCCCAGTCAAGAAGTCTGTACATTTTAGAGAGTGGTTTTGTGTGTGTTTGAATTAGATCTTTCTCAAGTCTTGAAATTTCTGTGGAAAAGTCTTTCTGTTTGTCCTTCTGAAATGTTTCATGTAGTTGGAAATATTGCAACCAATCAGTCAAATAGGTCTAAATTTCTTTCTTTAATTTCTTAAAAATTTAGCCTGTTTTCTTTTTCCTCCAATAGATCTTTATAAGTTGCTCAATTACCTCGCATGTTTGTTTGTTTTAACGGAAAATGCTTCTGTCAGGGAAAGCCACCATGGAGTTTTTGGTTCTAGAAAGTCCTTATACTTATCCTAAACCATATAAAACAATTTCCTAACCACATGGTTCAAGAAGCCTTTGTGGACTTCGACCTTCTCATATCCTAGGTAGGCATGCCAGCCATATGTATGATTGAATCCTTCTAGATCCAGCAAGTCAGTATTTTTTAATGTCGGCCATTCCCGGATCCAGGAGAGACAAGCCGCCTCATGATACAGTTTCAGCAGGACAGGGTGGCAACAGCATTCAGCAGGACAGGGTGGCAGCACTTACCTGACCTCCCGTCACTGGCATTGCTGCGGCTTACAGGGAGGGTCAAGGGGACAGTGAGTTTGTTGTTGTTGTTGTTTAGTCATTTAGTCGTGTCCGACTCTTCGTGACCCCATGGACCAGAGCACGCCAGGCACTCCTGTCTTCCACTGCCTCCCGCAGTTTAGTCAAACTCATGCTGGTAGCTTCGAGAACACTGTCCAACCATCTCGTCCTCTGTCGTCCCCTTCTCCTTGTGCCCCCCATCTTTTCCACCATCAGGGTCCTCAGCTTCAGGATCTGTCCTTCCAGTGAGCACTCAGGGCTGATTTCCTTCAGAATGGAGAGGTTGAATCTTCTTGGGAAAAGTTTAAAGACTATTTACAGAAATATTGTAAAATTAATGAATGTTAGAATGATGTTGGATAGAAATTAAGTGGTTTTTAGCTGTAATACTATAAGGGAATACGAAAAATGGATTACTAACAGGTAAAAATTTAATGTTACAATATTTTAAGATTAAGGACTAGGATAAACAAAGAGGGGAAGGATTTGCTGAACTAACAAATTGAACTGGAATACAAAAACGGAGGCGTGAGGAGGTCCGGGAAACAAGCTAATGAAAGATAAGTAACGAAAAGATTGAGTTGTTTTTAACTACTTTTATTTTGTATTTTTCTTTTTTCTTTTTTCATTTTGTAATATCTTGAAAATTTTAATAAATATCTTTTTTAAAAAAAAGAATCTTCTTGCAGTCCATGGGACTCTCAAGAGTCTCCTCCAGCACCATAATTCAAATGCATCAATTCTTTGGCGATCAGCCTTCTTTATGGTCCAGCTCTCACTTCCATACATCACTACTGGGAAAACCATAGTTTTAACTATACGGATCTTTGTTGGCAAGGTGATGGCATGGTGCAAACACTCTGGCAGAGCCAATACAGTGCTCCCATGGGTGTGTTTGCACCATGCTGACCTCCTTGATACCGCCTCCTGTTAAGCTACAGCGATGGAGGTGATGGGAGGTCCAGGAAGCAATAGTGTCCCGCAGGACAAAATGGCCACTAGTCCATTTTGTCTGCTACTAATAACGCTGATTGGTTATAGGTGCAGAACTACCAAAATAAAATAAAAGAATACTTATGTATGCAACAACAGCAGCAAGGATGCTTCTTGCCCAGAGATGGAAAGACGAAGAAGTTCCGACCAGAGAAGAGTGGCAGATCAAGCTGATGGAATATGCAGAAATGGCAAGACTGACGGAAAAAATCAGAAATCAGGAAGACCAAGTATTTTTAAAAAGACTGGAATAACTTTCTAACATATTTGAGAGATCACTGTAAACAGTTGAAATCATTGGCAGGAATACAATGACACCTGTAATGCAACATGAATTTTGGATACTATGATTATATAACAGATAGATTACAGTAGAAGGTGCAGGAATAAAATTTATAATTGGAACCCATGGAGCGAAGGAAGGAGGACTCAAGGTTCAAAAGAACCATTTTCTTTAATGTGTGAAAATGTTAGGTTAGTGGTGTATAACTTTTATGTAAAACTAATTCAAAATTATTTTTAAAATAAAATAAATGATGATTGGTTGTCTTTATTGGGGGGCTTGCATGGGATTGTCCGACTTGAGGTGACAGGACCTGAATGCAAGAACTAAGGCACCCCAGGCCTTTGCTATTTTAAATACTGTGACTGGGATACGAGGGGAGAATGCCAAACCATATATTTGATCATTGGCAGTTTTTACATGACCTCAGTAAAGGCCTTGCCATAATATGTCATAATCGCTTGGGTTTTTAATTTACAAGAGTTTTCAGAGTTTAGCCCAGGAGTGCCATCTACTGGTACATGCAGAAGCTGTGCTCATTACTTTGGCAAAACAAAACGTTCGAGCACATTGAAAATGGGGGTCTATGCACTTATTTGAGGTTGTCACCTCTTTGTATGAGAGAGGGCCTGGGATCAATTACTGGGATCTCTAGAAAAAATATTTCGGGAAGCAGGATGAGATGGGCCTCAGCTCAAGAGTCTGGAAAGCCAATGTCAACCAGAGAAGATAATGCTAGCTGAGTGAAAAGCACCTTCCTTCATAAGCTATCTCACCACTATTGTGGTGGCCTCCAGCTGGACTAATCCCTCACCCGGGGTGGCCCACCCATGAGGTAAACCAAGGTGAGAGGAGCCAGAGAGACAGCAGATTCCGACAAAGATCTTTATTACCCCCTTGTTCCTAATGTAGATCTCCTCTCACCCCTTTTTCCCTAGTGGGGAGTGGGGCGCCATTTTGTGATTCGCCTCAGGTGCCAAAATGTCATGACCAGCCTTGTCCCTCACCATCAACCATGCTGACTGGTAGGGCTGGACAATCTATCAATACATCACCAAAAATCGGTTTCAAGTACACATCGTGGTAACAGTTTCATAATATTCAACATGGTGATATATTGCAAATCGCAATGTGTGTGTGTGCGCTATGTGAAAAAATCATGAGGTGGGGAAAACCGTGAAGCCAGTCACTGCTTTTCTCAGGATTTATGTTGCCCCTGTTGATCTGTACTAAAAAATAACAGTTGTAACACTATGTTAAAGGTAAATAAAAATAAATTAGTTTTAGACCCCTAAGCAGTAGCCGTTTCCAGGACATTGCCCTGTTTGCCTCTCCACTGTTACATCCTTTTTTCAGACATTGTGATATATTGGTGTATCACGATGTTTACTTGGTGATATATCATTATATTGAAAGCCAGACATTGTTCAGACCTACTGAATTGCAGAGCCAGCCCAAGACATTTTGGGACATTTGTCAGGACTGGCAGGAAGCTGACGAGATGATGATATTGCCCTTCATCAACAGTTTTGAACCCTGGTGTCCCAGGTTCTAGTCTCAGACTCCAACCACTACACCACGCTGTCTCCTTGATTTAGTGTCACTGTCTCATTGACTTATTGCCAATGGGCTACAGCCAACGTGAATGGAGCTGCAAATTACAGCCCGCATCATGTCCTTTGAAGTCATGTATACACGCTCTTGAATGTCACACTGACATCGTAAATGGTCGTTGTCCAATTTATCAGGCTGCCGCAGTCATTAAGCGTGTCATCAGTGTAGTCGGAAAGAGCAGTAAAAGTGGGGTTAATGAGCAATCATCCCTTCTAAGTAGGGTGACTTTAACATCCTGGTGGGAACAGGAACATCTAATGGGCTCCGACCGATTGGAACGTTTTTCTGATGCGGACTAATAACTCATATTACAAGGAACGTGCAAGATTATTGCATAAAATGACAAGGAAAACTGAAGAGGTCTTGGCACCCCCGAGACCGTGCACGAGTCTAGAATACTCCTCTCCCAAAGTTGAATAGTCACGAGATGTTTTGCATATTTCAAGATTTGCCAAACGTTGTTTGCATTTGGCGTCTGATAACATCTGATTTCAAGGTTCGAATACTCACTGGATGCTCTGCCTATTTCAATATTTGCCAAATATTGCCTGTATTTGGCAGCCAGTTCCGTTTCATTCCATGGCTTGATATTTGACAGTCGGTGTTTGACAAGGCTTGGCATGTAACGCTGAGCTTGATAGTTGGCGGCACGCGGTGGCACTTAGTATCTGACAGCCGACCTCGTAAGACTTCATACCGGATAAAAATTGCAAAGCAATACGACATATGGGGAATGTGAGCATCCATTAATCTGGAACACAGGGGGGTGCTTTTGTTCACAAGTCCTTTTTCATATATGCCAGGAAAAAACGCCAGACAAGAACAATACTCTACAGTGCTTTGGGGTTCAAAGGGCTTCATGCACATTATTACCGTGCTGGAATCCAGGACTGATTCTGCTTCTTTCAAGGCTGATTTAAGCAAGGAGAGGTGACCTGTGGCTGCCAGAAAAGGGCTCTGAGAGCACGTGTGAATCCATGATTGCCATGTTGGCAACCCCTGTGCAATTTTTACAGCAGCCTCGTAAGGTAGTTCAGAACTATTCTCTTCATATCGCAATGTGGAGGGTGCATGTTTCTGTGTCACAGACGGGCTGGATGCAGAGGAATGGTGCTACGACAAGCTCCCTTCCCTTGCTGCTCTCCCATAACCAGAAGAGGCATGGAAAGGGCGGAGCAGAGGTTGTCTGCATGCAGGCACAGTCTCCGATTGCTTGGGGAAAGCCCTGGTGACGAGGCAGAGACTTTCAGTGTTGGCAACTGATTCTCATGGAGGAAGACCCCCGCGAATGAGCTGCTTTCTTCATTAGGCCCATAGCTGTCAACTTACAGATTTGAAAATAAGGGACCAGCAGCCTCAAAAATAAGGGATCAGCACAGGTATGTTCAACTTCGGAGCCCCTCCGAGCCAAAGGCAGAAAGCCCAGCCAGCAGCCAAACGAAACCTCAAGCAGTGGTTCCCACAGCACAGCAACCCGGCAAAGGGGATGCAGCAAGGGAAACCACTGTCATCTCTCCGCTGGGAAGCGCTGAGCAAAGGCGAGTCCCCAGGCAACGCGGCCGATTTGATCGGCACAAGGCATGCAAGCTCCACCCCCCAGTCGTTCGTGAGCAACGCAGCCAAGCAACACAGTTGGAGCCTCCCTGGCCAGCAGGAAGGGAGGGAGAGGAGCTGCTTCCTTTGAAACCCGGGAAATTTACGGGACATCATCAATAAGGGACAGCAGCGGGACACAGCGCTGGGATAAGGGACTTTCCTGCCAAATAAGGGACGGTTGACAGCTATGATTAGGCCTGACACTCAAACTAAGTCTGTAGCGATTGTGTTTTTTGAACTGTGAGATTACTGACCAACACGCTCCCGTGAGACTTGCCTACGGTCTCACAGCAAGCTCATCTTTATTTGCAGGTGCTATAAAATGCTAAGGAAGCTCTCCACATTCTCACCTTCTAGAGCAAGGATGTGGAACCTCAGTCCAGGAGGATGAATGGGCTACTCCAGGTCTCTCTCCCTAAGCAAAACCCCACACCCAACTTGCTTAGTACCCACCTCAGTGGTTTTTGCCTGACTGGAATGTGCCCTTGAGCTCCAATACTGCTAATCTACTGTATAAAGGTAACAATCACAATTGTCGCTCTGACCACTTTTGCCTCTCGCCCTGTCCACCAACTTTGAGGGCGTCAGGAATTTTACTTCTTGAAATCTAGGCCAGTTGCCAATTCTCAGCCTAAACGATCTCGCAGGGTTATTGTGGGATGAAATGTGGGAGAACGACATACACCTTGAGTTCCTTAGAGGAAAAGATGGGGTATAAACGCAGCAAATAAAATTGTACCCCTTCCTTTTTTCAAGAGCGCAAAAGCGGTCCAGTGATCCACATGAACTGGGATCACAACCTAGAACATACCAGCACTCTCCTGAGGCTGCAAAGAGCAAGGGAAAATGGACCTTGGAGGCCATGCTTTCTCTCAAGGAAAAAGGTAAAGGGACCACTGACTGTTAGGTCCAGTCGTGGCTGACTCTGGGGTTGTGGCGCTCATCTCGCTTTATTGGCTGAGGGAGCCGGCGTACAGCTTCCGGGTTATGTGGCCAGCATGACTAAGCCGCTTCTGGAGAACCAGAGCAGCGCACGGAAACGCTGTTTACCTTCCCGCCGGAGCGGTACCTATTTATCTACTTGCACTTTGACATGCTTTCAAACTGCTAGGTTGGCAGGAGCAGGGACCGAACAATGGGAGCTCACTCCGTTGTGGGGATTCGAACCGCCAACCTTCTGATCAGCAAGTCCTAGGCTCTGTGGTTTAACCCACAGTGCCACCCATGTCCCTCTCTCATGGAAACTTACTGTCTATTGTCGTCGTCCTCTCATGCATCCAAAGAAACCCAGGCTTCCTTGAAAACTTCGACGAATGTCACTCATCGAAACATATCTTTCTGCTTCTAGCTCCACCAAGGAGCTAGGAAATTTTCAACAGGGCGACATCTGGCTTCACCAGAGAGCTCTTGGCCCAGACATTTGAATCCGCAAAGGCTTCGCTGAGCTAATTATCCCAAACCTACCGCTTTGCTGGGAACACATCATGTCGCGAGCAAAATAAAATATGCCTTTTTAAGAAAAGAAAAGCCAAGGCCTTTTTGCGTGCGCATACTTGTGCGGTATCAAAGAAGCAAGTTTTTTTTTATTTTTTTTTGCTTAGACAAAGGGGGGATGGGGTTGGAAGCTTAAGACAGTTTAACATCACAGATGGTTCTCTCTACAGGAGACTCCAACACAGATATTTTGTGTGTTAAGTAAGAATTCATGAAAATATAAGCCTTTATGGATTTCTGTGATCACTTCACAGCTGTGGATTTAAAGCATTCTGTTTATGGGGAGATCTAAGGGTATTTTCTTTGTCCATCGAGTTTTGAAAACTTAAGATGCAGGATAGTCCAATGGGGTTTTTGAAGATTCGAGGTGGAGAGAATTGACTTTGATTTTTTGTATTGTTGGTCTTTGACACCTTGACTCAAAGATAGACTGCAGAAGGTACTGTCAACCCCATTTTCCTTCTTTGCTTAGAGCTCCCTCCCCTCCCCACCCCCTTTTTTTAAAGAGACAGACAGAGAATGAAGGAAAAACAAAGGAGGACAAAGGTCTCTTTTGAGAGAAAGAATTTAAGCAAAGGCAGCTTTTGTCACTCCTGCATGACTGACAGCTGGAACACACTCAAATTCCTATTGACTGTACAATTTTTAAAGGTAGAGAAGCCTTAGTGTTATCCCTTGTAACAGCCTTCCCTAACCTGGCATGTTAGAACTACAGTTAGAACTGGATATGGAACAACTGATTGGTTCAAAACTGGGAAAGGAGTATGGCAAGGCTGTATATTGTCTCCCTGCTTATTTAACTTATGCAGAACTCATCATGCGAAAGGCTGGGCTGGATTAATCCCAAACCGGAATTAAGATTGCCTGAAGAAATATCAACAACCTCAGATATGCAGATGACACAACCTTGATGGCAGAAAGTGAGGAGGATTTAAAGAACCTTTTAATGAGGGTGAAAGAGGAGAGCGCAAAATATGGTCTGAAGCTCAACATCAAAAAAACAAAGATCATGGCCACTAGTCCCATCACTTCCTGGCAAATAGAAGGGGAAGAAATGGAGGCAATGAGAGATTTTACTTTCTTGGGCTCCATGATTACTGCAGATGGTGACAGCAGCCACAGAATTCAAAGACGCCTGCTTCTTGGGAGAAAAGCAATGAGAAACCTAGACAGCATCTTAAAAAGCAGACATCACCTTGCCAACAAAGGTCCGTATAGTTAAAGCTATGGTTTTCGCAGCAGTGATGTATGGAAGTGAGAGCAGGACCATAAAGAAGGCTGATCGCTGAAGAATTGATGCTCTTGAATTATGGTGCTGGAGGAGACTCTTGAGAGTCCCATGGATTGCAAGAAGATCAAACGTATCCATTCTGAAGGAAATCAGCCCTGAGTGCTCACTGGAAGGACAGATCGTGAAGTTGAGACTCCAGTACTTTGGCCACCTCATGAGAAGAGAAGGCTCCCTGGAAAAGACCCTGATGTTGGGAAAGATGGAGGGCACAAGGAGAAGGGGACGACAGAGGACGAGATGGTTGGACAGTGTTCTCGAAGCTACCAGCATGAGTCTGACCAAACTGCGGGAGGCAGTGGAAGACAGGAGGGCCTGGCGGGCTCTGGTCCATGGGGTCACGAAGAGTCGGACACGACTAAACGACTAAACAACAATATAAGCAGGCTGGCTGAACCCTTCAGTTCAGTTCTGTTCTGGCCTGTGAATAAACAACAGCTGTTTGAAGAATCGCTGTGTCGTCTGATATGTTTAACCACAACTTAACATGCACCATTCCAAATAAACTGATCCGGACAGAACAAATGCATATAAATATCTGCAGCGCCAGTTACCGTATTTCCATCGAACCTGCGCCTCTTTTTTTTTTAAAAAAAAGTCCCGCCATCCAATCATTGCCGTTCCAACGACTCTGCCCTCAGACGTTCACGCAATACTTAAGCCCCGCCCCCATACCGCCCCCGCTCTCCCACACACCACCTACCTCACCTCGAACTGCGCATGTGCGTTTCCCGCGCCGCCGTTCCGCCTCCCCCGCCTCCCACAGTCTACCTTTCCTCGCGCCGGCCGAAGCGCCCTGCGCGTGCGCCCTGAGCATTCCCTCCTCCGAAGTTTCGCGAAGGGTCCCCGCCTCCCGCGCCGAAGCTTCCGCCCGGCTTTTTCCGGAAAGAGCGCGCGAGAGCCTCTTCCTTTCCCGTCAGCTCAGCGGCGGCTTCTCTTCGGCTCCCTCTCCGCTCGCAACCGCCGGCTCCTTCCTCGTCGCTTCTCAGCCATGGCTCTGCTGTGCTACAACCGGGGCTGCGGGCAGCGCTTCGACCCCGAGGCCAACGTGGACGGTGAGGAATAATAGGATATTATTCTATTACAATGGTATCTTAGCTTTTCTGCTCTCCACTCCGCCCTCACAACCACCCCGTGAGGTAGGCCAGGCTGAGAGAGGGGGGTGGAGAGAGAGAGAGAGAGTTGCCATGCGAGGGAGTGTGGCCTAGTGGTTAGAGCAGTCTCGCTCTATCTCCCTACACACGTCCTCATCCCGTTGCATATACTGTGTGTGTGTGTGTTTATATTGTATTATATATTATTCTCTAAGGAGCTGGGGGGGGCTATGCAGAGCTCCCCCCTCTTGACTATCCTAAGGTCATTCAGGGGAGTGTGGCGTAGTGGTTAGAGCAGTCTTGCTCTCTCTCTCTCCCTACACACAACGTGTGTCCTCATCCTGTTGTGTGTATATGTATGTGTGTGTGTGTGTTGTATTCTGTTATATATTATCTTTTCTCTAAAGAGCTCAAGGTTGGGGGGTACACAGATCTCCCCCCCTTGATTTCATACTCACAACAACCCCGTGAGGTGGGCCAGCCTGAGAGAGAGGAGTGACTGGCCTGAGGCCATGCGAGGGAGTGTGGCCTAGTGCTAGAGCAGTCTCGCGCTCTCTCCCTACACACGTCCTCATGCCGTTGCATATACTCTGTGTGTGTGTGTTTATATTGTATTATATATTATTCTCTAACGAGCTGGGGGGGCTATGCAGAGCTCCCCCCTCTTGACTGGCCTAAGGTCATTCAGGGCAGTGTGGTGTGGTGGTTAGAGCAGTCTCGCTCTCTTTCCCTATACACGTGTGTCTTCATCCCGTATACTGTATATATGTGTGTGTGTTGTATTCTGTTATATATTATCTTTTCTCTAAGGAGCTCAAGGTCGGGAGCTGCACAGATCTCTCCCCCCCGCCCTTGATTTCATACTCACAACAACCCCGTGAGGTGGGCCAGGCTAAGAGAGAGGGAGAGAGGAGTGACTGGCCTGAGGCCATGCAAGGGAGTGTTGCAGCCTCATGCACCTATGCATGTCCTCACCCCCTATTCTATACTTTATAGATATGTGTTTTGTTCATATCCTATCTTTTCTCCAAGGAGCTGAAGGTGGCCTACATGCGTTCCTTCCCTTCCCTTGATTCTACCATCAAAACAAGTGGTTAGAGGAGTCATTGTCTCTCTTCCCCCCCCCCCCAACCTGATGAGTCCTCACCCTCCATGGCCGGGCTGGAATCCCAGCTCCTGTTAGTCCTGGCCAGCATGAGTGGCAGCCCAGGAATGAGGGAAAATTGAGTGTCCTGTTAGGACCAGGCAGATTCAGGGTCAGCTTCTCCCCTCATCATCACCTCCCAGAGTGCCTGGGGCAACCCAGTCAGATGGGCGGTATATAAATAATAAATTATTATTATGAAGCTCATTGGGTGACCATGGAGCATAGGAAGCTGCCTTAAATTGGAACAGACGATTGGGCCATTTAGCTCAGTATCATCTGCACTGACTGCTTACAAACACTTCGGGTTACAGACTCCGCTAACCCGGAAGTAGTACCTCGGGTTAAGAACTTTACCCCAGGATGAGAACAGAAATCGTGCGGCGGTGGCGCGGCAGCAGCGGGAGGCCCCATTAGCTAAAGTGGTACCTCAGGTTAAGAACGGACCTCTGAAACGAATTAAATTTGTAACCAGAGGTACCACTGTATTGTATCTCTTTTGGATTTTTTCCTAATACTGTATAGTGATAGGGCTACTTGGAAAGTGTGTTTGTTTATGTACGACTTGCACACTCTTCTTTCCCCATAGCATCGTGGTTATAAAACTAACAAATGTATGTGTAAAAGACCTATAGAAGAAATACTTGTTTGACACTAAATTGTATTAGAATAATGTGTTCCTCCTCTCCCATATCACGTAGGTTGAACTAAGATACAGCAGGTGCTCTGTGCTGCTTATCAGCAACATTGTTCAAATACTTCTGTGGGAACAGGATAGTTTCTGAGGGCTTTAAGTCAACAATAGAGAAGACCCTGCATCAGTTGTTTTGTCCTCTCCTGGCATGGATAATGTTTTGTGCTTGTTTTGAGAACATCATGTTTTGTTGCCATGCACTGATACTGGTCTTGAGTTACAAAGCAACATTAAGTTATCTTGGGAGATGAGCCTTAGTAGCACATGTGATACAAATGCCCAAGCAGAATGCAGAGTCCTGGGGTGCAAGCGGGGGAGTGCCGTTCAAGTGGTGTTTTAAAAATAACAGATCTATGATTTCACCCTGGAAACGTACAGCATACAACCCTGAGAGGTGGTATCACAATATGGCATTATACTAACATAGCGAAACACATACAGTACTCCATACTTCCTGAATTGAGCAGGGAGGTGGGTGGGCCAGAGGGCTTACAACCCACCTAGCCTCCAAATCTGATTCTATGATCTTACCAGGACAAGCTTAAACTGTAAATTTGGTCTAGCGGGTGGGAACAATGAAGTAAGAGGGGGCAACCATAATAAACTAGTGGAGAGGGAGGAATGGACGAATGACAGGGTGACTGCAAGTAAATGCAGTTACACATATGGGGAATGAGGGGAATGAGGGCTGAGAAGTTGAAACTAGTGACTTCATGTAAGGAGTGGTTTTGAAGCAGGGTGGAGCTGTGTAAATCAGGTGTAGGGAATCTTTGGCCCTCTGGATCATGGGTAGGCAAACTAAGGCCCGGGGGCCGGATCCGGCCCAATTGCCTTCTAAATCCAGCCCACGGATGATCCAGAAATCAGCGTGTTTTTACATGAGTAGAATGTGTCCTTTTATTGAAAATGCATCTCTGGGTTAGGAATTCGTCCGTCCCCCCCAAGAAAAAATAGTCTGGCCCCCCACAAGGTCTGAGGGACAGTGGACCAGCCCCCGGCTGAAAAAGTTTGTTGATCCCTGCTCTAGATGTTGCTGCACTACAACTCCCATTATCCCTGGCCATTGGCCATGCTTGCTGGGGCCAATGGGAGTTATTGCAACTACTGGTGGGTGAAAGGTAACCACGCCTGACATAAGTGATCTGGCATTACTGAAAAGAGCAGAAGAAGGAAGAGTTGAGTGTGGATATGAATGTGGTCCCACTGTGAAGAAATCCAAACATTTCATCTTTGCAATTCTCGGCACCTTTGAGACTCCTGTTAGTCATTAGCATAATTACATGTGTGGCACCTGCAATTTGCTTATTTTTTCCATCTAGACTGGTACACCCATAGTAATTCAGATGTTCTACTGTAGATACTGATCAGTAACAACTTTTTCACTTCAAAGAGCTCAGTGTTAGGACTAAGAATGTCAGTAGCATGTTCAGTATTGTAAAAAAAATGCTGCTTAATTTATTTTATATTATATTTAATGTTTTGAGGTTTGATTGCACTGGGCATACTGTTTATCATAACAGGATAAGACGTCTTGAACTTGGAAGCAACTGGGTCTGTGCTACGTATGAGTTCCAGAAAGCAAATAATGCCCATTTTTCACTTGTATTCTGGCATTTAGTAACTCATCTGGTCCTGCTGCTAAGACAGCAGATCTGTATCCACTAAGCTGGTATTACATTGTGGTCTGGATGGTGAGAAAGGCATCATATGAATATATTGTCATTAGTAAAATATTCTGTTAGTACTTTTGTTTGACTGGCAAGCTTAGGAAGAAAGATATGTTGAAGTTAGACTGTGGAAGATTTTTAATTGTATCAGCAGACTGCTTCTGAAGTGGTCTACTTCTTGGATGGGGAAAGGTCTGGATATGTCAGGTGTTTTGCTGGAATAGAAACTTAATGTTTAAGGTGCCTTACTTTCATGTGAAGTTGAGATGCTGTATTGTGTTTCCTGTTGAGGAATAAGTGCTTGCCGTGCATCACCTGAACTGTACCTGAACTACTACTGCCTGGATAGTGGGCACAAGTTCTTATTTATAATTACTTACATCCCACTTTTCAGGATGCAGATCCTGCAAGGGGGTGGGGTAAGAAATGACTAACAGGTAAGAAAGAGAGAGACAGTCCATTTCCTCTTTCTCCTCACTCCACAAAGTATGCTTTGCCTAGACATTTCAGGCAAGTATTTTGGTGTTGGATTGTGGAACTTTATATATAAATTGTGGGTTTCAAAACTGCCCTATGTTTATTTGGTTACTTGTTCTGGAAAAGTGTTATGTAGCTCCTTGAAACTTGCTTGCACGCTTAGGAAGTGGTACATGAGTCCATTGCAAACACTTAAGCTGGAATCCAAAGACCTACTTTAGGCATGTCAAATGATTTGGGCACACCTGGTAGGATCTCATCTTTTAAATGCCCTTCTCCTTTGAAATCCCCATCAGTTACAAGTAGAGTGCTTAAAGAAATACAAGTCCAAAACACTCTACTTGAATCCTAGCCGTGACCTCTTTCTTGTATGGTATTCATGTTTCAATTGTATGTGATATAGGCAGTGCCAGTGGAACTGGGTCATAGAATCATATAATTATAGAGTTGGAAGGGATCCTGGGGGGTCTCATCTAGTCCAACCCCCTTCAATGCAGGGATCTCAACTGAAGCATCCATGGCAGATGGTAATTTAACCTCTCCTTAAAACCTCTAGTGATGGAATGTCCACCACATCCTGGAAGAGTCCTTCCACTATCTAACAGCTCTTACTTTCAGAAAGTTCTTCCTGATGTTTAGTTGGAATCTCCATTCTTATAACTTGAAGCCATTTGTTCAGGTCCTACCTTCCAGAGTAGGAGAAGTTGCTCCATCTTCCATGTGACAGCCCTTTAGATATTTGAAGCTATCCTATCTCCTTCTTAATAGGGTAATCATACCTAATTCCCTCAACCATTCCTCATAAAGCTTGGTTTCCAGACCCTTGATCATCTTGGTTGCCCTCTTCTATACACATTCCAGATTGTCAGTATCCTCCTTAAATTGTGGAGTCCAGAACTGGACAAAGTATTCCAGGTGTGGTCTGACCAAGGCAGAATAGAGTGGTACAATTACTTCCCTTGACACTATACTTCTGTTGTTGCAGCCTAGAGTAGCGTTAGCATTCCCCCCTGTAGCTTCACATTGTTGATTCATGTTCATATTGTGGTCTGCTATTTGTGCTGCTGGTTCTTTCGGCCTAAGTTTAAAACCTTGTATTTGTCCCATGAAATTCATTTTGTTAGTTTGGGCCCAGTTCTCCAATCTGTTAAGGTCATATTGAAACCAGTTCAGTATTCAGCGGTATTGGCTACCTGTCCACCCATCCCCTACCCCCAGTTTGGTGTCATCGGCAGAATTGAGCATCTCCTCAATTCCTTCATCCAATTAATTCATAAAGATGTTGAACAACAGCAGGCCCAGGGCAGAATCCTGTGGCACTCCACTTGTCCCTTTTTTCAAAGATGGTGAGGAACCATTAATGAGCACTCTTTGGATTTGGTCATTCAACCCAACTACAAATCCACCTAATAGTTTAGGCTGGGTATTTCTACTTATTAAAATGTATATTTAATTTTATGCCTCAATTCATTTCTGGATTTTATAGATAACATGTCATCCAGGAAAGCACACAAACGTCCAAAGGGAGTATTTTGTAACAACCGCTTGTGTTTCCTGAATTCTGTGTTCTGTTTCCAACTGAAAAAGTGTTCAGTGTGCTGCTACATGATATTGAGCCTTAATGAATATGAAAATATTGACAGCAATCACAAGACTGATTAACTTACTTTGCTAAATATAACCTGTAGCTTTAGAGATGGTATCTCTGCTCTCCTCTGCTAATCCTTCTTTTTTCTCCTTCTTTTAGAGTCCTGTACCTATCACCCAGGAGTGCCAGTCTTTCACGATGCCCTTAAAGTAGGTGTACAAACATAATTGTTTAAAAGCTTTCCAAAACTTCAACTAAATCATGCTCATGGCAATATTTCAATTCCCTTCGTGACCTTTGATGTATCAATCTGCTTGAGTTTGGTGGAATGCCCACTTTTTTTCTTGAAATAAAAGATTTACCCTGTTTAGTTATTATAGAAACATATGCTGTTCCAGGCAGCAGTGATCACTTGAATGCATTGTGTTAAACACGCTCCAGGTCTCTATTGAACCTTATGCTACAGTACATCTCTCCCAAAGTATGTTGGTGACACTTGTTATTGCGTATTGCTGGATTGGAATGTTTAGTAAGTTTTTATTGCTTTTTAACAAAGTGATGATTATCACTTTATCTAAAAATAAAATGTCTTGGGATTTTGAAAGATTGGGCCCTACATTGCTCTACCAGCTGTTGAATAATTTATGGTCTTTTCGTGTAGCTTTGTTATCTCACAATGGGGAAACATTCACTTTTTTCTCCTTAGGTGAAATTTCTCCTTTTGATATTAAGATGGTAAATTCATGGCTTGTATCTTGCAGGGCTGGTCATGCTGTAAAAGAAGGACCACAGACTTTTCTGACTTCTTAAGCATTGCGGTATGTATTAATAATTTGTAATGGTTGCATTTTACTACAAATGGAAAATTGAAAGTTGCTCATTTGAGGGGGTGGGAATCCCTTAGAACAGGAATGGGCAACATGTGGCCTTCCAGTTGTTGCTAGACTCTGGCTCACATTTTAGCTTAGACCAGGCATAGGCAAACTCGGCCCTCCAGATGTTTTTGGGACTACAACTCCCACCATCCCTGACCACTGGTCCTGTTAGCTAGGGATGATGGGAGTTGTAGGCCAAAAACATCTGGAGGGCCGAGTTTGCCTATGCCTGGCTTAGACTGTAGTCAACAACATTAGGGCCACAGGTTGCCCTAGACACACTTAGAAAAATCAGGTCCTAAAACCCTGCATTTGCTTGTAGCTTCACCTGTAGATGATGTACAACTGTTTGCCACTGACATGGAGTGTTCAAATCAGCTGCCTTCAAGTGAAGAAAGTGTGTGTCTTCTCTGCAGGTGTTTCAATTATTTCTTGACATTTTGATTATAAAAGTGAGGCCTGAATCAAAAGTTGTAGTGTGTGCAGTGTGTGTGCCAGCCATGCCATTTTCCAGGTTACTCCATTTCATTTCTCTCCCTAACATTCTGTTCCAAGGTACATGCTTAGTCCTCACGAGGCTCTTTGGTTTTTCCCCTAAATATTTTGTTGTGCTTCCCTGAACCTGCTGCTTCCCTCTTACACATGAATGCTACTGTTTGGGCTAGATAATGATTGACAGTGGAATAATTGAATCTGCTATTACTTTGTATGATTCCAATAAGTATGGAAGACCCTTAAAACCAAGTGTGTGTGCAGGGCTGTGCTGAGCTTGTCTGAGGCATGGGGCAGGAGTCTTGTTCCTGGTGTAAATCAGACAGGTCCTCCGGCCAGCTTAGCCCTCTGAGGCTTGGGGCGAGTGTACCTCTCTGCACTGCCCCCTGCACAGGCCTGCATGTAATAACGTAAAAGACGGTAGGTTGCTGCATTTGAGAAACCGATGGGAGGAAGTTGATCTGAATGTTTGTACTTAACCCTAGTATTTACTTCTAAATATTAAGCACTGAAGTGGCAGAATTAGCTTAAGAAAATTGCATTGTTAGAGCTGAATATGCAGTCAACATTAGGTACTGTACTAGTATACATACATGTTTTTATGCTCTATAAGCTGCCCAGAGTGGCTTGGGAAACCCAGCCAGATGGGCGGGGTATAAATAATAACATTATTGTTGTTGTTGTTGTTGTTGTTGTTATCAGGGCTGTACAAAGGGCTTCCATAATAGTGAGAAGCCCCCTGAACCTGTCAAACCTGAAGTCAAAACTACCTCTGAGCGAAAGGAGTTAGCTGACCTGAAGCCTAAATTTCAAGAACACATAATTCAGGCACCAAAGCCTGTGGAAGCAATACAGAGGCCAAGGTATTGTCCTGAGAGCGGGCATTTGTGCCAAATTACTATCTATCTATCTTACATATATATGCCCCATTTTCCAGCGTTTTGGGAGTGGATATATAATGTTAAAACCTGCTTTATGTGTATATTTTGCAGTTGAGCAGCTTCAGGATGCAGTCAGAAGGTGCCTTGTTTCTGTGACCAAATATCAGGCAAAGGGAAAAAGCGCTTCTTGTCTCTGGGGGGAATAGTATGCATCCAGTAGTGATGAAACTCTTGGGTCAGATGGCAGAGCTTCTTTAAACAAGGTATAGGACAGCAGAGCCATTTCTCTTCCTCCAGAGCCTGAGCATCCTTGCTGGGTCTTGGGGCTTATTCCTCTTCTCTGGGACTGAAATTGGTTTGCTGTTTTTAGAGTTTGCACGGATGAAAGTCATGGGAAATGGAAAGAGAACAACTATAGCTTACCGAATAAGCATAAGCTTTTCATAATGGAAGTTCCCATTCTATCCCAGGCACCTCCAGTTAAAGGACCTGGAGGCAAGAGTGCGAAAGGTACTGGAGAGCCACTCCTTGTCAGGCTAGACAGTATTGGGCTTGAGGGGCCAGTCATACAAGCTGCTATAAGGTAGCTTACTGTGTTCATATGAAAGTTCTCAATGAAAATTCCAGAAAAGTACTTTTCAACCTTTTCAGACCCTGGGTACACCTTTAGTCAGATCCAAATTATAATCCCTGTTTTTTCATTTACAGTGGTAACTTGATTTAAGACCGTAATCAGTTCCGGAAGTCCGGTCTTAAAACAAAGCGGACTTAAAACAAGGTGTGCTTTCCCATAGAAAGTAATTGAAAATGGATTGATCTGTTCTAGACAATGAACCCCCACCCCCCAAAAAAAAAACCAACAACCCAGCAATTTAACACAAATTTTACTGTCTAACGGGACCATTGATCCATAAAAGGCAATAATAATGTACTGTACTGTAAAATAAATAACACAGTATTGTAGATGGAAAAAAAATTAACATTAATTTTTTTCCTTACGTGCACTGATGATAGTCATTGTTTGAATGGGGGACTTTTATCCATTTCTGCAGTCACACAATCAGCCAGTAGCTGAACTGGGTTCCCCACAGTCACAAAAACAAGTCACAAAAACGAAATCACAAGCCACAGTCACAGGTCAGTCCCATAAAACGAAGTCGCAGTCAGAAAACCGAAAAAGCCGCACAAACCAAAATGCAAAAAAAAAAAAGCAAAAACGAAACCTCCAAATATCATCTCTGTGTTGCGTGGATGCTCAGGACTCAACAGCTGGCCGACTCAACAGGAAGCCTCTGATTAGCAGCGAGGGACTCAATTAACAAATGAAACACACTCAACAGGAACCAGACATTGAAAAGCGACCCCTTAAACAGCAGCCGGGCCTGACTTATATAAAAAAAAATGACTGAACCCGGAGTACTCATTTCTGGGTTGCAATTGGACTTAGTCCAAAACGGACTTAGAATAGACTGGACTTTAGTCAAGGTACCACTGTATTTATACACCACTTATGTGCGCATGCTGGTGCAGACTACCTTGGGTCAGGCTGCAGCCTATTTATCTGTCCTAATGCACCTGTAAAATACCAGTGTTCTAGAAGACTTCATAAGTATTTTGAAACGAATTGCTTTTGTCACGTTAAAAAGTAACCCAACTTATTCCCTCTGCTTTCTTTAGCCCAGATGAGCCGATGAGTTGTTTGGAGCTGAAAGTATCTGCTTCCTTGAAGCAAGCATTAGAGAAGCTAAAGCTGTCGTCGGGAAACGAAATTAAAAAAGGTATATAGCTTGATAGGGTTCATGTTTTTACCTAATTGAGTGTGTTGTAGCTCAGTGCTAGATAGGTTCAGTGAATCTATTGCTATTATTATTGAACCCCTCCTTGGAGTTCAGAGCACTGAACATGGAAGTATCTTGTCTGTATAGCAGACGGTTCCTGAAAGATAAACATCTTGGGTAGAAAATGTCATTTGTATTCTCCTATATGCTTGAGTTCTGCTCATTTCTTTAGAAGAAAAGTGAATTCTTAAGACTTATAAAGCAAACTATTCCTGTTTTACAGAGGATGATAGTGATGAGATAAAGATTGGGACTCCATGTAAAAATGCAGGCTGTAAAAAGGTAAATTTCTCAATGTTATGGAAATGTGCCACACTTCAAACCCCCTTAGTTCCCCATCCTTTTGTAAGTTGCTGAGAACTTTTCTTTGCTGCCAAGCTTATGCAGGGAATTAGGTGGTCTTGGATTTTAGATTTTAATGTGGCATTTATTGTATATATGCATGTATGTTGTTAACTCCTTTGATTTATTTTATGTATAGCAATATAAAAATATCTTTATAAATAAAGCCAATCAGTAAGTTATCACTTCAGTACAGATCACATTACCCAATATTGCATGATGTCTCTCGGCACGCACCAGTAATTATTGTAGCATACAGTTCTTGAATACAGGTGAGGGATATTTGTATGGGCACGTGTTTTTGCACTGCCAAGAATGTGAGCTGTTACTCAATTCTTTTACAGTTATAAAGTATTGTGTAAGCTTCTGCGTTACACTTCCATCAGAATTTTGTGATGTGTTTGGTCAGCACTGGCACATGTAAACATTTATGGCTTTCAGAGACTGTTCAGAAAATCATTTATTATTAATTTAGTTTAGTCATGTAACATCAGTCAGCCTCCTGGCAACTTTCAACAAAATTAACAGCATGCAAAAAAAATTAATCAATTTAAAAACAATCATAACACAGTACAACCTTTTAGGATAGGAAAGGAAACCCCAGGCATATTAATATTAGAGATTTTCCTAGGTCCAATTAAAAAGTTACGAAATAGTCAGCAAGCGTTGTAAGACTATATTCTTCAGGCTTAGATGTTAAAACAAAAATAGCACAAAAATAGAGGGAGTTGAGAGCATGGCAGAAGAGTCCCATTGTGGGCTATGGTGCCATGGTGTAGTTTCAGAAATGTTAAAAGCGTAATTTTAGAATTAAAGGAGAAATCTCTTTCATGACTCAAAAGGTTGCATGGATGGGATGGGTCATGTTATGGGTCATGTGGGAGGTGGGGGGCATTGTTACAAGTTTCTACTTAGATCCCCAAACGAATGCTTTGGCACGGATTGGACCAGTCAACCGGAGGAAACCGAGCTTCTACTTGATACAACCGCAGTCCTAAATTTACCTACCTGGGAGTAAGCTCCATTGAATTCTATAGACTTTTTGAGCAGATGTGCTTGGGATTGCACTGTAAGCGGCTACCTCAGCTGTTGGGTGGAAGCTGTAAAGCGATAATCTAATGCAATGACTAGTAAAACGTTATTTGTCTGTTATTATTATTTCCCTTAGACATTTGAAGGACCACACAGCATGGAAGAAACATGTACATACCACGCAGGTGTCCCTATATTCCATGAAGGGTTAGTAGTATGTGTCTTCCTCGAATTCTCTGTTAACCATCCGCTAGCTAGGCACAATGAAACTTGAGATTAGTTTTGTTGCAGTTGTTTATATGAGTCTTTAAATCTTAATACACAGGATGAAATACTGGAGTTGCTGCAAGAGGAAAACATCAGACTTCAATACTTTCTTGTCTCAAGAGGGTTGTGCGACAGGAATACATGCATGGATTAAGAAGGATGCTGTAAGTAGCAAGGGCTGTGTTATTAATAGCTTACTATTCTTACCTGTGTTGCTAAACATTAATACACCTGCTTGGATAGACTGACTTGTGTATGAAACTTTGAATATTTCTTTTTCCATCATTGGTCAATCAACTTGCACTTTACAACAACGACTTGCATGCAGTGAGATGACAATATTTGGACTTTGCAGAATAAAACAGAGGGCACAAAGTTTAGTGGAGCAACTAACCAGATAGAACCATAACATAGAAGTTGTGCCTCAATTAATTAAAGATCTCTTCAGAAACGTGGTTCTGTCGGTTTCTCTGTTTTTGTTTTCTTTTACCTAGGCTATATACTGTACAATGATGACAAATGCTGAAACATTGACTCGCTTTCCATCCTGTTAAAGTGAGCTTCTGGCTTCAGCCATAGAACATTGGGGGGGGGGGGTGCAATAACAATGACATGGAAGGAATTGTTAAGAATCGGTATGGAAAGAGTCTTAGGCTATGCCTCCATAGAGCCCAGTGTACTTTGGAAAAAGATAAGTAGCAAGGAAAGTATTTGCAAATGGGTTGAAACCATGATTTGTGTCTTTAACTCTAATCGCCTACAGGAGAAAAAAGTGGTTCCATGCAGGCACGATTGGCATCAAACTGGAGGTGAAGTGACAATTTCTATTTATGCCAAGAATTCCGTTCCTGAACTTAGTCATGTAGAAGCAAATAGCACGGTGGTGAGTTACCCTAATTAGCCTGTATTGTTCCCGTTTTAACTCCAAGTTCAAATTGATTGTTTACTGTGGTGGCACCTGCATTTTGAAACTTCACTGTACTCTTCTCGGCGCCTGCTAAAAACATTCTTGTTTAGACGAGCTTACTCAGCTGCCTAGAAAGTTTAGGTAATTTTAACCTGTTTTAGCATTTTACCACTTGTATGTTTTAAAGCAGGGTTGTAAATATTTCTTGATTTTACTGTTTTATCTTGTGTACTGTTCTATCTTTTTCACAATCAAGCAATGTATAAATTTTATGGGGTGAGTGAGTGAATGAATGAATGGAACTCCCACCTGGGCGAAAACCCCTCTGCATTCTAGCATTGCAAGCTGAAATACTGCATGTTTAGCTACTACTGCTACTGCATAATCTTTTCCTTCTCTTCCAGTTAAATATCCATATTGTCTTCGAAGGTGATAAGGAATTTAATCAGAATTTGAATCTATGGGGTGTAAGTACATACATATTTGCATTCAAGTAAACTTCAGGCAGGTTCAAAATCACGACCAGGCGCTTGTAGCAAGATTAAGTGACAAGATTAAGTACTACAAGATATGTATATCTTGCATTTGTCCTGCTCAGAGTTCATCCATTGAAATTAATGGACATGACTAACTTCTGAGTAAAACTTAGTTGGATAAGTAGATGCTAACTACAGAATACCTCTCATTCAATAGTCTACTAATCTCAATGCAGTTGAAGATACAAATCATAAAATCTACACTTTCCTTGTTCCTTTTGTATTCTGATTTATTGCAAACCTGAGGCATTTAAAATAGTCCACTTTTGTGTAAGAATAAATAAACATCCTGGCATTGTGATGAGTAATATTAAAGCTGTTCTTGCTCCTCAGTCTTGCTGTAGTTCTGTGCTTAGTTTCCTGAACATAACTTTCTGCTTTTCCGTTTTGACTGAATTAGTAAGTATCTGGTTTAGAATAAAATGCTCTTAAGTAAATGCCAGCCCTTAAACAATTCACTGTTTCCTCAATAGCATCATAGTCTGTGTGCAAAACAGTCAGGGGTGTGCGTTCAACTTGTATCTTGGAACATGTGTCAATGGGGCAGCACTTACTTGTTTACCTGTATTCATGAGACCTTACACTTAGGCTAATTTTTCTAGTCCTATATTGCACAAGGGAATGTTTAAATTTTCTCTTACCAATAGTTACATTATTTTTTCTGGGTTTTGCTTCTTTGTTGTTTAAAAACAGTTACTTTATAGCAGTGAGTTGAATAAACTCAATTCTGTAGTGTTAATCAGGCATGCAGTTAAGTAGCAAACTGAAATGTACATGTCTTCTTCCAGGTAATTGATGTGAAAAGGAGTTACGTAAATATGACGGCTACAAAGATTGAGCTCACGATGAGGAAAGCTGAGCCCATGTTATGGGCAGGCTTGGAACTCCCAGTATCCAAAGTAAAGCCAAAAGAGCAGCAAGAAATTGCGGCGCAAGCTTGAAATCTGAGAAGAGGCCAGTTTTTGCCCCTGGTGAAGTGGTGACTTTGCTGTTTTAATGTAACTTAATTTTCTGCATAATCACAAAAAAAGTTGCATTCCAGATTGGGTGTAGTTCTAGGCTTTCCAGTAGCACAATGTTTGTTTTGTTTGTTGTACTGGATCTTCCCCAGACGGTTAAGGCTGGTGCTTATGGAAGTGTTGTGGGTGTGAGCAGCAGCAGTTGGAACCAATAGCCACAGGCACCTGAGGAAGATGCCCTTTGCCACCTTCTCAGCACTGCCGTTGCTCGCTGATTCTCTCCCCCTGGCAAGTCCCTGTTTTTAACACCAGAAAAGGGCTGAGGAAGTTGGTTGTTTGTTTATTCCTCCCTATTGTAGGGCAGTGTTATGCAACCGTTTATTTGCTTAAGGCTGTGTTATATTGTATGTACTCTGTCAGGGGTGCTTACTGGCAGTGCGTAGGGCCAGGCTCAATGTTCATGACCTAATACAGCTGTCAGTTTTGGCAGCTGCTGCAGCAATCAACCCTGGACCACGACTTTTAATTTTAGAATTCCAAAGCTGTACGTGCATCCTGGTTCAGCATCAACATACGTTCATATTGTGGTCCACACTGTGTTAAGATTTCCTCAGTGCTTGAAATGTTACTCAGCCAAGTCACCACCTCAGCAGCCTGTGCTTTTTAATTGTTTTGCCTTGAAAAGAATTGATTCTGTGTAATAATGCAACTACTCGCTTTAAATTATAGCATGAGGATTAAAAAGATATATATACAACAGTGGTTAAGTTAAATGAGTTTTTTCATATTGCGGCCGTTAATTTCATTTGTATAGGGAAACTGGAAAAAGTAGGTGTCTGGAACACCTAAAAAAAAATTAAGGTTCTTTTTTTTAAAAAAAACAACAACAACTTCTTTTCCTAGTGTTTTTTTCCCTGCATGGATGTGTGTTTAATTTTTGTTGATGAAGAACATTTGTTAAAGGTCTCATCCCTTCAGACCTTTTTATAAATTTATGGAATAAACAGTTAACCTGGAGCTGGTTTCATTCAGTTTCTGATTTCTACAGTGTGAGCAGAATGAGTGTTTGAACAAGTTTTGGTTATGTATTAGGAGTTCAATTAAACAAATTCAGTAAATATTTCTTTTGGTCTAACATCCTGCCTTCTGTTCTGCCTACCCCAGTCAGAAAACATTCCTTGCACAACTTAATGGCTTTCTTTACGGTGGTAAAACGATGTAGAAGGTACACTGATATTTTTTATTTTATTTTAAGAGCGGTTAGACATAGTGCTTCTTTAAATGGGTATAGTCACAACGACACTGAACATTTAATAGAATTTTAAAGTCATTTCACTCTTCATTTTTGTTCTATATCCAGGTGCTTCTTCTACTCAGCTTTGAAGGGAAACCCTCTTTCCAGTAGCATCTGAGTTATGATTGTTGAGGATTTATTCTATGGTAGCCCAGCTGCAGTCTTTTGTGTTTCATGCAATCCATATATCACTGTTGTAGAATAGAGGTGGAAACTGCAAACAGGGAAGGAGGAGTGGAATTATATGAACTAGTGAGTAGAGTAAAATGAATGCAAGATGAAATGGATTCAGCTGGGCTTCTGAGTGAAATACTGTTCCAGGCAAGGTTAAGTGGTGGCTGATGCTGAAAACATATAATTCTTCCACTGTGGCTATCAAAATCACTGGCAGCTACACACTTTGCTGGAAATGTGCTCAGTCTTGGCCCATTGGCCCATGCTGTAAACGAGAGCTTTAGAGCTGGCTTAGGACAGCTTAGAAATGGCATGTGAGTGAATGCTTAAAACTGCGAGAAGTAGCACTGTCTGATTAAAAAGTATTATTGTCATCAGTCTGGGTTGAAAGTGTAGATGAGCAGCAAAGAAGATCTCTTGCTAAGTCCATTTTTTAATGGTGTTTATCCCACCCCTTCTTCCAAGGTCCTTGGGGGGGGGGCAGTCTAACTTTCCATCCCCTCCAGTCAAACTTTCTGATGGGTCTTTCTGATCATGCACACTGAACATGACAAGGGAAGTAGCCATTTGAATATTATGTGCTGCACTTTGAATATTATGTCTGTGTTGAGAAGAATCAGCTTTCTGGGCATGCAATGCAAATAGATTGTTTCTGTTCTCGTTCCTGCTGCTCCCAACTATCCTACAACACAGTTTTCAGTGTTCCTGCAGCAGCCTGAACCGCGAAAGTTGCAATAGAGATTTGCCTCTTGGCTTCCTCCCAAGCTTTGCGTTGATCTGTCCTGCTGTCAATATCGAACATGGCATCATAGATTCCAGGGAAGGACACACCTGCGTACTTGTTGCGGCTGCTTGGAGCAAAGATGATGTGTCTGTGGGGCAAGGGAACACATTTTTTAAAAAAATAAAGCAAGCAAACTCTGGCAGGAAGTTAGCCAACTGACTAAAAGTCAGTGTAGACCTATTAAAATTAATGGACCTAATTTGTTTCATTAATTTCAGTGGGTCTACTCGAGTAAAACAGCTGACTACAACCCGCCAAAGTCTTTATTTCTGTTGCTGGACCTTTATAGGGTTCCCAGGGCCATTTTCCAAAGCAATAAAACATTGGAAGCTACAGTTCAGGGAGAGCATTACACTAAAGCAGCGCAAGTGTGAGCATTTTAGAAGCCTGAAATAATTAAAATACATCTTTCCTGACACAAATGATAATGGCATAGCTGCTATATGAACCTTCTTGGGGATGAGCTGTGCAAACAAGGACACTACAATTGAGAATACTCCCTCTCCTCTTACAGCACTGCCTCCCCTCCCTGGAAAAGGACCACTGCTGATGACCTTAATGTATAGCCCAGTAAATGAAAACCTGTCAGGCATTTGGGTTTTATGAGTTGAGTTAAGCAGCACCTGGCTTAGAAATTGTGCAAGACATTACTGGCAAGATAGGTTGGCAAAGACCTGTCCCAGTGCTAGGTGTTTAGTCGCCTGGGTTGTGGTCAGTGAAGGTGCCCATTGCTCATATGATGGGTCAACCTCACTTGGACTATGCAAAGGCATTTAATTTTTGGTTTGGAAATCTGCAGGTGCAGGAATGCATATTCCCAACTCCCTACTTTCCACCCTGAGTTTCCTTTGATAAAGAGTGGTATATAAATAATAATAATAAATTCTGTCTCTGGAATGGGTGCTTCCTCTTTTTCCTTGCTGGCATTAATTATGGTTCCACATCCATCTGCTCAACTGTTACCACAGAAAACATTGCTTTTAGAAGCTACCCAACTTGTCCTCCTATTGGGGTAACTATGGGCATTGAGTGTGTAGGGAAAATGGGTACATTCATTCAAGGTTTCCCAGACTACCAATGGTCCGTGAGCTTCATTCAGATGTTCTGCTGCATGACTGTCTTAAATATACATGCTGGTTTTTTATAGCACTTTTATCGCTTCTTTTCTTACATTGCTATTTATTGTACTGAGTTCCGTGGAATTCAGGTTGTAATACAACGAAATACAGCATCGTTGAAATAAAAGAAGCAACAAAAAATAAAATTTAAAAATGATGAAGTGTCTTTCCCAGAACATTACAATTGCTACAAAAGGCAGAAAAGACTATTAAGTTCCCACCTCCCTTCCTCAAGGCCATTAGCAAATTTTGAGTGGTCTGTTGGGTGTCAGAAGCGGGGAACCACAGCTGTAATCCATTTGTCTGAGAGAGCGGGGAAACAGGTCTACTGCCCTATGCCCTGCAAACAACCCCTCTCTGTGTTATGATGGCTTACCTGTAAAACCGCCTGCCTGGCAACCCAAGGGGATCAATGAACGCTCTCTCCAGAAGCATCAGCTGATCATTCGCCATCCGCACAGCAATTGGGCTATAAAGTGAGAGAGACATCATAAGAACATAGGAAAGCCCTGTTGGATCACACCAATGACCGTTTCTTCCAATGGTCAAGCATGCCTCTGGGAAAGCCCACAAGCACAACAAGAGGACAATAACCCAATGATGGGTCTTCAGAAGTACACAGCCTGGAGGTAGAAGACAAAAATTATGCCCATTACAGTCTCCAGGCTATATGCTACCTCCAATGCTAGCCTTATCCTCGATGAGTTTGTCCGGTCCTTTCTTAGATCTGTAAGTTTGTATGACATCAGATGATTATGGGCAGATGGAAGGCGCTTTAGCCTAATGTTCTGCTTTCCATAGGCTCTCTCCTAAAGTGTGTGATACTACATTCCAACCAGCTTTGAAGTTAATGTATTTTTAGCAATCATGTTGCTTAGAAGATCCAGGCTGTTTTGCCTTTCCTTGCTTTTTCATTCACCCACTCAGCTGCTCACCTGCCTTCCATCTGCTGTCAACAGAGCCTGTGACATACAGAAGCGGTCTCTGTGGCTTTGTTTCCATATATAAATTTATCGAGCTGCACTACTGTTGAAGCAATGATTCTTCAACATCAGCTTCGTTGGACTGGTCATGTTGTTCGGATGCCTGATTATCATCTTCCAAAGCAACTACTCTATTCTGAACTTAAAAATGGAAAGCGTAATGCTGGTGGTCAACAAAAGAGGTTTAAAGACTGTCTCAAGGCAAATCTAAAAAAAAATAATGTAGTGTAAACACGGACGACTGGGAAACACTGGCCTGCGAGTGCTCCAATTGGAGAACAGCCTTTACCAAAGGTGTCATGGGCTTTGAAGAACTCAAACTCAGGACAAAAGGGAAAAACATACTAAGAGGAAGGCACGTTTGGCAAATCCACACCGTGATGAACTCCCGCCCGGAAAGCAATGTCCCCACTGTGGAAGGACTTGTCGTTCCAGAATTTGCCTCCACGGTCACTTACGGACTCATTGTTAAAACCGTGTTTATGGAAGACAATCTTACTTGGCTATGAGTGATCGCCAAAGAAGAGAAGAAGAATACAAGTGATGGTAGCTGCACCTGGAGCTTTACTTAGGTTGCATAAATGCATTCTCGTTTCAGCAACCGTGTAGGAATCTTGGGTCCGATGAAAATGCAATGCTGGTTCCAAGTAAACTGTGGTTTGCAAATCAGGGATATGGACTGAAGTTTGCCAGGCTCTTTATTAACCCCAAACCATTTATTTTTATTTTTTAGTTGCTTATTGCTTTTAAATGTGCCTTGCATTTGTCATGCAACTCAACATTGATCTCCATCTCTGTTACATAAATTTCTTAAAAATAGAGTATTTGAAAAATGCTGAACAGCAGCGCATTCCGTCTGTTTTTTTTTTAAAAAAGAAAAACCAGTTTTGCAAACACATACTCACTCGTCCTGATCAAGCTGTGATAATCTATGGTGAAAATCAGCAGCTGCCTCCGTGAAATTAGCCACAGCAGAAAAAAGAGGATCTGCAAATACAGAGTTAATAAGTCAATTTCCTAATTTAGAAAAGAGCAAAGCTCACAGTTCAGTGTCAGGGGGTCCCAGGCTTAAATCCTGGTCACCTCCAGTTCCAAACAAACAGGAAGCTGCCTTAAGGTGGCCGATCAGATCTAGTTCAGTATTGACTATGCTGATGAGTGGTGGTTTCAAATGGGTCATAGAGGATGGCGCTGTAGTCTAAACCACAGAGCCTCTTGGGCTTGCTGGTCAGCGGTTCGAAACCCCACAATGTAGTGAGCTCCCATTGCTCTGTCCCAGCTATTGCCAACCTAGCAGTTCAAAAGCACACCAGTGCAAGTAGATAAATAGGTACCACTGCAGCAGGAAGGTAAACTGCATTTCCGTGTGCTCTGGTTTCCATTACGGTGTCCCATTGCACTAGAGGCGGTTTAGTCCTGCTGGCCACATGACCTGGAAAGCTGTCTGTGGACAAACGCCAGCTCCCTTGGCCTGAAAGCGAGGTGAGCGCCGTAACCCCATAGTTGCCTTTGTCTGGACATAACCATCCAGGGGTCCTTTACCTTTTTACCATAGAGAATTGGGCTATCAGTGAGTACTATGTTCTATGTTCCATCTCCACTGAAAGAAGCATTACACTTCTAAATGCTAGTTGCAGGGAAATCACAGGTGGCCAGAGTGCTCTTGCGCTCATGCCCAACTTTCAGGCTTCCCACAGGTATCTGTTCAGCCACTGTGAGAACAGGATTCTGGACTAGATAGGTCATTGGTCTGATCCAACAGGCTTGTCTTACATTCTTGTATTAAATCACAGAAGAGTAGTTTGTTGGCTGAGCATTAGGGGGAAATCTTGGAAGGTAAGAGCTGTTCTAAAGCCGAACCAACTTCCAAATGGAGTGGTGGACAAATAAAATAGGAACAACTAAAAACATTGGGGGAAATGCCATTAAAGAAAAATAATGAAACATTAATAGAATTAAAGTGATTATAGATACACATATATAAACGTACTAATAACTACCATAAAAATAGCACAGTACCAGCCCTTTCATTAAAAGCAGTGAGTTTCCCAAAGTTTGTTGGAACAAGAAGGTCTTCACCTGCTGGTGGGAGGACCACAATAATGGAGCCAGTCTGGCTCCTCCAGGGAAGGAGTTTCACAGTTGTTTGGGGGCAACCACCAAGAAGGCCCTCTCCTGCACCAAGCGTCCCAGTGAGGGTGGTGGGACCGAGAGATCTTCTGAAGATCTCAGAACCCGGGCAAGTTCACAGGAGGGAATACGGTCTTTCAAATAACAAACTACAGCTCCCAGGATGCTCTGGGGGGGAGCTATGTGCTTTAAACGTATGGGTGTGACCCATATCTGTCGCTAACAGAGGCCCGTAGCAACAGGAAGCACATCTGTACGGACTTTGTACCCCTTTTGCATCAGGCTCACCAAACGATACTTGGTAGGTTCCCAGCTGTGCTTTGTGACCCTTGGCCACATGGTAGATTCCGTCGGCGTAGGTCCTCAACGCTTCTGCATACTCTTGGCAATGGAGAGGAAGGACCTGGGAATCGGCCAGTTCGTAGACCAAGCCTGCCCGGAGGTGAGCGACGGCAAGCTGCTTCCTGAACGCGGGGTCGTAAAACCGCTCGACTAATTCAAAGGTCTCGTACGTGGTGTGGTAGAGAGGGTAGTTACTGAATTTGTCTACTTTCTGGAAAAGGAGAGCAAAAAAATGGGTCAAATGTGCCTGTCCTGGACCCTTTAGTGTAGATTCCTGCATTGAAGGGGGTGACCGTCGGGGTTCCTTCAAACTACAGTTCCATGATTCTAAGAAAGGTGGAAACTCAAATACAGTCATACCTTGGTTCTCAAATGGCTTAGTTGCCGAAACACTGCAAACCCGGAAGTAAGTGTTCTGGTTTGTGAACGTTTTCCAGAGCCGAACGTCTGACGCGGCTTCTGTCTGAGTTTAGGAAGCTCCCACAGCCAATCGGAAGCTGCGCCTTGGTTTTCGAACGGTTTCGGGATTGGAACGGACTCCCAGAATGGATTAAGTTTGAGAACCAAGGTACCACTGTATTAAAGTTTCCCCACATCACAGGCCCAGTCCAACTCGGCTCACTGTCAGTTTGGTGAAGGCAAGTTCAAGCACTAAGGGGCAAATTGGGCACAGGGATATAGGGAGCTGTCTTATACAGAGTCAGATCATTGGTACATCTACCTCCATAATGTCTACACTGACTGTCAGCAGCACCCCAGTATTTCAAGCAGGGAGATGGAAACTGAGACCTTTTTCAAAAGCTCTGCCACTCAGCGGGGCTTATGACTTATCCCATGTAAGTGTGCAATGGACTGCTGCTTTATTCTTTTACATTTTTTTTTGCAGAAAACTGGATTGGTGCTTCCCTGTCCATTTTTTCCCCAGTGGGAGCTTTCCCAAAAATAAAAAAGGAGACCCAACTGTTGTGATGTGATCACAGCTGTCCAGAAATAAACAAGAGGGTGTCATCTTTCGGACAGGCTGTCCGGCTTACCCTATTCTTAGTGTACCGGGCTCTGCCGGACGCGATCCCCAACCGCTGGAAGAAAGCTTCGAAATCGCTGCCTGATCCGAGCTTGCTGATCCTGCCCAGAGAGAGAGAGGAAGACGTTGCAATAGTTAGATCCAGTGCTTTTTTTTTCTGGGGGGACGCATACCCCTAAACATTTTGTGAATCTAAGTTTGGCCTTGAGGGGCAGTGTTTCAAAATGAGAAGGAAAATGAGAGTACCCCTAAACATGTTTTTTTTAAGAAAAAAAGTACTAGTTATATCAGCCATATTCAAACTCCGCCCTCCAGCTGTTTTTGGACTACAACTTGTTTAGTCGTGTCCGACTCCTCGTGAGCCCATGGACCAGAGCACGCCTGGCACTCCTGTCTTCCACTGCCCCCCGCAGTTTGGTCAAACTCATGCTGGTAGCTTCGAGAACACTGTCCAACCGTCATTTATTATTATTATTTATTAAAATTTGTATACCACCCTTCATCCAAAGATCTCAGGGCAGCTGACAAGTGAAACATAAGAAACAAAAATAAGATACATAATAAAACCAAAGCAAACCAATGACCCACTTCCCATAGACGCATTTTAAAAACCATAGACGAACTCCTGGTTGAACAGAAACGTGTTTTTTCGCCTGGTGTAATGAAGGCACCAGGCAAGCCTCCCTGGGGAGGGCATTCCACAAATAATTATTAAGGTGACTGGCTAATTAAGATGAAAATGAAAGCACAGAAATGTCTGCTGGCATGAATAGTTGTTCAAGGAACTTCTGAAAATAGAAAGCGAGGGTGCCTGCCAAATCCATGTTGGAAGAGTGTTCTGCAGTAAAGGGCTGGTGACACTAAATCAGGCATAGGCAACCTCAGCCCTTTAGATGTTTTGGGACTACAACTCCCATCATCCCTGACCACTGGTCCTGTTAGCTAGGCATCATGGGAGTTGTAGTCCCAAAACATCTGGAGGGCCGAGGTTGCCTATGCCTGCACTAAATGAATGAAACAGGGATATGAAAGCTCTACCTGCCCTTTGTGTGGGAATTTTGATGGCACACTCATACCTGCAATTATTTAAGTAATGGATGTTCCTGCTAGGGCTGCCATACGTCCGGAATTTCCCAGACATAGCTGGGATTCGGCCCTCGCAAACAGCGTCAGGGCGGAAATTGTCTGGGAAAATCCAGACACGTGGCAATCCATGTTCATGTTGGAAGTGTAGATTTTGGTGAATTTCCTTAAAAATAGCTCAAAACTTCTTTTTTTGTGACCCTTTGCAAAAAAAGCTCAACAACCCCCCCCCCCCCCCAAAAAATAGGCAATCCTAGTTTATGCCAATAAACTTTTAATTAAAAATAAAAAGTAATGGACTTGCATGTGTGGATTAAGCAAGGGATTCTCTTACCTTGGCAGAGTCTTACTTTCTGGGGATGGGTCTTTCTCAAGCCAGCTTTCATAGAGGGTTTTGCTTTCATATCCATCATCAGGGCTTGCTATCTAGGGAAGGAAAACAATGTGTCTGAATATGACGATTTCAGCATTATAAGAGTGGCGCCACCTGCCCTATATGTTTAAAGCAGTATCCTTTCACTTTAAACAGCCAGTTTCCCCAAAGAACTCTGGGAACTGCAGTTTTTTTAAGGGTGCTGAGAGTTCTCAGAAAACCCCTATTCTCCCTGGAAAGCCAAAATTCTGAGTGGTTTAACAGTCAATCCCACTTCCCAGGGAACTGTGGGAACCCTGCCTCCTTTGGAATGTTGATTCAGCATGAAATGGTCACAAACGCAAGACCTGCATTTGCACCTGTCCTCAGAACCATGAGGTCTAGAAAGTTGAATTTTTTTATTTTAAAAAACTGTGATTCCTTAAGAAGCATTCCCTGCACCGAGGATCCCTGCCAGATGAAACTAGGAGAAGGAAAGGGGGGGGGCAGAAAAATGAGATGATTTGTACCTCTTTTGTCAGATCATACACCAATCGATTGAGAAGAGGAGTACAGTCTACTCTTAATGTGTAGTTGCCTGAAAACCAAAGTATATATAGACATTTGTATTAATACTAATGGGACACTCTTCAAAAAATAAAATTTGACTTAAAAAAATTATAATAGGTTACGTCATAACAGACAGTACCAGATTTATGTACAGTCATATCTCATGTTACGTTTGCTTCATGTTACGTTTTTTCAGGTTGCGTCCCGTGGCGACCCGGAAGTACCAGAAAGGGTTACTTCTGGGTTTCGCCGCTTGTGCATGCGCACAAGCGCCAAATCGTGCCGCGCACCTGCGCAAATATAGCACTTCAGGTTGCGGGCTTTTCATGTTGCGAACAGGCCTCCGGAGGGGATCCCGTTCGCAACCAGAGGTACCACTGTATAAGCTAAACAAGCTATAGCTTAGAGACCCACTCTCTTGGGGCTCCCCAAAAAATTAAAGGAAAAAAACACCTGGATGTACATTTCCAAAATATAAGATAAAAAACAAATAAAATGGCTTTAGATACTTATTAGCAGTGGCGTAGCGTGGGTTGTCAGCACCCGGGGCAAGGCAAGTAATTTGCGCCCCCTAACCCATGGATTTTAGCGAGCGCGCCCCCCCGAATGCGAGCGCGCCTCCCCAGATGTTGCGCCCGGTGCGGCCGCCCCCCCTGCACCCCCACGCTATGCCACTGCTTATTAGGTCCATAAATTACCATACATCATACATTCAACACGAAAAACAGCAACAATTTGTTGTTGACAAAGGACAGCTGGACATATCAAGGGCCCCATTACCTTCAGTAGCTTAGGGCCTCATCAAATCTAAATCTACCTCTCTCGGCATTGGCTATTCGAGTGCCGTCTTTCAGTTTTGGCTATTTAAGCACCAGTATCTCTGTTAAACTACAGAGCCTAGGACTTGCCGATCAGAAGGTCGGCGGTTCGAATCCCCGCGATGGGGTGAGCTCCCATTGCTCGGTCCCAGCTCCTGACAACCTAGCAGTTCGAAAGCACGTCAAAGTTCAAGTAGATAAATAGGTACCGTTCCGGCGGGAAGGTAAACGGCATTTCTGTGCGTTGCTCTGGTTCGCCAGAAGCGGCTTAGTCATGCTGGCCACATGACCCGGAAGCTGTACGCCGGCTCCCTCGGCCAATAAAGCGAGATGAGCGCCGCAACCCCAGAGTCGGCCACAACTGGACCTAACGGTCAGGGGTCCCTTTACTTTTACCTTTATCTCTCTGAATGTAAAAGGGCACAGAACTGAAGATGGTCAAACGATGCTCACCTTCTATAGAAGAGTCCGAGTTGATGTAAGCCACAGCCCGTGCTTGAAGAATTTTGGCATTCTCCTGCAGTTACAAAAAGATACAAGCACCACAGGCTGATGACAAAGTTAACTGGGTTGTTTTTTGCCACAGCAGCAGCTGTATATGAAATGGACATCCTAGTGCAATCACATGTATGAACTGTGATAGCTATGCACATTTCTCCAGTTGCCGCAGGGATAGAACAATAGAACTTTAGAGTAAAAAAACCAGAAGCATTTTTACTTGGTATTGTAAGTGAGGATATTGACAGACAGGACAACAAACTGTTTTTATATGCAATAACAGCAGCCAAGAGTATTGTTGGCCCAGAAATGGAAACAAGAACTACCGACGAAAGAAGAATGGCAGATGAAATTAATGGACTACGCAGAATTAGGTAAGATGACAGGAAGGATTCGAAACCTGCGGGACCAGAGATTCACAATGGACTGGAGCAAATATTCAAACTATTTGAAAAGCAACTGTAATAAACAGATCACGCTAGTAGGACTACAAGAAGTTTTGTAAGGAGGATTTTGCGAAACATTGCAGAGAAGATTATGAAGATAGTTATTAGTTAAGATAATTGAAAGTAATAGTGAAATTAAGAAATGTAAATTAAGTGAAAAAGATTGGAAAATTCTCAGATGTGATTGATAGAAGTAAAAAAAATGGTATAAGATATGAAATTAGGTTAAATGATTGATGAAAATGATATGTCAAATTATATATATATATATATATATATATATATATATATATATATATGAACTTTAGAGTTCAAAGGTACCCCAAGCGTCATCTAGTCCAGCCAGTCCCCTGCAATGCAGGAATCACAGCTAAAGCATCCCAGACAGATGGCCACCCAACCTCTGTTTAAAAACCTTCAAGGAAGGAGACTCCATCACTGTCCAAGGGAGTCTGTTCCACTGTGGAACAGCTCTTACCACCAGAAGGTTTTTCCAAATGTTTAGTCTTTTCTTACTGTATGTATTTCTGTGTTGTTGTTTGATTATAAGCTGCCCTGTGATCTTTGGATGAAGGGTGATATAGATATAGAAATAATAATAATAATAATAATAATAATAATAATAATAATAATTTATTTATACCCCACCCATCTGGCTGAGTTTCCCCAGCCACTCTGGACGGCTCCCAATCGAGTGTTAAAAACAATACAGCATAGTAAAGACTTCCCGAAACAGGGCTGCCTTCAAATGTCTTCTAAAGATATGACAGCTGCTTATTTCCTTGACATCTGGTGGGAGGGTGTTCCACAGGGCGGGCGCCACTACCGAGAAGGCCCTCTGTCTGGTTCCCTGTAACCTCACTTCTCGCAATGAGGGAACCGCCAGAAGGCCCTCGGCGCTGGATCTCAGTGTCCAGGCTGAACGATGGGGGTGGAGACGCTCCTTTAATTAATGATAATGATAATCACCACGTAGAGCAGGATTGGGGGCAGAGTGAAATGAAGACAATAGAAGGGGGGCTCCTCCATGGGGTCATCACATCACTGCTAATGGGATTTACTGGGGCAGACCCCCAAATCTGCTCATAACCCATGGTTTAAAAGATGTTTGTGCTGTTTGTGGGAAAACTCAGGGCCCCTCCAGACCAGTGTATTCTTGCTGTCTGGAGGGGCACATTGCAATCAATGAACAGGACTAGGTTAGATCCTTAACTTCCATGGGTCTGTTCTGAGTAAAGAAATAGAGAGTTCCTGCGAGTATCAGCAAAATATTCTGGAACCGGGCTCACCACCTACCTCTGCCCATTCGGTGGAACCCAACAGCCCAAATTCTTCCGCATCCCAGCTGGCAAAAATTATTGTTCTCCTAGGTTTCCAACCTGTTGGCATTGAAAAGGTAATCATCTCTCTGGGTGGCTCAACTTATAACAAGGCTGAGGAATCTGTGGGTTTCCAGCTGGATTGGACTACAACTCCCATCAGCCTCAGCTAGCATGGCCAATGGCCAGGGAGGATAGAAGTTGTAGTCTAGCAACACCTGGAGGACCAAAACTTTTCCCATGCCTGCTTTTTAAACACAGCTCCCAGGGCAGTTAAAAACCATGCTTCAGGAACCTCTATAAAATAAGGTTCTGTTTCTGATTGCCTTAGTTTGGGATCAGGATTTTGTTTTATTCGTTGCTTTTCATTCCATCCGCCAACAATTATATTCCTTAAGCAAAGGACCAAGCAGCCTTACAACCTCTTAAAAAAAAAAATCATTTAAAATTTCAACTCTGATCAACAAGAGCAATCAAAATTGAAAAGGCAATGCCATTACAAAAACGGAATCGGGTTTTAGAAATGCCTTTAAAACATGATGATGATGATGATGATAAGACTAATAAGCATCTTTGGGGAAACTGTTCCACCAAAGAAATTCTCATGCCCCATGGAAGTGTACATGAAACCTAAGTGTTGGGACCCAAATCATCTCCAGATCTTAGGGCTTAGGAAGAAATACTTTGTGGGCTCAGAATGGACTTGAGGGTCTAAACCAGCTTCCCCAACCTGGTGACCTCCATACACTAGTGGCCAAAATTATGGAAATCTTTTGGGGAAAGTGTATTTCCAAGGTTTGATGGCTCATAACACCTGACTGACTCTCTAAACACTCTTGCTCATTGGCTACATTCAAATGAAGGAAACTTACTGCATATCAACCTAAGCAAGTTGTGCTTCCTTTTTCTGGTTATTTGGCTATAACTTTTAATAGAATACAGATAACTGAACAAAATTTGTTGCATTACATTCCTCATTAAATTATCTTTCCATTGATATGCAATTTTATGGTATTACTATCAAAATAAAATGGTATTATGAGCCATCAAACCTCAGAAATGCACTTTTTCCAAATTGTTGGAAATTATTGTTGGACTACAACTTAGAAACCAACCAAAATCCAACCCCAACCTCTCTCACCACCAAAGGAACACAAGTGAACAACACAAGCAACGCTGACACCAAACTCTACATACATTAAACATAATAGAAACACCGCCACCCGACCCCACCCCCATCCATCTTCCCTCTCTCCACCCCCCTTTCTTTTTTCTTTTTTTTCTTCTCCCCCTAATGCCTCAACAAATGAAACGGATTTGTAAAAATGTTACATGGGGGAAAAAAAATACGAGGCACTACACTTCTGTAAAACAAGAAAATCCTTAATAAAATTTAAAAAAAAAAAAAAGAAACCAACCAAAATTAACCAACCAAATTATTGTTGGACTACAACTCCCATAATTCATGTCCCCTGGCCATTCTGGGAGGGACTGATGGTAGCTAAAGTCCAACAACTTTAAAAAGCTGCCTTAGGCTTATATAAGTCTGCAATCCTGTACCCATTTAACTTTATGAAAGTTGCGCTAGACTTGCCAAGACTTATTTCTAAGAACAGGATATAGCTGTAAAGTGAATCACTATTACGATGAATTGGGTCTAGAAACAGATAGCCTGGGCAGCATGCTTCATGTTTTATTTTCTATTTGCGCAGTTCATTACCTTTCTTCACCAACTTGCCAAAACTCCGAGCCACCTCTTGAAGGACGGCTGCCCCAGTGGTTGGATCGATGCCGCCAAAGACCCAAGAATCTCTGTGGCCTCCCAAAATTACATACCTATCTAGGGAGAGGGAGCAAAAACAAAACAAAAATATAAGAGAGAAATGTTACAAAGAACTGGATCTAACTCAAAATATACTTGGCAGATTTTTCTTTCCTTAATCTGATCAGACTTTCCCCCCGCAAAGGGGCTAGTGGGGTGGGAGAAGAATAGAATTTTTCAGGGGAAGAATAAGAGGAAACCCAATTCATTCCATTCAGCGATGCTGCAAAAAGTGCTCTTTCAGATTCTCAAATTCCGGTTACCTCTGAAGCTTCTGCAAAAGAAATGACTGCAGAGCACTAACAGGCTCAAAACCAGGGTTGAGCCGAAGTGATCTATGAAGGATTGGCTTTGCTAGCTGTGTTTGCAGCTCCCCACAGTGGCGTTGGCAGGGGTAAGGCTCGGGGGCAGAATCCTAGAGCCCCATTCAGCAGAATAAAGCAGAAGGAGCTGGGGTCTGACAGAAGCTCCTGCTGCAGTCCAAGAAGGAGCGGCATTTATTTACTGATCTCCCCCCTTTCTAACAGCAGCCCCTTGTACCATCTCTCCCAACAAACTCTTCCAAGCCGGGTTTCCAAGGGGCTGTATAAATCAGCAGGACAGAAGGAACCCCAGTATCTGCAAATCGCTTTATGGGGCCTGAGCTTGCGCTACCATGTAAAAAAAAAAACTCCCTCTCTAGGAGGGACAAGATGGCAAAATGGGCCTCTGGGTGGACTCTGTTGTTGTTGTTGTTTAGTCGTGTCCGACTCTTCGTGACCCCATGGACCAGAGCACGCCAGGCACTCCTGTCTTCCACTGCCTCCCGCAGTTTGGTCAAACTCATGTTGGTAGCTTCGAGAACACTGTCCAACCATCCTGTTCTCTGTCGTCCCCTTCTCCTTGTGCCCTCAATCTTTCCCAACATCAGGGTCTTTTCCAGGGAGTCTTCTCTTCTCATGAGGTGGCCAAAGTATTGGAGCCTCAGCTTCACGATCTGTCCTTCCAGTGAGCACTCAGGGCTGATTTCCTTCAGAATGGATAGGTTTGATCTTCTTGCAGTCCATGGGACTCTCAAGAGTCTCCTCCAGCACCAGAATTCAAAAGCATCAATTCTTTGGCAATCAGCCTTCTTCATGGTCCAGCTCTCACTTCTATACATCACTACTGGGAAAACCATGGCTTTAACTCTAACGGACCTTTGTTGGCAAAGTGATGTCTCTGCTTTTTAAGATGCTGTCTTAGGTTTGCCCTCGCCTTTCTCCCAAGGAGCAGGCATCTTTTAATTTCCTTTCACTCTAGGAACATTCTAAAACCAATAGCCGTTAGGCCAGAAACAGCTCACCAGGTTCCATGGCTCCTTTGATGGTCCCAATAACGTTGTATATTCGCGTGATTTTATTGATTGTGTGAACGTGCATTCTGACTTTCCTGTAAAATAAAAACACAGTATTCTGTGAGAGCATAGTAGTGTCAACCAAACTAAGACTTGCCAGATCAACAGTGAGGGGATGAATTAGCATTGGGGGTCTGCTCCTGGTGCCAAAGAGCGAAGCTCATCTCTTGATTGTACAGTCATACCTTGGTTCTCAAACAGGATGCGTTTTGGGAGTCCGTTCGACTCCCGGAACCATTCAAAAACCAAAGCTTGGCTTCCGATTGGCTGCAGGAACGTCCTGCAGCCAATCGGAAGCCACGCCGGACGTTCGGTTTCCAAAAATCATTCGGAAACTAGAACAAGCACTTCTGGGTTTCGATTGTTCAAGAGCCAAGGCGTTCGGCTTCCAAGGTACGACTATACAAGAAAACAAGGCTTTGGTACTGCGAGAAGCTGCCCTGGATCAAGCCTTCAGGTACTCCTGCTCTGGCTCATGCAACCTCTTTCTGGGAGCAAAGGGTGAATTCATGAACTGGGTCAGCGCAAGAGATTTTGCCGACTGAGGCAAAAGGCAACATGGAACCTGCCGCCACCACTCAAAGTTGACTCAACTGGCAGTAGAAACATTGACACTGGTGACAGAACGGCATCTTCCATTGCAGGGTAGCTGAGGGAGGTGCAAAACAGGTCATGTGTCCCACAACACCTCACCACCACTCCCAGCACTCCAGCATCCACCACCTGAGATGGTCACGTCCTTCTGCCTAACGATAGGGCTGGCCCTGTTTGGGGGAAAGGGCCATAGCTTAGTAGCAAAGCTAGAGAGACCCAATGGTTTGCCTTGATATAAGTCCACTTCCTATGTTCTTCTATTTCTCAAGTTTTCCCCTTGTTGAACTCTGCAGGGAGAACAAGGACAAAAACAGAATGAGTTGGCTCTGCCCGTCCTTGGCTTTGGCACCACCTACTGTTGGCCTCCATACCTTCTGCCTTGCCAGTCCCAATGGGATATGCCATTTGTGTAGGCAATATGCTACGTGAAAGACACAGAAGACCTTCCAGGAAATGGCAGCAACTCTCATATTTCATAGGCTGTTTCATAGGGTTTGGAACGGCAGCTGGATGGTAGAAGTGTTCAAACTGACCTTCTGGAGGAGGTGCCGGAAAATCCGGGCCCAATGTTATAGGACACATTGAGATTTCCCTTCCAACTCTCATCTGGAGGTGGAGGACCTCCCATGGACCTGCAGGAGCGAAAGCAGACAGACAGATCTTGGCAAGGTTGTTGAATTAGCAGCCATCATCTCCTTAACACAGTGATTCCCAAATGGCAAGTATGAAGGGGCCCCAACATTTAGTGGCTTTAGGGCTTGTCATCAGATTAATAGGTGATATGCTTTCTGTTTTAGGGTCAGGGCTTCTGGATATGCATGCAGCTGCCCCTTGTGAATTGCTGTATTGCAGGTAGCGGTCCTACTATGTCAAAATGATTCTGTTTCACTGTCCCTTTCAGAGGAAACATCCAGTTTAACTTATTTTCTTTACTTATAATGTTTTCAATCCAATCCTTCCTCCAAGGAGCTCAGGAGAGCATATAAAGCATGCCCACCTCACAATGTTGTCCTCACAGATACGTTGAAATTTAGTTAGGCTAAAAATAAACTAGGCTGACCCATCCAGTGACCTTCATGGCTAAATGGAGATTTGAGCCTAAATCTTAGTTTAAGCAGTGTGAGATTAGGAGCCAAGCTCATATTTTCAAGATAAATACGGTGTCATGCCAGTTCTTTTTTCATATCAATAAAAACGGGGGGGGGGGGGGTAAAACAACGATATTTTAATATTGCTAGAATAACTGTATGAGCTCACCCTGCTTTCTGCAAACACCAAAGATGACTGAAATCTACATACCGTAATAAAATTTCAGCATCGTGGTAGCCAATGGGATGAACTGGGATTCTGGGAATCCCTACTCCATCGTCAACTCCGTATCTGAAGGTATATTCTGAGGAACCAAGAAGAGTTTCGAGATAACCACTGTGTAAGCTTTGTGCAAGGGATGCAGGTGGCGCTGTGGGTAAAACCACAGAGCCTAGGACTTGCTGATCAGAAGGTTGGCAGTTCGAATCTCCGCGACGGGGTGAGCTCCCATTGCTCGGTCCCTGCTCCTGCCCACCTAGCAGTTCGAAAGCATGTCAAAGTGCAAGTAGATAAATAGGTACCGCTCCGGCGGGAAGGACAACGGCGTTTCCGTGCGCTGCTCTGGTTTGCCAGAAGCGGCTTAGTCATGCTGGCCACATGACCCGGAAGCTGTACACCAGCTCCCTTGGCCAATAAAGCGAGATGAGCGCCGCAACCCTTTAGGGGTCCCTTTACCTTTACCTTTAAGCTTTGTGCAAGCAAATCTGGGTGAATCCTGAACAGGCAGGAAACCTTGAAACTCACCCCGTGAAGCAAATAGTTAAACTTACTTCCCAAGTGTAAGACTGTGCTGGGTACATCACTAACCTTTGGCTGGATACCCCGGGGTAAGGGGATCTCCTGCACCGTTGAGGTTTAAGACATTCCCGCGCTGCACTCCTCCTCCAGGGAGATTCCACCCATGTGGATAGGGCTCGATTCCAGGGGCACAGTAATCCGCAGAGTCTGAGTAAAGGATAATCCCTTTAGCTCCAGCTAACATGGCATTTTTAACCTACAGAGCAGCCAAACATTAAGAAGTGGTTTTCAAAAGGTGCGTCACCATAGCCCAAGAAATCAGTGGCATTTGTTCCTTGTCTTGTTGCCACTGGATTAAGGCTGGCCTTTGGCTTGGAATCAACTTGATCCCCTTCCCCTCTATCCTTTTTCCTTTCTCCTTCTGTGATGGAACTCCTATTTGGGGACTTCCTTGGCTTTTTTTCTGGCCCACGTAAGACCAGTCTGGATAGTTGGCCTTGGTGAAGATTTGACGTTTTCACCCCCCAAAAGTTTTTGATTTGAGTTTCTGCGCGGGTGGCGCTGTGGGTTAAACCACAGAGCCTAGGACTTGCCGATCAGAAGGTCGGCGGTTCGAATCCCCATGACGGGGTGAGCTCCCATTGCTTGGTCCCTACTCCTGCCAACCTAGCAGTTCAAAAGCACGCCAAAGTGCAAGTAGATAAATAGGTACCGCTCCGGCGGTTTTGTGCGCTGCTCTGGTTTGCCAGAAGCAGCTTAGTCATGCTGGCCACATGACCCGGAAGCTGTACGCCGGCTCCCTCGGCCAGTAAAGTGAGATGAGCACCGCAACCCCAGAGTCGGCCACGACTGGACCTAATGGTCAGGGGTCCCTTTACCTTTACTGAAATGAGGCTGCATTTTAATGTTGTATTTTAATCTTGTTTTTAAGTTGTATTTTATCAATTGTTTTATACCTGGTGTTGGCTTCCCTGAGCCAGGTCTTGGCTGGGGAGGGCAGGTTATAAATAAAAATTATTATTATTATTATTATTATTATTATTATTATTATTATTATTAAAATTATTATTATTATGTGACTGGAGAACCTGTGGCCATTTTAGATGTGCTTGAACCCCCAGCTACTATCGAGGTGGACTTTGGTAATATGGTGCCTGGAGCAAGGACAAAATTTGTGCCTCCTGCTGCAGTGGGACCTGCAGGAGGAGAAGTTCAAAGTGGTCTACTCTGAGGTGGCGTTGGAGCAGCAGGGAGGAGGAGGAGGCAGAGAAGAGCTGCCCACCCTGCTGAAATTGGGGGAGCCCCTCTGGCTGCATCCCGTGGCTCCTCTCCAGTGGGGGCCAAGTTTTTGTCTCCCCTGACACCCCCTCGCCTCTGGGGAACAGAAGGATCTGCCCGGATAGGGATCTGGGGTTAGCTAGGCAGCACAACTCAGTTTCATTCCAAGTCAAATTCCTAGAAGGGACAGTGAGAGTGTTCCTGGTGTGGTAATATTAATAGGTGGAAAGAGTCTATCCTGAGACTAGGGACTCAGCTACATTAGCTGAGAAACAACGTTTGGGATGCGTTATAAACATGCAACACCAGATGGCACCAGTGAGCTAAAAAATAATAAAAAATTAAGCAATTTCCATAACGTTTTTCCTTTTGTTATAACAATTTAATTTCTGACTTATTTATAACAGTTTTTCCCCTGTGTGCAGATCCACCCTATGTTTAAATAAGCTGAATAAGCTTTCGAAGTTCTCTGTAAAGAGCATTTGCCTGAAGCTAAGGATTGCGCCTCACATGAATAAACCATAACCCTCATTGAGTGTAAATAAATTAAAAATATATAGTTTTGTTTCAGAAGTGCCTCCTCTTTAATGTTACCCTCTGGCACAGCTGTCAACTTTTCCCTTTTTTTAAGTGAAATTCCCTTATTCCGAATAGGATTCCTCACAAGAAAAGGAAAAAGTTGACAGCTATGCCCTCTGGGTGGGATATAAGTGGACACAAGGCATTCTTCACATGAACAAAATACCCGGCTGCTCTTTAAGAAAGGAACCTTACAACAAACAGTTAAAACAGACATCTCCATTACAGCTAAGAGGGAGAGTTGACTCTTTTAAACACCCAGAACACTGGCTACCCATCTGCCACCTTTAATGGGAGAGTCTGTCATACAACTATATGATGAAATGGAACACACCACTGCAGACTATAGGGGAACATAACATATTCAAACACTCCCTGGCATTAGCAATGAAACAAAGCTTTTCAGGTAAAAACAAACCGCAGTAATATTAGGAATATTGCTTCTGGCATAATTTGCTTTATGCTATGCAGGTTTCTACTTGTGGGGAGGTGCTTTTATAGCAGGCAGAACTAAAAAATGGGATCTCTACCTGCAAACTGAAGTGGTATGATCCACCCTACCCCCCCCTCACCTGGGGAGTTTGCTCCCTCATTCCCACCTGATGTATTTCTACACAGAAACCTGAAAAGCAGCCTCTGAAAAGATTTATTATTAGGGAAGGGAATGGGGGCAAGAAGGAAAGAGAATGCAGCAGCAGCAGCAGAGATATCATCAACTTACTTTGTTTCCTCGGAATATTTTCCCATATCGGGCAATGACAATCTTTCCTGTACAGTTGATTCCCATCTCACGCTCTAGTTTGAAAAAGTCTTCGGTGCGGCCGTAATTCACATACACCAGATCTGCCTTTTTGTGGGGTGGGGGGGAAAATATTACATTTGATGTCACTGTCCATGGTTACATTGGGAATCTCTTATACAGTGGAACATCGGTTCTTGAACGTCTCTGTTGACAAACGTTTCGGAACCCGAACGCCCAAAACCCGGAAGGAAATGCTTCCGTTTTTGAACGTGCCTCAGAAGTCGAATGGCTCCCGCTGCATGTTTTTCAATTTTCTCAGCCCTTTGTGCCTCAGTTTTTGAACGTTTCGAAAGTCAAACGGTCTTCTGGAATGGATTACGTTTGAAAACCGAGGTTCCACTGTACAGTGGTACCTCGGGTTAAGTACTTAATTCGTTCTGGAGGTCCGTTCTTAACCTGAAATTGTTCTTAACCTGAAGCACCATTTTAGCTAATGGGGCCTCCTGCTGCTGCCACGCCGCCGGAGCACGATTTCTGTTCTTATTCTGAAGCAAAGTTCTTAACCCGAGGTACTATTTCTGGGTTAGCGGAGTCTGTAACCTGAAGCGTATGTAACCTGAAGCATATGTAACCCGAGGTACCACTGTACTTGTGGTACACTTTAAAACACCTATATCAAAACGCATGAACTTGGGGAGCCTTGCAATGGTCAACTCACATCTAGACTACTGTGATACATTATATAGGGGGCTGCCCTTGGGGATGGGCCAGAAAATGAATAAGTAAGACCCGCTACAAAATATTGTATTGTGCTCTTAGCTCCTGGTACAATATTCCTTGTTCAGGATTCCAGCAATGCCTTCTTCCAGGACACTCCGTTGTGTCCCACAACCAATTTTCCTTTTTTCTTTACCATTTGAAACTCAAGAAACAATGGTTTTTTTGCCTGCTTTGGTGGGGGGAGGGGTTCCTTCTTCCACAGTAAGTTTGAACATATTGATATCTCCCTCTTGTTTCTCAATTTTGACTCCACAGCTGTGGATACTGACTACTTGAGTTCAATATTATAGAGCATGGGTAGGCAAACTAAGGCCCGGGGGGCGGATTTGGCCCAATCGCCTTCTAAATCTGGCTGCGGATGGTCCGGGAATCAGCGTGTTTTCATATGAGTAGAACGTGTGCTTTTATTTAAAATGCATCTCTGGGTTATTTGTGGGGCATAGGAATTTGTTCATCCCCCCCCCCGAAAAACATATAGTCTGGCCCCCCGCAAGGCCTGAGGGACAGTGGACTGGCCCCCTGCTGAAAAAGCTTGCTGACCCCTGTTATAGAGGAAGAGATACCAATGTTGCTAACAGGGTACTGGCTAGAGATTTTGGGATATCCCAGGAAAAATAGAAGCAGAAACTACTGTCTTTCATTTGTTCGTCTCATGTCCAGAATGGAAATCATATCAGCGAATAAGTTTGGTATTTACTGCTGTTGCTTTCGTTCCACAAACAATACGTAACTGATTGATGTTTTGTTTTATTGGCTATTGTATAAATGGTGAATATATGTAACAGAAATCTTTTAAGAAAAAATTACCCTACAAAAATAAATAAATCAAATTGCAGCCTGCAGTTAAACCCTTAAAACCTTGAAGTTAGGTTACAGTTGAAGTTAACACCTGCTTTCTGCCACACTATTAGCTGTAGCAATTTGAACCTTATCACAATGAAGTCACAGAATGCCTGGATGGGTTTGTTTTAGGAAGCTGAAGCAAGGAGGCTGAGATAAGTGTTATTTTCAAGGTCCTGTCGATATGGAGGAAAGGAGAAAGAAGATAGAAGAACAGCACATTTGGGGTGCTCATTGACTCTAAAACCAGTGATGCGCAAGCTGGAAAGACTGTAAGTCCACACATGTCAGGAAGACGTATGGGAGATGTAGAGAGATGTGCAAGGGGCAACAATACCCTAACTCACTCTCTTGTCAGCTCTGCACCCCATAATAAGAGTGTCCAGACCCAGGCACCAAGACTAAATGTTTATGAAACTTGTGGTTTATGATCTGCAGGACTGAGGTAAGAAAAGTACCATCATTGGTGAGGGCCCCTGAGGTTTTGTAGTCCAAAGAACTCTATTGACTTACTAGGGCTTGGCGTGCCTGCTTATATCGCTCGCCAACCCCAAACCCTCCCTTTACACTTCGCCCATGCTCAGAGGCACAATGTGGAGATACTCAATATCAATACCATTATTGTCTTCTTGCCTAGCTTGCGAACTTTTCACTCTCCTTCCCACACTGACTTCCGAGGGCTGGATTTGTGTTTTCCCACTCCTTACCGTTGGTATGCCTTGCGCCGAGAAAGCGTTATATGGTGGCAGCACCTCTGAGACGTTTTCATATCCTGGAGGAGGAAGCTCAAAGAGTGACGTGTTGAAAATCTGTTCGGAAGAAGAGACACTATTAGAGAGCTGGAGTAGGATGTCACATACATTCAGAAAAAGTTTGTACTCATTAAGAATTGGAATTTGATATTTTGAATACCAAATAGCTGCTATTGTTGTTGTTGTTTCTGGAAAGAGCTGGGCTACCAGCTAGGTGCCCATGGTTTGAGGACCTCGCTGGTGTCCACAAACTCTCCAAGTCCTTCAACAACCTTGCTCATTGCCCCTTCAGGACGAGGTGGTGAGCATGGCTACCCCTCTTGAAAAACACACAGAATTAAAGGAGGGAATTGGGAGAGTACTGATTTTCCCAACTCCTCTCCTAACTCTGTGTTCTTCTCGGGGCTCAGGTCGGTACCTGAGCAGCTAAAACAGGGGTCACCAAACATTTTGGCCCATGATGTGTGGCATAATTTGTTGGTCACACTGTTTAAAAAAATATTGAAGACTTGATGACGTGTGCCTTCGGTTATTAGGCAACATCCAACAATATGCTTCCACTAATGCAGGGAATTTTGGCTGTCCAACAGAATTTCCCTTCCCTTTCCTGTTACCCCCCCCCCAAAAAAAATCTGTTCAGGGAGAGGAGAGGGAAGGAAAGTTTGTTGGTTTATACACCGCCTTTTTCACTCGCTAGTTCAAGGTGGTGGGTATGGTTCTCCCTCTCCTCATTGAATCCACCCAACAACCCTCTGAGGTAGTATAAATGGCCCCGGTCCAGTATATCTGAAGGAGCGTCTCCATCCCCATCGTTCTGCCTGGATGCTGAGGTCCAGCACCGAAGGCCTTCTGGCGGTTCCCTCACTGCGAGAAGCCAAGTTACAGGGAACCAGGCAGAGGGCCTTCTTGGTAGTGGCACCCACCCTGTGGAACACCCTCCCACCAGATGTCAAAGAGGAAAAACAACTACCTGACTTTTAGAAGATATCTGAAGGCAGCCCTGTTTAGGGAAGCTTTTAATGTTTGATGCATTAATGTATTTTAATATTTTGTTGGAAGCCACCCAGAGTGGCTGGGGAAGCCCAGCCAGATGGGCGGGGTATAAATAATAAATTATTATTATTATTATTATTATTATTATTATTATTATTGGGGTAGGTTATAGTAAGAGGCTGGGCCGGACCTAAGGTCACTCAGGGAGCTCCCTGACTAAACGGGGACTTGATCCCGGGTCTCCCGGGTCCTAGTCTGACACTAACTTTTACACTGGTCCAGTTCTTCACAGCACTGGTTCCAGTGTTGTGCCTTGACCTTGCAGAAGCATTCCAATGTTTTTCTGGCTCTGGCAAACACACTAGATCTGTGATTTTTCACAGGTTCTGTTTATGGACTTCCCATAAGACTGGCCACTGTGAGAACAGAGTGCTGGACAAGATGGACCTTGGGCCTGACCCTGCACTGCTCTTCTTACTTTGCAGTGCCCTACAAAGGTTTGATTTGATAGTGGGGTGTTTGTTTGTTTTTTTGGAGAGGATATCATATGAAATCATGCAAACTAATGCGAATCCTTCTTCATTCTACCGGATCCATTTTTTACCCAGTAAAGACACTCTCTGTGTTTGCACACACATGTGTGTGGTTCCTCTCTTTCTGTGTGTCTTCCAGGGCAGGGGAGAGAAGCAACCTGAAGAGGCAGTACTCTTGGCACCCTCTCAAAAATCCAAATGTCCCCGTGGAAACCCCTCCCCCCAAGAAAGATTGGCAGCGCCTGGAATACAAAAGCCACCCGCTTTCAAATTTGATTCCGAGATCTGACACAGTTTAGCCCTCCTGAATGTGATTCTTTCTTTTCTTTCAGCTCGCATGCAGCAGAGGGAACATTCTGCCCTCTTTACCTCGTTTCCATGATCATCGGTAATGGCAACATAGTTGGGGGTGCTTTGATTTGGGTAGGAAAGTAGGACATCGTAATGAACCAGCTCGGCTGTATCCAAGCCAAATTCCTTCCACTGGGCTTGTATTCGTCTTGCCAGGTGAAGATTTTGTTCTGTTCCTGCCACATGAGGGAGCTTCGTGAAAGAGCTGAAATGAACCACAGAGGTTGGTTTTTTTAAAAAAGAGAGAGGATAAGCGCTGGGATCTCCTGTTCCCCAAAGGGCAAAGCAGGCAAACCTTTTCCAAAATGGTTTAGAATAGCCAAGGTAGGTGATTCCCAAATAATTCTATTCCATATCATCTCTGCCCCTCCCACAAAGGATGCATCTTTGTGTTAAAAAATGGGTGTGGGGGTTTAAGACAGTCCAGGGCAGTTTTATTCTCCCCAGCTCTTGTGAGACTACAACTCCCATCATTCCTGACCACTGGTCCTGCTAGCTAGGGATGATGGGAACTGTGGTCCAACAACAGCTGGGGAGGGACTGGTCCAGGGGCTTGAATGTGGCCCTCTGAATGTGGCCCTCAAAACTCTTCTCAGGGGCCACTGCTTTCACTGGTCCTTACTTTGGGCCTTGGGTTTATTTGCCTGGCTGAGCTCTGGCCTGAACTCTGCTGGGATAGCTCAGTCAGTAGAGTACAAGACTCTAGATCTCAGGGTTGTGGGATCAAGCCCCACACTGGGCAAAAGATTCCTGCATTGCAGGGGGTTGGACTAGATGACCCTAATGGCCCCTTCCAAACTCTACAATTCTATGATGTTTCTTGTTTTCCTGGATGAAAGATAGAATGGGGTGTTTGAGCGTGACTAGCCTGCTGTGTAAAGGCACTATTTGCATGCATTGCTCTGCCCAGTTTGCCTCTGACCCTTTCTGCCCTGGGTATCTGCCCCTCAGAAGGTTTCCCAGACAGTAATACAGTCCTTGGTCTGAAAGCAGTTGCCGACCCCCTATTTAAGAAAATTCATCAGTCCATCTAGCGAACTATTGTACTACTCTGAACCTAAGATCCTGCTGCATCAGACCAGAAGCCTATCTAGTCCAGCCAAACCATCTGTGAAGTATCTTCCTCCCTCTATGATTCTTCATTCTACAGCTTGCCTGGGCCGCCTGCTTCTGGCCATGAAAACTGCAGCGTGACGACAGCCTTACTTTTCTTTATATATAGTAAGATAATGCTTACAGTGCCACAAGTCTGTACTGCCGTGTCCAAAAGCAAACAAATTAAGTAGTCATCATTTGGCAAGGGGCAAGAATGATTAACTGCTGCCTTAAGCAGAGCAGATATGTGGCAAACTGGAAAAATTCCAACTGAAATGCATCCTTTTTCAGGGTATTTTCCAAGAGTGGATTCTCAAGTGGGTTAAAGTTTAAACGAGTGCTATGTCTATATGTGAAATTCCAGGGTTGTGGTCAGTCGGGTATGCGGAATATGTGTGGGGGTGGTGAAGGATAAAAGAAAACCAGGTTAGATAGGATGGAGGCACATGACTGCCTCCTCTCCAAAGGCAGACATTGTGGTTCAATGATTAATCAACGTCTGCAACTCTGATGGTTAGTCAGCTGAGTTTTCTTCATGTGATGCTCTGCATCTGAGAAGGTTTCCAATCTGTACCTCCTTTATCTCTCCCCAGATGTTCAACGTTTGAGCAGCAAGAGCAGGGGGAAAGAATGCTAAGCACCACCGCTGTCACCCTCTAGGACAGAGGTGGGGGAACCCTCAGGCCTGGGGGTCAAATGTGGCCCTCCAAGCTTCTCTCTCTGAGCCTTGGAAATCCCCCTTGCCCACCCACCCCCTGCCTTGTACCCGGAGCATTTCTGCCTGACCTTTGATGGCACCTTTTGCTCATGTGAATGCAATATCATCATCATCATCATCATCATCATCATCATAAATTTATTTATACCCCGCCCTCCCCGGCCAGAGCCAGGCTCAGGGCGGCTAACACCAATAAAATCACAGTAAAAACATAATAGGGGGAAAAGGGGGGGGGGACCAAATTAAAATGCAGGTTAAAATGCAATTTAAAATGCAGCCTCATTTTAAAGCAGCTGATAAATCAAGACCATGAGGGGAGGGAAACATAAGGGTCAGACCGAGTCCAAACCAAAGGCCAGGAGGAACAGCTCTGTCTTGCAGGCCCTGAGGAAAGATGTCAAGTCCCGCAGGGCCCTAGTCTCTTGTGACAGAGCGTTCCACCACATAGAGAAGGGTGTGTGAGCATGTGCAGAAGCTAGCCTCCTGCACAAAAGTAAAATTCACATTTATTGCTCTACCCACTTCTGCTTGGGGCCCCACCCACCACTGACATGTGGATACTTGGAAGACTGCCCAGAAGGAAACATGGCCCTCAGCCACACACTCTAATTTCTGTTGTAGACTGCCTCTTTCTGTGATGTTACGTGTGATGCTTTTTGGGTGTTTTTTGGCTAAGGGACTGTGCAATTTCTAAAGTCTTTAAAAGTTCTTGCACACCTTTGTTCTGGGTCCTCACCTCCTTGCAATGGGGGTGGGGTGGGGAAGGAACTCTGTTGCAACAGAGAAATAAATATCTGCCTTGATTTCACTGGATTTTGCCTCCATCCATTCTTCTCTGACTCATAATGGATTTAGAGGACACAGAGTCCCTCGATGGGGAGTTGGGCTGCATATGCCAACCCCATTTTTTCCTATAACAGACCGAAGCAGGGGCCTGATCCTGTTTTGGCTGCCACTGCCTTTCACCTGGCAGTCTGTTGATATCATCTGGGGAGAAGCGTCTGGAGCTTGCTCTGCATTTTTACAACTTTTAAAACAGTTAGTCACCAAAGAAAGCAGCAGAACTCACCGCAGAAATTCCCGAATGTTTTCCGCCTTCAGTTCTGCAAAAAGTTGCCTTCTTGCATTTCGAAAGACGTGTGTCGTGCCAGCTGGCTTGTTCGACGATTTCACACACCATCCTGCAATGCCATCGCAATGACAACCGTCAGTTCTGTCCCCCTTGTCCATCCAAGCACTACTATTATGGGATTGCATCAGCCAAGCTATCAAGGTTCCTTTCAATTGCCCATCATCCAGTGTGATGGGATTATTTGCAGGGAAGATGTGTGCTTCAAATGTGCCGTGTGGATGTGACCAGAGAAATCAGTAGGCTTCTCATACTATGGAACAAAACACTATCCTTGGCAAGTTCTGCATCTGTTAAAGGAGGGGTGATGAATCTTTGCTCCATGGGCCATATGTAACCGCAGTGGCCTCCTCTTCTGGCTTCAGGCTGAGAGAGAGAGGGAGAGACAGTGACCGGCCCAAGGTCATGCAAGGGAGTGGGGCACAGTGGTTAGAGCAGTCTCTCTCTCTCTCTCTCTCTCTCTCTCTCTCACTCACTCTCTCTCCCTTCCTCCCTCTCCTTCTGTCCTCATCCCCCAGTTTTTTGTGTGTGTGTTCTGTTTTTTCCAAGGAGCTCATGGGGGCTTACCCAGATGTCGTCCCCCCCCCTTGATTTCACCCACAAAACAACCCCATGAGGTCGGCTAGGCTGAGAGGGAGTTACAGTCATACCTCATGTTACGTCCTCTTCATGTTACATTCTTTCAGGTTATGTCCCGCAGCAACCCGGAAGTACCGGAAAGGGTTACTTCCGGGTTTCACCGCTCATGCATGCGCAGAAGCGCAAAATGACGTCAAGCGCATGCGCAGAAGCGGCGAATCACAACCTGCACGTGCGCAGATGCGCCACTGTGGGTTGCATTCTTTTCATGTTGTGAACGGGCCTCCGGAATGGATCCCATTCGCAACCAGAGGTACCACCGTACCGGCCCAAGGTCATGCAAGGCAGTGTAATGTAATGGTTAGACTAGCCTCCCTCTCTCCCTGCCCCCCATGTGTCCTCACACCTCAGGTACGGTATATACTGCGTAGATATATTTAGGCCTTATTACAGGGTGATTCATAATGAAGTATACAGCTTCCATTATAAATCACCCTGTGTTTTCTCAAAGGAGCTCAAGGTGGCCAACATGGATCTCCCCCCACCCTCCTCTCAATTTCATCCTCACAACAACCCTGTGAGGAGTGGCGCAGCAGAAAATCTGCTAGCACGTTTGCAAAGCTAAGCAGGGTCCGGGATGGTTTCAAACTGGATGGGGAACCATGTGTTGCGATTCCTGCACCGCAGGATGTTGGGCTAGATGGCCCTTGGGTTCTTTTCAAACTCTCCAATTCTACGATTTCCCTGGTGCGGCAGTTAGGCTTGGAATTGGCCTCCGATTAGAGCCAATGGAAGATTGTATTCAGTCCAGCGGCTATATGGGACATCTTTGGGGAAGGCTCGCAGCTGGGGATGGAAGGGTTAACTCCTCCCCATGTACTCTAGCAAGCAAACGGACAGCTATAGGAGCCACTTCAAAAGTTGGCAACACCAGGCTAAACGAAACAAGCTGCCAAGACGCAGGAAAGAATCTTGTATATATATTCAGGCAAGTTTGGAGCTAAACCGGTAAGCAGCCCACATTTCTGTTTCGTTCTGTTTATTAAAAATAAAATTAGAAAGCCCTTGAGCTGAGCAAGAGCTATCTGAGTCACTGCTCCCTTGGGCTGCCTAATAAAGAGATGAGCAGAGCTTCGGCTGGTTCGGTGGCCTTGCTCAGATGCCTTCCCTCGCTCAGGGATCGCAAAGGAGAGTTGTCAGCAAGAGGAGCTGCAGGAGGAAAATGAATCCACTCTAGAGTGAGGGGTGGGAAATATTTTTCAGTCTGAGGGCCACATTCTCTTTGGCGCAACTTTCTGGGGGCCACATGCTGGGGTGGGCAGAGCCAGTGACTGGGAGTGGCTGCCGAGACCATATAACACCAGTCCTGAAAGACCTACATTGGCTCCCAGTACATTTCCAAGCACAATTCAAAGCAGTGTTGACCTTTAAAGCCCTAAACAGCCTCGGTCCAGAATACCTGAAGGAGCGTCTCCACCCCCATAGTTCACTGAGGTCCAGCTCCAAGGGCCTCCTGGCAGTTCCCTCCCTGCAAGAAGTGAGGTTACAGGGAACCAGGCAGAGGGCCTTCTTGGTAGTGGTGCCCACCTTGTGGAACATCCTCCCATCAGATGTCAAGGAAATAAACAACTACTGTACCTGACTTTTAAAAAGCATCTGAAGGCAGCCCAGTTTAGGGAAGTTTTTCGTGTTTGATGTTTTATTGTGTTTTTAATATCCTGTTGGAAGCTGCCCAGAATGGTTGGGGAATAAGTAATAAGTTGTTATTAATTATTATTATTATTATTATTATTATTGGTGGGGCAATGAATGCACATTTTACCACTGTGCAGTAGGCTAGTTTGAAACCCACCAGCTACCATTACCTGGTTTAGCTGGCCAGGGGAAGCTGTTCCCCAGGTTGTGACTACAGTGGTACCTGGGGTTACAGACGCTTCAGGTTACAGACTCCGCTAACCCAGAAATAGTACCTTGGGTTAAGAACTTTGCTTCAGGATGAGAACAGAAATCGTGCTCCGGTGGCGCAGCAGTAGCGGGAGGCCCCATTAGCTAAAGTGGTAATTCAGGTTAAGAACAGTTTCAGGTTAAGAACGGACCTCCGGAATGAATTAAGTTCTTAACCCGAGGTACCACTGTACTGTCACCACAGGTGAGAGCTGAATGCAGGTTGGGACCCAAAGGTAGACAAACTACCACAGAAGGAGCATGATGTGTCCCCACCAGAAATACGACGCCTCCACTAACACCCCATACATTACTTGCACATTGCTTCACTGGTTTCAAAATGTGATAAGCCAATGCTGGGGCTGCTCCTTCTGCTGAGTGGAGCCTGGGGCATCTGCCACAAAGTCCAGTTCAGAGAGCACCACTGCTAGAAAGCTACAGATGTCTGCCTCCTTTAGAAAAACCCTCAGCAGCTTACAGCAAAAACAGAAGTTTTGGGTGATGGGGTGGATTGGGGGGTGAGGAACCAGCTTTTATTTCTTTGCTAAAGAAATAAAAGCCCCCACTGTCAGCTTATCAAACATAACACAGAGCTTTCCAAATTACTCCTTTTGTGTATTTGTGAGCCGACGGAAGGGGAAAAAACAACAATTGCAACAATCTTGCCTTGACAGACTTGCTTCCTTTACTGGGAAGGGTTATGTAAGTGTTCAGTCTCAGCAAAAGGCCTGCCTGTCTTAAGAGTTGGGCTGTTTCAAAGCTTCACCTCTATCCTCCCCCATAAAGAGGACCGTCAAAAAAAAGCATAAAGATGCATTGAGCCGAAACAGTCTCACTGCTACAGAACACAGGGAGCCCGGCTTATCATTCTGGCCAATTCATCTAGGCCAATATTGTCTGCTCTGGCTGGTAGCAGTTCCCCAAGGTCTCAGGTCTTTCTCATTAGTCCTTCTAACAGTGAACTCAGGTGCTGACAGGACTGGAGCCAAAACAGAGTTATCCAGCATATTCAAGGCATCTCCTGAAGCTTGCGGAAGTACAAAACCTCAAGGGTCACACACAAAAGAGGAGACTACTCTGCATGCTCAATATCCACAGACTATTGACTATCAGTTGGAAAACAAACAAACAGAAAACCAGGATTTGGGAGACTGGAATAACCTGTTTGGAATGAATGGCTGCTCTCAACAGGAGCACTCCTCTTCAGAGGGCAGATGCGCTGCAACACTCTGTTGCAGGTCACACTCGTCACCTGTCAACAATTTTTTTTTTAAGCCACGAGGCTTTACATGAGGCTTGCTTTCTTACGCCCTATAAATACGTTAGAAATGGGAAATTTGAGAACGTGGTGCCAGAAACACATTGATTACTCTGTTATTATCTAGGTACTAGATGATAAAATGGATGTCCTTCCTTTGTAATTGGTTGTGCCGCTTTGGAAGAATAAAGGGCATCTGATTCTCCAAGCATCACCATGGGCATGGAAGATTTAAGGGATGGGCTTCCTCAATAACAGCAGGTTTGCCAAAAACCTTGTGCCTTGGTGGGGAGAGGTTCCGAATCCAAAGGGGCCTGTGACAAGGTTTATCAGAAACGGAATACAAAAAGTTATTGGGGTTCGCTGGGACTTCCAGCGAACGGCAGAGTACGTTTGGAATGCCTGCGCTCAACCTTGGAGCATGCGCAAAGCAGGAGCAACAAGAGCGCCTCGGAGCATGTGCAAAGCGCTTGTCCCATGCAGCGTGGGTGCACAGGAAGCTGCCTTTAACTAGGTCGGAACTATTTGTCCCACACCCGCCGAAGTGTCAGACAGCAGAGATTTCCCTCTTCTGTTGCTACCTGACCACCCCACCGCCACCTCTCCTCTCACTGTGCGCTGCGCCCAGCTCAGGACTGGCAGCAGCAAATGCAGGATTTCAGACAGGTTTCTCTCCCGACCCTCCCTGGAGATGCCGGGGATCGAACCCGCGACCTTCTTGCTCTAACCACTGAGCCGTAGCTCTTCCCCCGAAGACCTCCCTTATCCGTGCGCTCAGGGAAGCCCGTCTGGCTGCTTTGACGCGCGCGAAGCCCAGCTCTGATTTCCGCCTCGCCCACCCCACCTCGCGCGCCCTGTTCCAAGTAGGGGGCTGCCCCCTTTCCCGGAGCCCACAAGCCAGGATCCTCACTCGACTCACCCACCAAGATCCCCAGCAGGAAGATCGCCAGGAGTGCCACGAAGCCCAGCCAGCTGCAGATAGCCACCTTCCTCCTGGCCATGGCGCGTCCCGGAGCGAAAGGAGGCTTGCTCAGGACGGGACGGGCTTTCGCAACCCTCTTGGGAGAGGATCCGAGCCGTCCCTCCTCCCACTGTGAGATCTTTCTCACGTCGAGAGAAAGGGGGCAGGGGAGAGTTGAGCCGAGGTTGCTGGAGGGGCGCTCCAGGCCAGGAGGGGGCCCCTGTGTGGGCACTGGACGTCTCCTGCCGGCAAGACGCAAAGGTTCCCTCCTCCAGAAGTTTGCAAAACTGCCATTAAAAAAGAAAACAAGGAAAGATCAAGATGTTTTTCTCTTTTCCACCCCCCCCCCCTGTACTTAATTACACTGCCCTGGGATCTTTGGATAAAGGGCAGTTTAGGAATCAGATAAATAATAATTAGAGGGTTGTGGTTTGCCTTAATGATTACTCTCAGACTCGGCACCTGCAAAGCAGGGCTTGTTTTGAGGGAGTTTAGAGTTTGTTTTGTAGTGGCTGGGCCTGGGACACCTGGGGCGGATAATCAGGGAGAGAGGGTCCCCAAGCATGTGCAAAGTGCCTTTCCGTTGCACCGCTTGAGTGTGGGGCTTCCTGCAACTCTCTCTCCCATTGGAAGGAAACTTCCAACAGGGACAAATGTCAGGTTCTGCACTCAGGCAGGAAGAACCAGCTGCAGAAATACAAGATGGAGGACAGCTGGCCTGCAAGGGGCAAACCACCATTAACTGGAAACAAAGCCTTATGAGGAACAGTTGAGGGAGTTGGGTATGTTTGGCCTGGAAGAAAGGAGACTGGAGGGGAGATAATGATGGCCATCTTCAAAAATCTTAAGGCAGGTGTGATGGCCTGGGATTCGGACTCGGATGCTGAACCTGAGGGATCCCAGTCTGCACAGGATTCCCCGCCTCCAGAACCAGCTGAGCCAGGGCTGGGGCATGAGCCTGAAGGGTCCTCGCCTGTGCTGGATCCTCAGGTGCAGGCACCAGCTGAATCCGCTCTGGCTCCTGAGGTGATGGAGGACCCATTGCCTGCAGGTGCTCCACTCTCAGCCCTGTCAGAGGAAGCTGAGGTTGTGTCTGGGTCCAGTAACCCTCCAGCCTCTCCTGAGCTACAGAGGCTCAGGGCAGAGAGGTGGAGGGAACTAAGTTCCCGCAGGAGGAGTGCTCGCCTCCAGGCCAGGAGAGGTGAGTCATCAGAGGATCGGGGCCACCCTATGCCTCGGGGCAGATAAAAGCCGGCCAGCCCCAGTCCCAAGTTGCGGGAGCAACATTGTTGGTTGCTAGTTCCTGCCTGAACCCTGTCCTGTTTTTCTGCCAGAGCTCCTGACCTGCCCTAGCTCCCTGCTTGCTTGCCTGTTGCTGATTTCACCCGACTCCCTGTCCTGCACCCAGCTCCAGCTACTACGGACTGCCTCCACGTTGCACCTTTGACCACAGACCGGACTTGGACCTCCCCTCTTGAGTAACCCACAGCAGGCTCCCTCAAACTCGGCCCTCCAAGTGTTTTGAGACTACAATTCCCATCATCCTTGACCACTGGTCCTGCTAGCTAGGGATCATGGGAGTTGTAGGCCAAAAACATCTGGAGGGCCGAGTTTGAGAAGCCTGTCTTAAGGGCTGTCACGTGGAAGATGGAGAAAGCTTGTTTTCTCCTGCTCCGGAGGGTAGGACTTGAACCCATGGCTTTGAGTTACAAGAACTAGGTCTTCCTTTGTCCCTTCTTCCCTGACACCAGTTTAGGTTCTGCCTCAGGTTCCAAGATGTTTTGGACCAGCCGTGGTCCCAGGTTCTATCCCTGTCAAGGCCAAGCATGTACAAATTTTAGTTTTTGAAGGAGGCTCTGTTCCCTTCCCATAGATACCCTTCCTATAGTGGTTTAACAGTCAAGTTCTCTTCTTGAGGTACTCTGGGAATTGTAACTTTGCGAGGGGAGCCAGGGTCTCCTAACTACTCTCAGCAGCTTTAGCAAGCTACACTTTCTCAGGATTCTTTGGGGTGGGGGGCAGCCATGGCTGTTTAAAGTGGGGTGATACCGCTTTAAATGTATAGTGCAGATGGGCCTTGATCTCTGTGTTCTACCATTTCTCTGTTTGACCTGTGAGGTCTTTTTATCCAAGCTATGCCCACCCGCCCTATACCTGATGTTGGAAACAATATCAGGTATGAGGCAGGCAAAGACAGGCATTGGACAAGTCACATCTGATGTGGAAAATGAAATCTCTTGAGATATATTATTAGCCTTTAACAGTCGCTGTGACAGGACCAAGAAGCAACGGCCACTTGTACCTGTTTCCCTGAAATATACTCGGAGTCGAGAGTGGATTTCATGCTCTTTATTCAGCTCATAGTGGTGAGGAGGAATGGAAGTTCCCCCAGAATGTCTGCTTTATATACATTATTTATACAATGGGCCCCACATGATTGGCTAATTCCAGGATTCTCCTGTAGGCCAATCAGGTTGCGGATTCACTTCCACCTGGAGCTGGATTGGGTGGCTCCTGTAGACCAATCAGACTGCTGCATTCTGGATCCTATTATTCTAGGACCAATCAGACTGCTGCATTCTGAATCCTATTGTTCTAGGACCAATCAGACTGTTGCCTTTTGGATCCTATTCAACTCAGTACATAACATTCCCCCTCCTCTAGGAGCTTTGCAGTGGGGAGTACGTGGGGAGAAACATTAAACCCTTCCCCTCCCAACACCACGACTGCAGATAAGAGTTAAAAAGAGAGATTGGGAGAGCCAATCGGATTTCCTGTGCCATATGTAGTTTGCCTGGAGACAAAGATTAATCTGTGCAAGAAAGAACAGAAAGAAAAAGCCTCATGAAGTGGCGTTTATTTCTCTCCTAACACCCATATGCCCAGAAAATACTATCAAGAAAATATGAATAATACTCTTCCAAAATGTCTAAAACATATGTTCCTCCCACCCCCAGGGGCAAATTGTGTAGGTGTCCCATTTGCTGCTCTTGTTTTAAAAGCTGTGCTCTTTGTAGCCACAGCAAATAAATATCTTCTGCTGCTTCCTTTAGTTACTTTTTGTACTAGCTGAATCAGGTATTTTGGATGCCCAGTTACAGCTTTAAGTCATGTTGCAGATGAACTTCTCCACATGTCCTTTCCATTAAGCATCCCCATTGAATAGGGATGGCTATGTCCAGGCTTGCTTTCAATCCTGCTACAGAGCCACTGCCAGTCAGCAAATGGCCCGACTCAACATAAGGCAGCTGAGACTTTGCTTGATGCTCCTTGGATGTGATTCTGGTGCAGTTCTTGTTTCCTTCAAGATACGAGCTGTATCAGTTGCTTTTAGCTATCCTACTGATTTCTCAAAACCTAGCTGTCCTTGAGGTTTGTCATTATGCCCTTTGAGGGCCTCTTGTGACGCTCTCGTCAAAACACGGACAAATCCGAGGTGCCCCAGCTTCAACAAATCTCGCCAAAGATACGTCTAACCAGATGGGATGCCACCTCCGCAAACCATAGCTGTGAAAGCAACATGTATTATTAGCAGTGTTATGTAAGCCTTTAGGTGGTGATGTTAGGAAAGCTTCACTCCACGAAAAGCAGAAGATGCGCAGCCATAAATGTTGTATCAGAGTTGGGGCTCAGGATCCATACTTCAAGGGTGAGGGATGAGAAAATGACAGGATAGCAGAAAGCTTTTTGGCAAGTGCCTTGGTCAGTCTGTCCTTGTTCATCTCTTTGACTGTTTCTGCAGCTGGTGGGGTGTAGTGGTTAGAGAATTAGAACAGGACTTGGGAGACCAGGGTTCAAATCCACTACTCTTACTGGGTGACCTTGAGTCAGTCACAGCATGAACTACCTCTATCTGAAGTCCTGTATGGTTGAAGCTTTCAATGTTTAATAGACTATTGTATTTTAATATTCTGTTGGAAGCTGCCCAGAGTGGCTGGGGAAACCCAGCCAGATGGGCGGGGTATTAACAACAACAACAACAACAACAACAACAACAAAATTATTTATACCCCGCCCATCTGGCTAATAATAATAATTTATTATTTATACCCCACCCATCTGGGCAGCTTCCAACAGAACACTAAAATACAATAACCTATTAAACATTAAAAGCTTCCCTAAAGAGGGCTGCCTTCAGATGTCTTCTAAAGGTTTGGTAGTTATTATTCTCTTTGACATCTGGTGGGAGGGCATTCCACAGGGTGGGTGCCACTACCAAGAAGGCCCTCTGCCTGGTTCCCTGTAACTTGGCTTCTCGCAGCGAGGGAACCGCCAGAAGGCCCTCGGCACTGGACCTCGGTGTCCGGGCAGAACGATGGAGGTGGAGACGCTCCTTCAGGTATACTGGACTGAGGCCATTTAGGGCTTTAAAGGTCAGCACCAACACTTTGAATTGTGCTCGGAAACGTACTGGGAGCCAGTGTAGGTCTTTCAAGACCGGTGTTATAATTATTATTAAAGACAGAGTACTGCAAAGGAGAGCTCCAGGGCCTTGCAGTTGCCCATCAGCAGCTAGCAGAGGTCATCTCATTGCTCTTCCCAAAGGTGGTAAGGTGTATTTCATATTAATAATAGTAATTATTTTCTCATCAATGGATCAGCAACCTTCTCATCCTGTAACAGGTCAGGTTTAAGTTTAAAGCATTTGCTCTGTAAACCAACATCCTGGGAGAACAATATGCCACACTCGGCAATCTTTTTAGAGGGAACTTTATTTTTATTTTTAAAGGCACAAAAGCAAAACCGATTTCTAAAAGGAGGTTCTATTGATGGGGAAACTGAGTACAGCAACTTCATCTGTGGTTTTTCAGTGTATGTTCCAGAAGGTATTGAGCTTGGGATCATTTGCTTTTCAAAGCCAATAGGGGCCCCCAGGGCCACATCTGTCCGTGGGGCCACTCCTATGCCCAATGGTCCTCTCCCCACATGGACATCTATGATGGCGGCACTCCAGGTAGTACCAGAACTTAATTTTATTTAAATTTCCAGCATTTAGGTTTCACACAGTGCCCCAGAATAGCCAATGTAGACTTGTTCTGTGGCATTGTGGGAAATTTAAAATGGCATCTAATATGTGCTCCCCACCAGTGAGAATACCAACCATGATGGGACTTTTCAGCTTCTAAGTTCTAAACTTAGATATCCAAAAGTTCAGTAGCTCATTCACCCTCCTTTCCATAGAACTTTCGTTTGTTTTTGTTTTTGGTTGTGTACAAGTTTGTAAAGATGCACCCAAAACTTTGGGGTGCAAGTAGATAATAAAGCCATGGAATTTAAAAGTAAGTTTTAAAATAAAGCCCAAATTTAAATCCTTTGCAAAGTGACTCATATTGAATATAATGTGTGAACACCCCTCATGCCTTCAAGGGAACTGAGATCCATCAACACATTGGTGTGCCATCAGATCACATCCTTGGGGATCTGGAAGGTGGGCATTCTTCTGTATCAAGGTCCGCACCATTTGAACTACTTGTTTGTTTGTTTTTCCATCAATAAATTGGCTTTGATGGCCCTCAAAACCTCAATGCAGGGAAGGCAATGAAAGACACGCCTGTCAAGATTGGGTTGTGATGGTGTGAATAGCTTGGATTTCTCTTTCTGTGTTAAGTCCTCTGAGCTGAAAACCTATATCCATGATTAAGTGCCCACTGAAATCCCTGGGATTTATGAGTGTACAACCTGTGTACCTATGTGCACAGTAATGTTCAATGCCTGTGTTGTCTGTGTGCACAATGGTTGAGGTGAACAAATCAACAAGGGCGCACTCTTTCACACAATCACTTGTACATGGGTAAAGGCAGCTTGTAGCTGTGTTCAGTGCAACGTGTGAACAAGCCTCCCCAAGGAAAGTCTCTCCGGCCACCAAGTTCCAAACTCAGCATGACTTTGGCAAGTAGAGCCAGCTCCTTGGACCCTCTAGGGATTCACGCTGTTTCTTTCAGAGTCCCAGCTGCGGCAGTGACTGTGAAGGCTGCAATGGAGATCTGTCTCTTGACTTCCTCCCAGGCCTTGTGGTGGTCCTCTGCATGGGTAATGTCAAACAGGGCATCGTAGATACCAGGAAAGGACACTCCAGCATACTTGTTGTGGCTGTTCGGAGCAAAGATGATGTGTCTGGAAACACAAGCAACCATATTTAAAAAGCAGAGCTCATGATAACATCTGGGGAGGTTGTGCCTGGGGAGGAACCTTAACCAACCCTACTGAAATTTTTCAGGGACTCAAGTCCTATCTTTCAACATCCATCCCTTTGCTCCTCTTTGTCAGAAGCGGGGAATTTCTTTCTGCCATGTACCAGAGGCAAAAGCATTTTTCTTGTCTCTGATAGATGCACGTCACACTTAGGAAGACGGGAAGGTGGTGTATATTAGGTCTGACTCCAACATCAGCCGAAGAAGGAAGGGTGGAAAGACCACTTGTTTTTCCTTCTCAAGGTGGTTGGAGAACCATCACTCCCATTGCTGGCCCCAGTAAGTGAGGTTTGAAGGGAAAAGGGGACGGATTAGGATAGGTAGGAGGAAGGGAGTTGAGGGGTTTGGGGGCAGAAGCTCAGGTCACATTTAGAAATGCTTGGAAATCAAATGAGCTGTTTCCCAATTATGATTTGTTTTTGGCATTTGGGTTATTTACATTCCATTGTAACATAGGTTGGTGTTTGAGGCTCCCCATCACTTGTTAAACACTTTAAAACCACGAGATAAATGTCTCTGTATGTGAGACAAACTGCATCCAACTCAGAGGTTGTTTTTTTTTGGTAATGAAAGGGGTGGAGAATCTAAAGATTTTTAAGGAAGGGAAGGGAATGTAGAGGTGATAAATCATAGAATTGTAGACTTGGAAAGGATCCCAAGGGTCATCTAGTCCAACATCCTGCAATGCAGTAATCTTTTGCTGAAAGTGGATCCTAGAACCCGGAGATTTAGACTCTCATGCTCTACCAACTGAGCTACAAAGAGCATATGTTTTCTTACCTATAGAACGGCCTGCCAGGTAATCCAAGGGGATCGATAAATGCTCTTTCCAGAAACATCAGCTGATCGTTCCAAGATCTCACTGCAATAGGGCTGCAAATTAGACCACAGGAACAACAACAACAAAAAAAGCATCAAAGCTGCTCCAACAGAGCTGCTCCCTTTGGGAGCCAACACAAAAGCTGATATTCTCAAATGCACACAGGTCTATTCAACAGCTTCTTGGAAGTTGAGCGCTGGACTTTCCTAGCTAGACCCTCCCAGTCCACTGAGGGGACGTCTCTCTTTAGCATGCATTTATCAACAGACCTCAGCCTGAAGAATTCTGCCCCTGGGCAGAACAGGCCAGATGTCCAATAATCTAGGCGACTTACTTATTGGTGTCCAGTAGTTGTGATCTCTTGTGAAAGTCACTGGCAGATTCTGAAAACTTCCCCACTGCATCCAGGAGAGAACCTAGGAGAGCAAAGAGGGGGGAAAGCTCGTCATTGGATTTCATGAATCTTGTCTGCTCAATCCACAGAGATATAGTGTGAACACTCCTAGTAAATGTTTATTAATCAATTTGATTCCATCCCCCTCATCTTTTTTCCTTTCTTCTCCTGTGATGGAACTCCTATTTGGGGACTTCTCTGGCTTTTTTCTGGCCCAGTCTGGATAGTTAGCCTTGGTGAAGACTTGACGTTTCCATCCCCCAAAAAGTTTTTGATTTGAGTTTCCACTGAAATGAGGCTGTATTTTAATGTTTTAATGTATTTTAATCAATTTGCTTTTATATTGGCTGTTAGCTGCCCTGAGCCCGGTCTTGGCTGGGGAGGGCGGGGTATAAATAAATTTTATTATTTATTTATTTATTTATTTATTATTTTAATTTTAACTTTATTCCAAAACAATTTATATATAACAACGCAGACAAACAGACATTGTATATGCCTAGTATGCTGGTGATTTGGTTTTAAGTTTCCTAATGATCCCTATAATTGAATTTGCCTTTTTCACTGCTTCTGCAAACTGGGTCAGCAACTTCATTGAAAAATCCACTACAGCCCCAAGGTCTCGCCTAGCTCCACACCGACTGCTCTGATGGGCAGTGGTTCTGCAGCATGTCAAAGGGAGGTAATTTTCAACCGCATCAGCTAAAGTGCTTTATCTGGAGACATCTGGGCAAACGGAAACCTTCTGCATGTGATCAGAAGAGACTATCTATGTATGCTACAACAGCTGAGCAGATGCTACTTGTCCAAAGATGGAAGGAGGACAATCCACCTATGAAAGAAGAATGGTTGATAAGGATGATGGAGCATGCCAAATTGGCGAAAATGGCTGGGAAAATCAGAGATCAAGAGGACAATAAATTTAATAAAGAATGGGGAAATTTTTTTAAGTTACTTGAAAGAACACTGTAAACAATTGAAAACATTGGCAGGATTTTAAAAACACTTGCAATGAAGTGAGAATTATGATAAAAATGGAGCTTTAGGAAAATATGGAGAATATGATACGATGCAGTTTGAAAAGAACATCTGGTGAAACCGAGGAGGGGTGGAGGGAAGTTCAGGGATTCTGAAAATCCTATTTGTAAAACGATTATGATTTATATATGATGTTAAATGGTAAAAGTGAAAATGAATTAAAAAAACTAAAAAGAGACCTTCTGCACGTGAAAGATGTGCTCTGCCACTGGTTTGTGGTTTCTCTCCTAAGCAATGGGAAGCCTAGTTGCTGACCAGGGAAAAATCAAGGCTTGTTCATAAGACCTGGACACAACCTGGACACAGGGAATCGTGATGCACTCATGCGCAGGTGGGGTACTGATCCAACACCAGTGGGATATGCAAAGCAGCTGGATTAACAGAGTCACTGGGGAACTGTTCATTTTTTTAGGAGTCCCACTTTGCAACCTTCCTCTTGAGACTTTCCAAGGTCCCTCTATGAGTCTTTGCTGCAAGATTCCTGCATTGCAGCAAGGCAAAGGTGGGCAGAAGGTTTACCTGGTAGATCCTTGGGTGATTTTGCAGTGGTCAGCAATGGATTTTGACCACGGCAATAAACAAAAGTACTTTCCCCATCTAAATCAGGCTGCTGAAATAAAGTAAAGTAACCAGGGCGTGTGAAAGGACTGCAAGTTCGGTTCAGTTAGGGTAATGAAAACAAATCCCTAGGCTCAAAGTGTGCTCAGTGCCACCCGGTTCATTAATTCTGGGTGCTGATTTGTTTCCGGGACAAGTACAAAATGTTACTATTAGCATGTAAGGACCATAACAGCTTGGGACCATTTTGACGGCAGGATGTCCTTACCCCATCCATGTTCTCTGAACCCCTTTGATCTGTGGAACTGGCACAGTTACAGATGCACACCATACACTGTTCTGCACTTGAAATAAATCCCTCTGTGACAACACTTTGGAACTCCCTGCCTATTGATATATGAGGGGGGTTTCCTTGTACACTTTTGGATGCCTGTTTAAAAACGTTTTATTTAGGCAAGCCTATCCAATCATGTAAGGGACACGGGTGGCGCTGTGGGTTAAACCACAGAGCATAAGGCTTGCCGATCAGAAGGTCAGCGGTTTGAATCCCTGCGACGGGGTGAGCTCCCGTTGCTCGGTCCCTGCTCCTGCCCACCTTGCAGTTTGAAAGCACGTCAAAGTGCAAGTAGATAAATAGGTACCGCTCCGGCGGGAAGGTAAACGGCATTTCCGTGCGCTGATCTGGTTCGCCAGAAGTGGCTTAGTCATGCTGGCCACATGACCTGGAAGCTGTACGCCGGCTCCCTCAGCCAATAAAGCAAGATGAGCGCCGCAACCCCAGAGTCGGTCACAACTGGACCTAATGGTCAGGGGTCCCTTTACCTTTATCCAGTCATGCAGACTACTGACAGGTGTTTTAACCTTTTTGCTCAGTGTTGATTTTAATTATTTCTGAATGTTTTCAACAGCCTGTTTTAAATGTCTTTTATTTATAATTTTAATTGTTTGTGGGTCCCCCCCAAACCTGCTTTGATGATGATGATATTATTATTATTATTATTATTATTATTATTATTATTATTATTATTAATACTTCACCCATCTGGCTGGGTTTCGGCAGCCACTCTTAGAGGTCTTATTACAATCAAGTTAGTATACAAATGCTGTTAAATGAGAAAATAAAATAAAATTCTAACGGAATGTCTTTAGCCTCTTGGGGTTCTGGTAGGAGGAAAGTACGGATAGCTAACATGATAATAATGTGGTTTGCTAAGGGTTTTGTTGGGCTCCACCTTCCATCATCCCTGACCATCCATTGGTCCATGCTGGCCGGAACTGATGGGATATGTAGTCCCAAACATCTAGTTCTTAGCTATCCCTGGAACAAATGACCTCCAAGATTGCTTCCAACTCTGCTGTTCTCTGATTCTTGTCTTATGCCTGACAGCACATACCTAACGACACGTTGTACGTCTCCAGGGCTTCCTGGTGTTTCAGGGTCATGTTGTGAATGACGTTTGCGTAACCGCTGAGTGCCTTGGCGTAATCCCGGCAGTCGAAAGGAAGGACGACGGAATTGGCCAGTTCAAACACCATTCCTCCACGCACCTGAGCCACAGCAAGGTGGTTCTTAAAAGTGGGGTCATAAAACTGCTCCACGATCTCGTAGGTCTCATAGACGCTGTGATAAACAGGGTAGCTACTGTATTTGTCCACCCTCTGAAAAGTAAGAAGTGGGCACACTCAGATTGCATTTTCACATCTCATGGGTTTTTATGCACTGCAAAAAAACAACAACAACCCTACAAGTTGGGTTGGGGGAAATGTGCAGCCACCCAGACTTTGCAAAGTCTTGGCAGTCATTGCCACATCAGCTGCCTGGTCACTCATGGCAGGATCAGGAGGTGCTGTGGTGGGAGATAGATCAGGCCCCATGCTGGCCAGCACTGGCTGTGAGATCAGCTCAGCATCCGGTGGATATGGGTCAGCTCAGCCTTGCCTCACTGTCAGGGACTGGACATTGGAGGAGGAAAGTTGGAGACCGCCTCCCCCTCTTCCTGAACCTTCCCAAGAAGAGGACGACAGTATAGATTTAGAACAGTGGTTTGAGGAGGGTCACAGCTCAGAGACAGAAGAGGGGCAGAGCTGGGAAATAATGGGAGAAGCAGAGCAGGAACAGCTGGATGGCTCAGTTGGTTAGAGTTTGGTGCTGATAATGCCAAGGTTGCAGGTTCGATCCCTATATGGGACATCTGCATATTCCTGCATTGCAGGGGGTTGGACTAGATGATCCTCAGGGTCCCTTCCAATTCTGTGATTCTATGACTGGATGACACATTATCACTATATATTAAAAAATTGTCCAGTAGCACCTTAGAGACCAACTAAGTTCATTCTTGGTATAAGCTTTCGTGTGCATGCACACTTCTTCAGATACATGCACACGAACACTTATGCCAAGAACAAACTTAGTTGGTCTCTAAGGTGCTACTGGACAATTTTTTATTTTTTTATATATTTCGATTGCGTCAGACCTACTTAAGAGCATTCCAGACCCACCTTCTACCAGAACACGGTGAGCAGTGAAAGTAGGCGAACAAAGGGCTAAGAGGCAATTGGCCTTAAGCAGACACCGTAAAATGGGTGGCACTGTTGACGACTGAGAAGGGAAGGGGGAAGGAGATTACTCGGAGTAGTGCCATTACCCCAAGAGCTGAATACTGAATAAAGACTTTGGTAAGAGCTTCTTGTTTATCTATGACTGGCAGCCTGCCTTGAGGGAGAGGGGTCAGATTCCCTGAAGCCTGACACTCACTCTTAGAATGTCATGCTTGGGCTCTGCTGGTAAATATTCTGCTGGTCAACTTCCTGCCTGCCTGCACATTCAGGTATGGAATTCAGGGTTTCCAAGTTGCATGACACAACTGGACATAGTTAGGATCCAGGCTGTGTCTCCCTGTCTTTGGTCTTGCTGCGCAATGCCTCCAGAACACCCCTTTTGGGGGAACCTCACTGGCCTCAGCTCAGCCGGCCGAGCCCCATCTGAGCCGCAATGAGGAAATTATGCTGAGCTGGGGTTGGTTACATTTTTAAGAATGTAAGAACATCCCTGCTGGGTCAGGTCAATGGCCCATCTAGTCCAGCATCCTGTTTTCACAGTGGCCAACCAGAAACCTACAAGCAGGATTTGACCCCAAGGTCAGCAACTAGCTTAACTCTCTGGCTGAGCCGAGCTGAGCCAGGGATTGGCTGGTTGAGCCAAAGATGTAATGAATCCTAAATTGCTCATCCTGATGCATCTTGTCATAGGATCTCCTCCTTAGTGTTGCCTTTATAGATTTGGGAGGAGGACAGAGGCAAAAGCAGAATAGCTTTCCTCTACCTGTCAGTGCTTTTGAATTATGGTGCTGGAGGAGACTCTTGAGAGTCCCATGGACTGCAAGAAGATCAAACCTATCCATTCTGAAGGAAATCAGCCCTGAGTGCTCACTGGAAGGACAGATCCTGAAGCTGAGGCTCCAATACTTTGGCCACCTCATGAGAAGAGAAGACTCCCTGGAAAAGACCCTGATGTTGGGAAAGATGGAGGGCACAAGGAGAAGGGGACGACAGAGGACAAGATGGTTGGACAGTGTTCTCGAAGCTACCAGCATGAGTTTGACCAAACTGCAGGAGGCAGTGGAAGACAGAAGTGCCTGGCGTCCATGGGGTCACAAAGAGTCGGTCACGACTAAATGACTAAACAACAAAACAACAACAACCTGTCAGTGGCTTCCGCCCTGTGAATCTGAATGAGTGCCAGGCTCCACTGGTCTTAAATAATCTTTGGAGTCGGTTTTAGTCTTACAGAACTCCACAGCCTTTCGCTTCCAGTGAATTTTGTTACATTAACTTGGAGTCTACAATAAATTCGCAGTGCCTGGAAACCAGGGGTGCCAGATTGAATAAAATATTGAGGGAGGGGGCACGTAATCACTCACAAGATGCACACTATTCAAATGGCAGTGCTCACCAGCTCCTCAAATATTTTACGGGGGGGGGGGGTGAAGGGACCTCGGCCCCTAGGAATTGTCTCCTATGCTGGAGACAGACAGTCAGGTTGTGAATCCACAGTACCGACCAGAGAAGGAATGACGGCTGGGAGGAGTACAGAGAGATGAAATGTCACGGTGCATCTGCAGCAGCAAAACCAGACGCTTTCATCTGCCCCAGCTACAACAAAACATGTCTCTCCCATATCAGTCTCGGCAGCCACAGCAGGCGCTGCAAGCTTCCAACAGTTTGACTTCACCCCCAAATGGCGAACTCCTCCATCGTCTTCCCAGATAGACATATGCCAACAACAATTAACCACAGTGAGCTTTTAAAGGGATTTATATCCAAATCCCCCAGGATGCTTATTTCAAGATGCTGTAGAAGTAACAGAACATGCTTACCCAGTTTTTCGTGTATCGAGCTCTTCCGGAAGCGATGCCCAACCTCTGGAAAAAGACTTCAAAATCATTGCCGGAGCCCAGCTTGTTAATCCTTTGGTGAAATGAAAAAGAGAGACAGGACAGAGGGCAAACTGGGTAAACGTTGCCATAAAATTATTGTTTTCAAAGCAGCTCAGTGTACACACTGATCTTTTTTATGGGTTATTGTCTAGCTTTCATTGTAACACATTGCTCTTTTTTTCCTAATTTTATGTTATGCTTTTAAAATTCTGCTATTGTCTCTGCCTCCCAAAGGCTTGCATGGCTGTCTGTTGCAGAAGCAGTCCTGGCTACAAGCTCCCCAGGCGAATGGTGCCTCTGGGGCTGGCCAGGGGGTGCTTCCCAGGCTTCTGTGGGGCAGTGTGAAGAGGACCCTCTCTTTGGGGTAGGTAGGGGGGGCATCTCAGAGACCAGAGGCGTCAGCTGTGGCTGCCCAGAGGACTCCCAAGGAGAGGGGAGAAGAGAGGAGGCTGAGGGAACACTCCACAAGGGAGGGTAATTTAGTAGTAGTAATAAATATTACTGCTAATAATAATAATAATAATAATAATAATAATAATACCCCGTCCATCTGGCTGGGTTGCCACTTAGAGACTCTTTACATAGTAAAGAGTTAAAAGTATCTGGAAAAGTGTGCATGCACATGAAAGCTCATACCAATAACTAACTTAGTTGGTCTTGAAGGTGCTATTGGAAGGAATTTTTTTTATTTTGTTTTACATAAAGGTAAAGGTAAAGGGACCCCTGAAGGTAAGTTTGGCGACAGCTTCCAGGTCATGTGGCCAGCATGACTAAGCCACTTCTGGAGAACCAGAGCAGCACACAGAAACGCTGTTTACCTTCCCGCCAGAGTGGTACCTATTTATCTACTTGCATCTTTGATGTGCTTTTGAACTGCTAGGTTAGCATGATCAGGGACCGAGCAATGGGAGCTCACCCCGTCACAGGGGTTTGAAAGGCTGACATTCTGATCGGCAAGCCCTATGCTCTGTGGTTTAGACCACAGCGCCACCTGCGTCCCTTGTCTTACATAGTAAGTGACTGATAAATTGAAATAATAGTAACAAATGCATAACCCATCTTTTTTCCAAACAGCTCACGGTGGTGTACTTGGCTATCTCTGTTCTCATTTTATCCTCACAACAACCCAGTGCAGTAGGCTGACTGGTCCAACAACACTAGTGAGGTTTCATGGCCAGGCAGGGATTTGAACTCTAGTGTCCCAGCTCCTAGTCCTACACTCTAACCACTACACCACACTGTCTCTCTAGGGAGATCCAGTGAAGGCCAATGAGGCACAGCTGTCCCACTTCTGCCCTGCTTGTTTTGCACTTTGGTCTTTGTGACACAACACTAAATTAAGAAACCCTACTTCTGGAAGGAACCACAGTGGTTTTCTCCTTCATCCCCTCTCCATCCCAACCCCCCTGGAATTTACCTGGGCACACCTTCCTGCTCCGTTGAGGGGTTTTTCTCATGCCAGCTTTCATAAAGAGATCTGCCTTCAAAACCTTCATCGGGGCTTGGTATCTATTAAAACATAGTAAGTTTTGCAAACATGAAAACGAAAGTGATGGGCAACAAACAAGCTGCCCTCTTCCTATTCCATGGGAAACAAGAGGCAGGAGGCAGAAAGAACCTCCTTCCCCCCCCCATCAGTTTTATTGCTTGCCTTCCCCCACCCCATTCCCAAAGGACCACAGAGCAGGTAGTGATATAAAAGAACAGGAATGCAATCACAAAACAGTAATTTGAAAAACAACCACCACATTAGCACCTGCCAATCAAAGACAGAACAGCAACAAAGTCAGAGACAACAATGGCTATATCTCAAAGCAATTAAAAAAGTTTTCAGTTTGCACTGCTAGAGGCAGATGAGGTTTTTTTGCCCAGCTGGGAGTTCCATAAATGTGTTCATTCATTCATTCATTTCCTAAAATTTTTACACTGCTTGATTGTAAGTAACCTCAAAGCGGTTTACGAAAGATAAAACAGTAAAATAAAGAAATATCGGTAACGCATGAGACTCTTAATCTCAGGGCTGTGGGTCTGAGCCCCACATTGCTCAAAAAGATTCCTGCATTGCAGGGGGTTGGAGTAGACAACCCTTGTGTTCCCTTCAGCTCTACAATTCCGGTGGTGCTGTGGGTTAAACCACAGAGTCTAGGACTTGCCTATCAGAAGGTCAGCGGTTCGAATCCCCGTGATGGGGTGAGCTCCCGTTGCTCGGTCCCTGCTTCTGCCAACCTAGCAGTTTGAAAGCACGTCAAAGTGCAAGTAGATAAATAGGTACCACTCCGGCGGGAAGGTAAACGGCGTTTCCGTGAGCTGCTCTGGTTTGCCAGAAGCGGCTTAGTCATGCTGGCCACATGACCCAAAAGCTGTACGCTGGCTCCCTCGGCCAATAAAGCGAGATGAGTGCCGCAACCCCAGAGTCGGCCACGACTGGACCTAATGGTCAGGGGTTCCTTTACCTTTACCTATGATTTACAACCCTGCTTTAAAACATGCAAAAGTTAAAAACACTAAAACAGATTAAAATGACCTCCAGTTTCCAAGCCTCTGGATAGGCTGGTCTAAATGAGAATGTTTTTAGCTGGCGCCGAAGAGAGTACCGAGAAGGGGACTGTTTGATTTCAATAGGCAGGGAGTTCCAACGTGGAGGCTGTGCCACACAAAACGACAGCGTTCTCACAAATGCAGAGCAGGTTATTATGTCGCACCTGTAGCACTGCCATTTCCACCAGTCGAAGTGGTCATGTGGCTGCAGGCCATTTTGTAGATCAACTGGTTCCAAGTGTTAAGGGCTTAATATACCAAACAGCTTAGGGACGCGGGTGGCGCTGTGAGTAAAACCTCAGCACCTAGGGCTTGCCGATCACATGGTCGGCGGTTCGAATCCCCGCGGCGGGGTGAGCTCCCGTCGTTCGGTCCCAGCTCCTGCCCACCTAGCAGTTCGAAAGCACCCCTAAGTGCAAGTAGATAAATAGGTACCGCTTTATAGCGGGAAGGTAAACGGCGTTTCCGTGTGCTGCGCTGGTGCCGGCTCACCAGAGCAGCTTCGTCACGCTGGCCACGTGACCCGGAAGTGTCTCCGGACAGCGCTGGCCCCCGGCCTCTTAAGTGAGATGGGCGCACAACCCTAGAGTCGGACACGACTGGCCCGTACGGGCAGGGGTACCTTTACCTTTACCTTTATACCAAACGGCAGTCGAGTTTCCTGCGGACTGCTGTTTGTTCCAGTTGAGCGCTAAAGAGAGGATTTTCCAGGGTAAAGTGATGGGACGAAGGCAAAAACGGCTCAGACCCATGCTTGCCAGGTGGAATTGCGGAGGAGCTCTTAGTAAGCAGAGAAGTGGCATGTGATTCTCTAAGACTAATGTGTCGACTACTTTTGGGAAATGATATATAATGAGTTGAAAAAAATGTTTTAAATAACCTTTTCTAGAAAACCTGAAGCTTTCCTTTTAGGAATTCTAGGTGCCGGAATCTGAAGAGAGCAGAAAGGACTATTTATGTTTGCGATCGCGACTGTGCAGATGTTACTGGCCCAGAGATGGAAAGAAGATAAAGTCCCTACCAGAGAAGAAGGGCAGATCAAGTTGCTGGATTATGCTGAAATGGCTAAAATGACTGGAAGAATCAGAAACCAAAGACCAAAATTTTAATAAGGAATGGGGAAAATTTATAACTTATCTTACAGACCATTATATCAGTTAAAATTGCTAGAAGGATTGGAATATGACTTGCAGTTTAATGGTGAATTTTGGATACAGTGGAGAGATTTGGATTATTATAAAAGATACAGGAGGAAATGATTAATAATAGGACCCACAAAGGGGAGGAGGGAAGACCAAGAGATTCCTTGGAATCTTGTTTTTATGTTGTATGTTGGACTATAAAATGTTAATCTGAAAATCCAAATAAACCCATTTTTTAAAAAAGTTGTCATTGAAGCCAACCCAATGGGATACTGATCACTGCATGTATGGGAGGAGGTTGAAGGTCTCAGGTGAGGCTTGTTGGGTGTAGTGAAGGGTTAAGCCTTCTATGTCCCGTGCTTGAGGGGACGGGCTTACAAGGGAAGTACAGCTTGGTATGCTGTGAACTGAGTGGAAATCGAAAGCATTCAGTTCAGCCGCTGCAAGGAGAGAGAGAGGAGGCAGAAAAATGCAGCTACACTCTGGTGGCTGTTATGGACTGTAAATACGCTATTTTCTTTCCAATAAAGAGATATTAGGATAGAAGAAACGTCTGGACTTATTTACTGCCCTTTCGACACACAGACGCTGTGCAATTCTGCTAATTGCTTTACGACTGCTCTCAAGCTACACTGCGTAAACAGAAGCTGCAGAGGCCCGCAGAGGAAGTGTGGCTGGGTGCCAAACAATAAAGCAATAAATCTATCAGACAAGGCTCCCCAAAAAGGAAGCGTGGGAGAGATCTATAACAAATGAATAAATCTATTATGTTTCTTCTTAAGAGTTCATTTCCCCCCCTCTGCTTCTTTTATTTTACCTCTTTAGTCAGATTGTATACCAGGCTATACATCAGCGGGGTGCAGTCAACTCGAAGGGTGTAGTTGCCTGAAAGAGAAGTAATATCAATTAACTGCATTTGTATCACACCTTTTTCTGGGACGGTCAAGCTCTCCTCCCCGCTTTATCCTCACAACAACCCTGTGAGGTAGGTTGGGTGGAGAGGCAGTGACTCGATCAAAGTTGCCCAGCGATCTTCACAACCGGGTGGGGATTAGAACCCTGGTCTCCTGGATCATAGTCCGTCACCCTAACCACTATGCCACATGGTTAGCTGCCACTCTACTGTCTTTTAGATAGCTCAGTTGGTAGAGCACGAGACTGAATCTTAGGGTCATGGGTTTGAGCCCCACGTTGGGCAAGAGGGTCCTGCATTGCAGAAGGTTGGGCTGGAAGAATCTTCCAACTCTATGATTCTATTCCATGACTATTAAATGGGGCCTGAATATGAAAATCATGAAGTTGTTTTAAAGGTCTATATGTGCATTTGTATATAGACCTTCAAAACAACTTCATGATTTTCCTATTCAGGCCCCATTTAATAGTCATGGAATAGTATCATAGAGTTGGAAGATTCATATGCACATTTGACCAGTAGTGATGTGTGGAAGTGAGAGCTGGACCATAAAGAAGGGTGAAAAGCCGAAGAATTGATGCTTTTGAATTATGGTGCTGGAGGAGACTCTTGAGAGTCCCATGGACTGCAAGAAGATCAAACGTATCCATTCTGAAGGAAATTAGCCCTGAGTGCTCACTGGAAGGACAGATCATGAAGCTGAGGCTCCAATACTTTGGCCACCTCATGAGAAGAGAAGACTCCCTGGAAAAGACCCTGATGTTGGGAAAGAGAAGGGGACAACAGAGGATGAGATTGTTGGTCAGTGTTGTCGAAGCTACCAGCATGAGTCTCACCAAACTGCGGGAGGCAGTGGAAGACAGGAGTGCCTGGCGTGCTCTGGTCCATGGGGTCATGAAGAGTGAAGGCTCAATCAAAGGGACAGCTTCCATAAACAGAAGGGAAAGGAGGGGATTCTAGCTGTCAACTTTTCCCTTTTCTTGTGAGGAATCCTATTCGGAATAAGGGAATTTCCCTTAAAGAAAGGGAAACGTTGACAGCAATCCCTGTACCACCTTAATCTATTCCATAGGGTTGGGGGCCATTTGGAACTGTGGGAGGCAACAGAAATTTAAGACCTGTTTCTCCCACCTAATTTAACTTTCATTGTTTACTGACTTCCTCAAATCCTCCCTAACTGAATTTCATTATATCACATTGTAACAGTTCTCCAAGTTCATTTTTCTAATAAAATTAACTCCTTCAATTTACTATCTTCTTCTCTTTTGAGTTTCACTGCATGATGTTGCATTTCCTGATGCTCGCTGGCCTGAATGCTTTATTGGGTGGTATTCAACTAAGTTTTATTCAGATCAAACCCAGGGCTTAGCTACATTAGCAAAGATACAGCGATTTGAATGCACTATGAATACGGAACACCCGATGGCGCCAGAGAGCAGGAAATTTTAAAACGCGGCTTTCCATAGAGATTTCTTTCTTTTGTCATAACAATCTAATTTCCGACTTATTTACCGCGGTTTCCCCCCTGTGTCTAGATCTACCGCCATGAAATTAATGGACCGAATATTCATTTTAGTGGAGGAACAGAAGTGCAAATGAGGTTGCTGTTGCATCACATTACACCCACTGGTGGGAATGAAATTTAGCATGTCATGGTGGTATATTGATTTTTTTTTTAAAAAATCCACAGTTCCATAAAATGCATTGTAAAAGGGACATTAGAAACCAGGAGAGAAGCACTAGCTTTTTACAACCAGGAAAACTAAGACAGTAATCCCCATGTTTGAATGCACCACAACATTGTGCCAGATTCAGCACAGCTCATTTTATGTCAGGATCCCCAGTCGGGATTCAGGCCTCACCATGGGACTGAAACTGCCTTGGTCGCACTGGTTGATGATCTCTGATGGGCTAGGGACAAAGGTGAGAGCTGTTTCCTAGTTCTGCTGGATCTCTCAGTGGCGTTTGATACCATCAACCATAACATCCTTCTGGACCATCTAGAGGGGCTGGGAGCTGGGGGCACTGTCATACAGTGGTTCCGCTCCTTTCTCCTGGGCCGTGTTCAGAAAGTGGTGGTGGGGGATGAGTGTTCAGACCCCTGGGCTCTCACTTGTGGGGTGCCTCAGGGTTCTGTCCTCTCCCCCATGCTTTTCAACATCTACATACAGACGCTGGGAGAGATCATCAGGGGGTTCGGGCTGGGTGTTCATCAGTATGCGGATGATACCCAGCTCTACCTCTCTTTTAAATCAGAACCAGTGAAGGCGGTGAAGGTCCTGTGTGAGTGTCTGGAGGCGGTTGGAGGATGGATGGCAGCTAACAGATTGAGGTTGAATCCTGACAAGACAGAAGTACTGTTTCTGGGGGACAGGAGGCGGGCGGGTGTCAAGCATTCCCTGGTCCTGAATGGGGTAACTGTGCCCCTGAACAATCAGGTGCGCAGCCTGGGGTCATTCTGGACTCACAGCTGTCCACGAAGGCACAGGTCAATTCTGTGTCCAGGGCAGCTGTTTATCAGCTTCATCTGGTATGCAGGCTGAGACCCTACCTGCCCACATACTGTCTCGCCAGAGTGGTGCATGCTCTGGTTATCTCCCGCTTGGACTACTGCAATGCGCTCTACGTGGGGCTACCTTTGAAGGTGACCCAGAAACTACAACTAATCCAGAATGCGGCAGCTAGACTGGTGACTGGGAGCGGCTGCCGAGACCATATAACACCGGTCTTGAAAGACCAACACTGGCTTCCAGTACGTTTCTGAGCACAATTCAAAGTGTTGGTGCTGACCTTTAAAGCCCTAAACGGCTTTGGTCCAATATACCTGAAGGAGCGTCTCTACCTCCATCGTTCTGCCCGGACACTGAGATCCAGCGCCGAGGGCCTTCTGGCGGTTCCCTCGCTGCGAGAAGCCAAGTAACAGGGAAGCAGGCAGAGGGCCTTCTCAGTAGTGGCACCCGCCCTGTGGAACACCCTCCCACCAGATGTCAAAGCGAAAAATAACTACCAAACTTTTAGAAGACATCTGAAGGCAGCCCTGTTTAGGGAAGCTTTTAATGTTTAATAGGTTATTGTAGTTTAGTGTTTTGTTGGAAGCCGCCCAGAGTGGCTGGGGAAGCCCAGCCAGATGGGCGGGGTATAAATAAATAAATTATTATTATTATTATTATTATTATCATTTCCCAAATTCTGCCCAAACAAGCAAATGCAAACAAAACCTGTTCCCCAACCCAAGGATTACATGTTTATGAAGTTTAACCCCAGAAGACAACTCAGTGACCACACCCCTCTCATTCTCTATTAAAACTTGCATATATTTTACCTTCTATGGAGGAATCAGCATTGATATAGGCCACGCCACGCTCCTGCAGTATTTTGACATTTTCCTACAATGGAAATGAAGAAAATGTTTGTTCATGTTCATGCCTAAAATATTTCTCCATGGTGAAAATGATATACAGATGAAATTAGCTAAAATGTACAAAACAAATAATAAATGCTGGAAATGTAAGGGGAAAGAAGGTACTTTTTACCATATGTGGTGGGAATGTAAGAAAATAAAAGACTTCTGGGAAATGATTTATAATGAGATTTTTAAAATGTTGAAGTATACATTTGTAAAAAAACCAGAAACCCTTTTACTTGGTATAGTAGATACAGAGATTCACAAGCATGATTAAAAAAATTTTTTATATGTGACAACTGCAGCAAGAATAGTATTAGCCCAATTTCCTCAGCATTTTACTTACCACAAAAAAATCTGATCTTTTTAGGACGTGCATTTGTTGTACAAGAGTTCCAAATTGGCTGTAACTATGCAGCCTGAACTGGGCACTACAGTGGTACCTTGGTTCTCAAACTTAATCCGTTCCACAAGTCTGTTCCAAAACCAAAGCGTTCCAAAACCAAGGCGCGCTTTCCCATAGAAAGTAATGCAAAATGGATTAATCCGTTTCAGACTTTTAAAAACGAGCCCTAAAACAGCAATTTAACGTGAATTTTTCTATCTAACAAGACCACTGATCCATAAAATGTACTTCAGCCACACAATCAATTAATCAATCAGTAGCTGAACTGAGTTTCACACAGTCAGAAAAACAAAACAAAAAGAGCCGCAAAAAAGCAAAATAAATAGCAAAAACAGACACTCAATACGGAAGTGTGGCACTCAAAACAGAAGCGTAACACTAAAAATGGAGCATGTTCGGCTTCTGGAAAAAGTTCGCAAACCAGAACACTTACTTCCAGGTTTGCAGTGTTTGGGTTCCAAGTTGTTTGAGTACCAAGGCATTTGAGAAGCAAGGTGTCACTGTATGTGAATGGAATCTACTCAGAGACAGTGACCACCTGGAAATGTCCTTCCTATTGATTTACCTCAGCCCACTCTGTAGATCCTATCAAGCCAAACTCCTCAGCGTCCCAGCTGGCAAATATCACCGTTCTCCTAGGCCTCCATCCTGCAGTTGAGATATTGAGAGCATCATTACAAACACAATATATTTGTTTATTAAAAACTGTTTCTAAACCACTTAGCATTTCAAAAACTTCCTCAGCAGTGCATGCCACGCGAGATATAAAAACCACCATTGATGAAAACAAAAATACAAACGGAAACAAATAAGATAAAACTAAAATAAAAAGCACCTAAAACAGAAATTCAGGGGATTCATACATGAAACACAGGGTCCCATCTTATGGGTCAGAGATGGCCTAGACAAAAGAAGAAGGCTTTACAAGACGTTTGAAGCAATGAACGGTTGCTGTGTTGTGTACGGCAGAGGGAAGACATTCTGAAAGGGAATTCCACAGTACAGTGGTACCTCGGGTTACATACCCTTCAGGTTACATACGCTTCAGGTTACACACTCTGCTAACCCAGAAATAGTGCTTCAGGTTAAGAACTTTGCTTCAGGATAAGAACAGAAATCGGGCTCCAGCGGTGCGGTGGCAGCAGGAGGCCCCATTAGCTAAAGTGATGCTTCAGGTTAAGAACAGTTTCAGGTTAAGAACGGACCTCCGGAACGAATTAAGTTCTTAACCCGAGGTACCAATATATAGGGACAACAGCAAAAAAAATGGCCATTCTTGGGGTTAACTGCGGTGTGAGATTCTATAGGGTGCGACGCCATGAATATAATTTCCCCAGAAATGATCTCACAGGTCTATACAGGGGCAAGTGGTCTTTCAAGTCACCTGGTCTTGAGTTCTTAAGGAAATTATATGTCAACTAGAAGACCTTGACAGCTGGTCAAAAGCCAGGAAAAACGTGGCACAGGTGCAATATGTGTGTGTCTGGGTCTGGGGTCAGCAAACTTTTTCAGCAAGGGGCTGGTCCACTGTCCCTCAGACCTTGTGGGGGGCTGGACTGTATTTTTTTGGGGGGGGTAATGAACAAATTCCTATGCCCCACAAATAACCCAGAGATGCATTTTAAATAAAAGGACAAATTCTACTCATGTAAAAACATGCTGATTCCTGGACCGTCCATGGGCCAGATTGAGAAGGTGATTGGGCCAGATCCGGCCCCCATGCCTTAGTTTGCCTACCCATGGTCTCAGACAACAGTCTGGCCACTGCATTCTGTGCCAGCTCTCTCTCTCTCTCTCTCTCTCTCTCTCTCTCTCTCTCTCTCTCACACACACACACACACACAGCTCATCAGAGGATGAAGCTAGTGGTGAAAAAAACCTTGAGGTAGGCCTTTTTCTGAGTGGGATCAGGACCAGAATTTAACAAGAGGGACCTGCAAGAGAATGTTTCAATGTACACTCCTTGACTTGTTGTAACAGGGAATCCCATTCAGGGTTGCGTGTCTACCAACCGTGCCTTCATCCAGGATGCTACAAGCTGCAAGGACTTCAAGCAGAGCTTTCCACCATCCCATCCCCTGTGGTGGTGTAGTGGTTAAGAGCCAGTGTGGTGTAGTGGTTAAGAGCGGTAGTGGCACTGTGAAGCCAATGTGGTGTAGTGGTTAAGAGCGGTAGACTCCTAATCTGGGGAACCGGGTTCACGTCTCCGCTCCTCCACATGCAGCTGCTGGGTGACCTTGGGCTAGTCACACTTCTCTGAAGTCTCTCAGCCCCACTCACCGCACAGAGTGTTTGTTGTGGGGGAGGAAGGGAAAGGAGAATGTTAGCCGCTTTGAGACTCCTGAAAGGGAGTGAAAGGAGGGATATCAAATCCAAACTCCTCTCCTCCTCTTCTTCTTCTTCTTCTTCCTCTTCTTCTTCTTCTTCTTCTTCTTCTTCTTCTTCTTCTTCTTCTTCTTCTTCTTTGGGTTTGCTTGTTTTCCTCTCCAACTGACAGCGTTTTGTGGCTACTGAACAGGCTCAGTTTCAGTGGGCTAAGGCATATTTTTTTCGGAGGGGAAGTTTTGCCTTTCTGAAGTGCCTTTTGCAGATTTTTTGTACTACTGCCAATCTCAGGGTCCCTCAGGAATGTTGATTCCTCCTCCTCCTCCTCCTCCTATTATTATTATTATACCGTCATATAACCGTAGGTTTCAGCGCAGTTCACAGGATAAAATCAGAATATAAAACCACAAAATACATAATCGAAACAACAATAACAACAACCCAATAACCTCCCCCCAACATATTATAAAAGGGCCATGTTGTCAGTGTCCCATTTTGGCTACATTCCTATCACCACTCACACCTTGAGCTTGCTATCGACTGGAGTGGTTTGTATCATGCTTCTTTACCCATTAAGATGCCGTATTATTCTGCAAAATGTTATTCACACCAAACCGAGCAAGTCCTTTGCAGTTCTGACTTGGTTATTTAACAACAACAACAACAAGCCATTGTTCCTTAAAGCCTCTCCATCATCAATAAAACAATTCAAAGGCAAGACATTTACATGCACTGTTCTTTTCTGCTTGTCAGTCCTTGTGGCTGCTTAAATCCCATTGATTTCAATCAGACCTGAGCAATCTCAGTGCATGTAGGATTGCCACTGTTCCAGGAAATAATGAAAAAAGACTGGAACCCTCTGGACTGCAAGGATTTTTGCTTCAATTTTTGTTTCGTTTTGGATTTTAAGAAGCTGCCTTATACCAAGGCAGACCATTGCTCCATCTACCCCAGCATTGTCTGCACTGACTGGCAGCATCTCTGCGGGATTTCAGGCAGGAGTATCTCCCAGCCCTACCTAGAGATGCTGTGATTTGAACCCAGGACCTTCTGCTCTGCTGCTGAGCTGTGGCCTTTCCTTGCAAAGATTCTGCATGTTGCTACATTGCATTGCATATTAGACAGATCGAAACACACACACAATAAAGTAAAAAGATACATAAAAAATCTCTACCCAAAATCACATCCCCAAGATAGCCCAAACCAGAATAAATTATGTCTAAATAGGGGGATATTGCCCTAATGTGTTCTATTGTCATCAATTATTCAGGTTGCAGAATTCAGGTCCCCCCGCCCCCGCGCGCAGAATTTGAACTGCTGTCCTACAGAACTCATTTTACAAAGTGATAAACTAATTAAACAGATAAACCTATTTTGTTACACAGTGTTTACACCAGGGGGTGGCAGGGAAGATGTAGATCATACGAGAATAAAAAGAGGAACCTTTTCCCCAACCTTACATTAGACGCCCAATCTTTACTATCCCAGATGTAGAATCATATATGCAGAACATCCCAGTGTATGGATTATAGGGTCCAAAAGGTGATTGGCTGCATGGCTGAATGTATTGCATCCCACCCATGCCAGTATTTCGCACTTGGCTCCGGGAGGTGGAAGCAACCATTTCCACTTTCAGCTGTGGGTTTTTGTTATGTCCAAACCAGGAACTATGGTCAGTTGTTACCTATGGTTTATTTGAAGAAGCTGGGCTCATAAACAATGGGGCTCAGGAGTGGCAGCTTGGTCCCGCAACCATGGGTGCTCAGGGCTGTGGGTGCCATAGGTGCCCATGGATGTCAGTACAGTGGTACCTCTGGTTGCGAACGGGATCCATTCTGGAGGCCCGTTCGCAACATGAAAAGAAACCAACCCGCAGCGCCGTGTCAGCGCACGCGTGGGTTGCGATTCGCCACTTCTGCGCATGCGCATGACGTCATTTTGCACTTCTGCGCATGCGCGAGCGGCAAAACCCAGAAGTAACCCTTTCCAGTACTTCCGGATTGCCAGGGGACGTAACCTGAAAGAACGTAACATGAAGCGGATGTAACATGAGCCATGACTGTAATTCATTCTCCCATTGCTGGGTCATATGATTCCATGTTTACATTCCATACTGCTGTAAGTATGGGAACGGAACTCAGACTAGAGAAGTTCCATTCTTTGTGCTTTTCGTCTTTGCTTTTTGTTCTCTGCTCTCCGACAGAGAAGACGTGTGTGAGAGATGCTGTTCACACCAGCCATGTTTTGTTGTTTTAATTTGCTGTAAATAATAAAATCGTGATGCCACATTTCTTCACCGCCTGGCTACTTGCAGAACTCTGCTAAAGCATGCACACAGCTTCACTGGATGTGTGTCGCAGTGTTGTCCGTACAGGGGACGTACAGAAAATGCTATGTGTTTAAGTTTTTTCCTGCTTCCCCTTCATGGACGACAGGTTATGGGCCCAGGCTCCTCCGGCATTTTGGCACAGCTACTCACCTTCAGTAGCAAGTAAAGCTCTGCGGGATGAAGTACAATTGCCTCTGGTCTATTTTTTAGGGAAACTCTGCTACATGTTTAAGTTTTTTCCTGCTCCCCCTTCATGCACGACAACCCAGCCCCTTCATGGGGAATTTTGTGGGTGCTCGGGAATTGTGCGGGTGCCCCAGGGAATTGGCACCTATGACTGGGCTGGACTCAAGTACCAAGTTCTGCTAGTAGAAGCCTAGGCTTTCCCCTCCATCTCCTCCTCCCTGTGCACCCCTCAAAAATGCCTCAGAATAGGGGGTAGAAGAACCTGTAGAACAGCACACAGGAAGACGAGATGTTGGATGGATGGATGGATCCTCGAACTGACAGATTTTTAGGTTCTGCATTCTTCTATTCTCACCTTGCTGCTTCAGCTTTCCAAAGCTTCGGACAATTTCATGAACAACAGCCGCTCCGCTCTGCGGGTCAATCCCACCAAATACCCAAGAGTCTCGGTGACCACCTAGGATAACGTACCTGTCTGGATCAATGGAAATGAGGATTAATTTTTAAATGGGAGCAATAAATCACAGCGAGAGTTCTACTTGAGGGCCCCTCTGAGGAAAATCTGGAGCTAGAGATGAGAGGATCTGACCATTTTGGTTTCCCTTTCTCATCCTTCCAATCTTTCGTTCCGTTCCCACATCAGTTTGCAATTTGATTTAAAAAGTCCTCATGAAAATTCACCAGCATTTTAGTTTCACTTTCCCCTAGTGTACGTTTTTATATGCCGTTTTGTCTGATCTACATTTTTGCAGAGACATTCCCCCTAATAAATTGCATTTTTATAGGCTATGTGTCAGGGAACTGCCATCGGAGCTAGAGGCAGAGGGAAAGCTCCAGAGGGATGCCGGAGAGGGTCCCAGTAGGGAGAGAGGCAGCCCGTCCGCTGGGGAAGGAAATCAGCGTAACACCAGTAGAGAAGGGGGGCAGATGGGGGAATCGGAGAGGAGGCTCCAAGACTCCTCGCCGGAGACCAGCGGAGAGAGTACGGGTCCTCCGCTGCCCACACCCTCCCTGCGCAGAAGGCTTCCGCGCAGGGAGACTAGGCGGAGACTAGGCGTCAAAGAACTTTTGTGCTGGAAGAAGTTTAAGAAACGCCCACTGACGGATTCTGCCAGCGACTGAGACAGCCACGGAGCTAGAGGCTGTCTGGTCAGAAAGGGTTCAACCAGGTAACCTAGCCAGGAGTGGCGGCAACTTACGCACGAGCAACCCCTAAACCCATTACACTATGTTAAATGCATTTAAATGCACACTTCACCCCAGTATGTGCCTTTTTTCTGTAGCACATTTTTCTGTAGCTGGAGAAGTGCGCTTCAATTTGGAGACGTGTGGATTTTGAAGGATGGCTAAACTTTGGTTCCATGATGAAAAGAGGAATAGCAGGATAAAAACAAATAAATGAAGTGGTTTTGACTAGACAGCCTTGCATGACTCAAGACCTCGATATCTTTCAGAACATATCTTCAGAACATACCTACCTAGACCCTTCAATCTGAGGTCCCTCTTCCGCCTCTGAGGGAAGTTTAAAGCGAGGGGGCCTTTTCAGTTGTGGCTCCCTGCATGTCTAATGCTGTCCCCAAAAAGGCACCAACCAGGCACCATCATTAATTTCCTTCAGCATCTTCTAGCAAGCATCTGATGGATTATGACGATTATGGTGTCTATGATAGTACTTTTTTGCCACTGAAGTTTTTACTGTTGTTTCACTGGATTTATTTTATAGGTTATTGCATGGCATTGAGTGCAGGAAGCTCCTGCAGCCAATCGGAAGCTGTGCCTTGGTTTCCGAACGTTTTCGGAAGTCTAATGAGCTTCCGGAACAGATTCCATTCAAGAACCAAGGTACAACTGTATTAGGAAAATATAGCATTATTATTAAATCAGGAGTCAGATCATTGGTCCATCTGGTCTGGAGGACTGTCTAAATTTAAAGGACTTCCTAGATTTCAGATGAAAGCCTTTCTTAGCTCTACACAGGAATGCCAGGAGCATTTATCATACAAACCATGCATTCTACCTCTGAACTACAACCCTTCTGCTGGCTTGATCCCACAAAGAACGTGAGCAAGGGAATGGCTTTACCTGGCTCTGTTGCACCTTGGAGAGTACCGATCACATTGTAAATTCTTCTTACTTCTTTGATGCTGTGGACATGCATTTTGACTTTGCTAATGCAAGTGCAATATATATAAAAAAATCAAGTGTCAGGTTAAGAAATAAATGCATGTTTTAGACTTTAAGGTCAGAACGGATTAAGGCTGAAATTCTGCACAGTTATAGTCCTGTATAAATTACAAAATATCATTTTCAGAAGGTGGACTTAGTTTTAACACCAGATGAGAGCCACTTTTTTTTTTTGAACCTGTGTGCTCATCTTTCTAGATGGAGTCCAACATGTAAGCATCCATCAGCGAAACAGAAATTGTTGGCAGAATGGATTCCCCTTCCCTCTGCAGTCCCCCCATCCCGCCCCACCCAAAGTGCTTTGAAGGGTTTGAGGCGACCATTTGAAGCAGATCTGAGGGGAAGGGGGTGCTGTGGGCTGCAGAGGGAAGAAAGAAAGCGGAAGTCCCAGCAATGATGAGGTCATATGCAAAACCAGCAGCAATGAGGTCATATATATTTCCCTAGTGAGGGAATTCCAAAGTTGAGGGGCCACCACCGAGAAGACCCTGTTTATGTATCTGCTACTCTAGCATCTTCTATGGGTCAAAAAGGTAAAGGGTGCCGCTGTGGCCTAAACCACTGAGCCTCTTGGGTTTGCCGATCAGAAGGTCAGTGGTTCGAATCCCCGCAATGGAGTGAGCTCCCATTGCTCTGTCCCAGCTCCTGCCAACCTAGCAGTTCAAAAGCACGCCAGTGCAAGTAGATAAATAGGTACCACTGTGGGAAGGTAAACGGCGTTTCTGTGTGCTCACGGCGTTCTATTCTGCCAGAAGCAGTTTAGTCCTGCTGGCCATGTGACCCACATGACACTGGCTCCCTCGGCCTGAAAGCGAGATGAGCACCGCAACCCCACAGCCTCCTTTGACTGGACTTAACCATCCAGGGGTCCTTTACCTTTACCTTTCTACCAGTCAGCCAGAAAGCAGAAGTACAAACAATGATCTTCTCAGTGGCTGCTCCCAGACTTTGAAACTCCCTCCCTAGAGAAGCTATTGATTTGCTCCCTCCTTATTGTTCTTCCAGCAAGTGAATATTTTTTTGTTCCAACAGGATTTTGGGAACTGAATGCTTTCCATTAAAGGGCTGGTGCCGTGCTGTTTTTTTATTGTAATTATTGGTATGTTTTGAACAAGTTTTATATATGCACATCATTTTAATCCCATCAATATGTAATTGTATTTTAATGATTGATTTTTCCATGTTTTTAGTGGTTCTTGAGTTTATATGTAAGCTGCCTTGAGTCCCGTCAGGGAAAAGGTGGCATATAAGTAAATAAATAAAGTTCAGGTAGGCTCATACAAGTACAATAAGGTGGGATCTTTGTTTGATCCCAAACAAGGAGGATTGACAGACAGACAGCCTACACTACCCTAACCAACTAAACCTTTCTTATTCAGTGCAGGTTCTGTGGCTCCATTTTCCTATTGACCATTTCCTCAACATCACAAGATTATATTCTCCTCCCACCTTTTTGAAGAACTTCCTATGAAGCCTGGCCCAACGTTGTAAGGCACAGAGAGGTTTCCCTTCCAGCTGTCATCTGGCGGGGGTGGTCCTCCCATGTCCCTGTTGGAAAAAGATAACATTACAGTTGACATCCATCCCAGAAAGAAGTAGGAGCAATTGTGTGATCCTCCTTACAAAAATTCCAAAACTGAAGAAACTTCTGGCATGTAGGCTTCCAGAATATTTTTTCCCCCAAGTCCCTCTTTTGGCACTTCCATTTTGTAACTGCGAAACCCCATAGGGTGATGATTGGCAAATAAAAACCGGAAGGCGAAAAGACTTCAGGCATAACCAAGCTTTCAAACTTGGTCGTGGGTTGTTTTGTCTGGAAGATCACTTGCCAGCTGAGTGCCACAGGGTGGAAGACCTTGTTTCCTAGAATGCCTTCGGCTAGAGATGGGTGATCCACTAGGAAGACCCATCTGCTGCAGAAGGATCAAGAGAGAAGAGGAAAACCCAATCTTACCAGCGACCATAAAGAACACAAGAACTTAAGAGGAGACTTCCTGGATCAATACAAATCCCTATCCAGTCCAGAATCATGTTCTCACAGCGACTGACCAAATGTCTATGGGGAATCTGCAAGCAGGACCTAAATTCACCCTATTTGTGATTTCCAGCCAGGGGTGTACGAAGTGGGGGGCGGAGGGGGTGCTGGGGAGGAGTGACAAGATGGCCCGCTGCCTCCCCCCAGCTGTAGAGCGGCGGAGGGTGCGCATGCAGTCAGTGTGGGTGCCATTCAGGGCGTGTCCACATAGTGTCCGTATGGGCTGCCGCTTGCGTACAGGCTGCCGCGCATGCGTCACCGGGCGGTTCATCCTTCCTCCGCCACTCTTTCCAGCAACTGGTATTCAGAGACCTACTGCTTCCAACAGAGGATGTGAAACACAGTCAGCATGGGAAGTAGCCACAGGAAATTGTCTAACCCTCTTACAAAACCACCTAAGTTGGTGGCCATCGGTACTTCTTGGAGGAGTGAAAGGAGGCAGTTTTGGAGGCATGGGATGGTTCCACTGGACACTATTGCTTTTGGCACAGGGACACCATACAATAATAATAATTTATTATTTATACCCCACCCATCTGGCTGAGTTTACCCAGCCACTCTGGGCTGCTTCCAATCAAGTGTTTAAAAATACAGCGTTAAATATTAAAAACTTCCCTAAACAGGGCTGCCTTCAGATGCCTTTTAAAGATAGGATAGCTGCTTATTTCCTTCACATCTGAAGGGAGGGCGTTCCACAGGGCAGGTGCCACTACCGAGAAGGCCCTCTGTGTTAGGACCCGAGAAACAAGACCTTAGGAACCTCCAACACAGATTACTACAATGTACTCCTTGTGGATCTCCCCTTGAAGATAGTTCCCAAGCCATAGAATACCAATGCAGAACAGTGCATCGTTTTCCCCTTATTACTTTTTGAAGCAAAATCTGGAATGCAAAAGTCTGTAATGCAGAAACGAGCAAGGCAAAAGAAAAAGAAAGAAAAAAACCTGAAATGAAAAAGTAACTTTACGATTCCTGTATATATACAGTTTCCATATAAAGGAGGAGGAGAAAACGAAGAAAATAACATAGGATTACAGAACACCAAAATAAGCTATATGGTTGCACATTATCTGTTCCAGTACAATAATAACCACTGGCCATTTTCCCAATGAAACTTTTACTTCCTTTGCCTGCCTTCTCTATATTTAATACTGTCAGTCATTTTCAACATAAATCCTGCTTTCACGGCCTATATCCTGCTCAATGGATCTCTGATTAATAGAGGGTACTTTTTGTCTGCACTTATGGCTGATTGCTTATCTATATACAGCAGTTGGCCAGCGCAGCAATCATTTATCCATCTCCATCCAATACTTCACTTTTAAGATTGCCAAACAAGATAACTATCAGAACAGGAGTTAATCAATATCCTTTCATTTTCTTGACCTTGCTTCTTTTTTAAAAATATAAAAATAAAAATACCAGCACACTTCCTCAAAATAAGTACAAAGTCAGCTCTTACGCCTCAATATACCCAATATTTATCTTCAACTTCTGGAAATAGGTAGCTCATTCTTTAAGATAACAACTCAACAAGAGCTTTGTAGAAGCTTTTTTCATGATAAAGACGTGGAATTTTGGAAGGGACCAGCCACCAAACTCATTTCCATGTCTCATCAGAAATCCTCCCTCCAAAATCCCACTTCCATTTATTTTATTAAGGGCTGTGTGTATACTTCTGATTATGCCATAATTTTATACATTCCCTTAAGAAAATTCTGCTAGCACAGAATGGCGCATCACAGAATGGAGTTGGCTTCACAAAAAACATGTCTCACCAGTTTTAAAATATTTGCACTCCTTCCCTATTAACACCCAGACTCAAGCAACTTCCCCCTCTCTTTAATGGCTCGGGATCTTCATATCTAAGGGGAAAAACTTCTCTCTTTCACCTCCCTATATCCTCACACCATCAAATAAGGTCTTGATCCAAATTTAGTAGTGTTCCAATGTCAGAACTGCTAAGGCACAGAGTAGGGCCTTTACTGCTGTGGTGCCACTCAGATGTCGAGTTCTCCCTAAAAGGGATAAATTGCCCTCCCTGTTTATGCCCTTCTGTGCCATAAGCAACATCAGAACATAAAAAAGAGCCTTCTGGATAAGGTATTTTGCCCATCTAGTCCAATATCCTGTTTTCACAGCAACCAACCAAATGTTTGTATATAATATTTTTTAAAAAATTCTTTTTTACAATTTAAAGCACTCATTTTTACATCCTTAAAATATCAATGACTCCCCTTCTTCTCTTTCCATGGTTCATTTTACATATCATAAATCATTGCCTATTTTACAGAAACTATACCATTCAGCATTCCATTATTACATCCATCATACCTTATTTACACTGTTGATCTTATCTTAATCTGTCAGCATTAAGTTATTTCCCATATATTCAATAAATGTTTTCCAATCTTCTCTAAACGTATGTTCTTCTTGTTCTCTTATTCTATATGTTAAGGCTGCAAGCTGCGCATAGTCTGTCAACTTAAGTTGCCATTCTTCTTTGGTTGGGACCTCGCTCATTTTCCATTTTGGGGCTAACAAAACACGGGCTGCAGTAGTGGCATACATAAATAAAGTTTTTTGACACCTGGGGATTTCAGTCTGAATGATCCCCAAAAGAAAGGACTCTGTTTTTTTGGAGGGGGGAGGGGAAGTACTTTTAAACATTTTTTCAATTCATTATGGATCATTCCCTAGTACAGTCACACCTTGGATTACAGACGCTTCAATTTGCGTTTTTTCGGGTTACTTCCAGGTTTCGGTGGTTGCGCATGCGCAGAAGCGCCAAATTGCAACCCGCGCCTGCGCAGACGCACAGACATGGGTTGTGAACACTGCGGGTTGTGAACGTGCATCCCGTTTGGATCACGTTCGCAACCCGAGCGTCCACTGTACTCTTTTACCCTTTTACAAGTCTACCACATGTGAAAGAAGAAGAAGAAGAAGAAGAAGAAGAAGAAGAAGAAGAAGAAGAGTTTGGATTTGATATCCCGCTTTATCACTACCTGAAGGAGTCTCAAAGTGGCTAACATTTTCCTTTCCCTTCCTCCCCCACAACAAACACTCTGTGAGGTGAGTGAGGCTGAGAGACTTCAGAGAAGTGTGACTAGCCCAAGGTCACCCAGCAGCTGCATGTGGAGGAGCAGGGAATCGAACCCGGTTCCCCAGATTACGAGTCTACTGCTCTTAACCACTACACCACACTGGCTCTCGTTCCCTCAAACTCATTACATCTCCAGCACTTATCTGATTCAGCCTTATACGTATTAGCAAGCCTACTCGGAGTTCAACACCATCTGTAAATCATTTTCAAGTAGTTCTCCTCCAAAGAGTAACATGCTGTGAACTTCAAATCGCTTTTCCAGAGTCCCCTCTCCCAGAGGTTAAAATCTATATCATGACCTATATCTATTGCCCAGTGTGTCATTGAGGCTTTGACAAGCTCGTCTTTTACTTCCCACTAGCAGCCAACCAAATCTCTGTGGGAAGACTGCAAGCAAAAATCTTCCTAGTGCAATAATGTGGCTGAGAACCATGTAGACATGCATTGACAAGATCACTCATGGCTCAGTTGGTAGAGCATGGGACTCTTAACCTAGGGGGTTGTGGATTCAAGCCCCACATTTGGTGAAAGATTGCTGAATCCCAGGGGGTTGAACTAGATGATCTTCAGGTTCCTTCCAACTAGGATTCTATGGCAACATAACGTATCTATGGGGCCGCCTCTCCTGGTATGCCCTGCAGAGGACCTTAAGGTCCATGAATAACCATAGTTTAGAGGTCCCGGGCCCTAAGGAAGTGAGACTATCCTCCACCAGGGCCAGGGCCTTTTCAGTGATGGCTCCGACCTGGTGGAATGCTCTGTCCCATGAGACTAGGGCCCTGCAGGATTTAACCTCCTTCCGTCAGGCCTCTAAGACAGAGCTATTCCGCCTGGCCTTTAATTTGAATTCAGCCTGATCATTTATTTCCCTTCTCTTCCCTCCCCTTTTATGAAGATCACCCGCTCTGAGACCCCACAGCTAATTCTCCCCTGGCTTCCTCATTGGCCCAAGTAGGTCCAATTCAGCCAGCTAGCCCTGGGGATTATCTAATGCTTATTTCCCCTAAATTGATTTTTGAATTTTATTGTTATTCAGGTTTTTATACTGTATTTTATGCTGCTTTTATAATTAAGTGTTTTAAATTTGTTGCTAGCTGCTCTGAGCCTGGTTTTTGAACCGAGAAGGGCGGGGTATAAATAAAATATTATTATTATTATTATTATTATTATTATTATTATAACATAACCCAATGCATGTCTAAGTGAGAAAGAAATCCCACTGTGGTCAATGTGGTTTGCTTCCTAATAAGCAGGTTTAGCATTATAGCTTAACCTGGGGCAGGGGGCAGCGCCTAGGATGGAGTTGCAGAAAAGGGGCTGTGAGTTACACAATGGACCACATACTTCAAGAACCCCAGACTTGCCACAGTGAGAATAAAGTTCACGATCCGTTTAGGAAAAGAGGGGAATGTGTTCTTTGAAAATATATTTGAGAACTTCATCTCAGAAGCTGCTAGGAAAGCTCAGTCGGTAAAGCATGAGACTCTTCATCTTAAAATCATGACTCTTGGGGTTTACAATTCTATGATTCTATGACCTTTTTGTTTGCCGTATTAAGCCCTGGTTTCCTCTCCCACCCCTTGACTTTCTCTCTTTTTGGCTCAAGGTTTCTGCCTTTGTAAGACAAGGAAAAGTGGGGAAAGGCTGAAAAACATGTACCAGCACAGAGTGTTCTCTTAATGTTTTTTGTTTGTTTTTTTTAAAAAAGAATGATCTCTCTTATAACTAATTGTTCTAACACAAGGACTCTTTAAGTATAGTGCAGATAAGTCTCTTTCCCATCAGCTTCCTTGATGCTTGAAGTGAAATAGCTTTTTTGAAAGCTGTTTCCCTGTTTTCTGTCCATCCTCCTCCCTCCCTCCCTATTAATTTTCCTATAATTTGTCATTATTTGTTGCCCCCATATCCTTAGATGGACTCCTCCAGCGTCAAGGAACAAGTCTCAGCCTGGGAACTGTAACCCCGGCTGGCTTTGTCAGTCACTGTGGGTAGACGCACAAGGTAACCTTTTGCTCAAAACTGGACATTTAGGATTTTAACTGGCATTAGCTTACTGGAGATTGACGTCTTGGAGCCAAGCCATGCTCTGGAATCTCAATGGCTCTGTTCTGAGCCATTTCAAAAATAAACAAGTCACTTGGGTATATGTGGGTTCTACTTTGTTCAGTGACGAATGCATGGCTTCTCAGTGAATCAAGGGTGTGGTGTTTGTTTAACTGACTAGCCTGACCCTTTTTGTAGTGCTGGGGAAAAATGACAGTCTGTTGAGAAATGGAAAGCTTTGCTAGCCTGCATATTTATGCTTTCACAGCACTGCAGATCTTACCCTTACACAGAAATCAGGCTCTGCAAGCAGACGAACAATCCCGTAATTGGCAAGGCAAGTACAGAAATCACAGTTGATTGAGTCAAGACAAAACACAGCCATGCATTAGGGCAAACATCACATAGGAAAGGAGTTTGATACGTAGGTAAAGGTAAAGGACCCCTGGACGGTTAAGTCCAGTCAAAGGTGACTATGGGGTTGCGGCGCTCATCTTGCTTTCAGGCCGAGGGAGCCGGTGTTTGCCCATAGACAGCTTTCCGGGTCATGTGGCCAGCATGACTAAACTGCTCTGGCACAAAGGAACACTGTGACAGAAACCAGAGTGCATGGAAACGCCATTTACCTTCCCACCACAGCAGTACCTATTTATCTACTTGCACTGGTGTGCTTTCGGATTGCTAGGTTGGCAGGAGCTGGGACAGAGCAATGGAAGCTCACTCCATTGCGGGATTCGAACCGCCGACCTTCCGATCGGCAAGCCCAAGAGGCTCAGTGGTTTATGTATCAGATATGTTTCACCACTGTGGAAGGGCAAGAACTTTGCCTACCTGAAAGCAATATAAGGGCGGGGGCAGGGGAGAGACAAACAATTGTAAATAGACTGTACGGTCCTTTGCCATTTTTTATATAGGCTTTGGGAGTAAACACCAGTGGTGTTGTGCATCTGTTGGTGCCCGGGCTGGGTGGGAGCAAGGTGAATGAAACCCTCCATGCTGGCCCACAAAGCTGATTGTGGAATTGACTAAACCTGTAAATGTTAACCACCAGGTATGCTTACCTCAGCAACATCTCAGCATCATGGTAACCGATAGGGTGGACAGGAATGTTCAACTGGGCTGTCGCCTGGGCTTCATCGTAGCGGTAGGTGTACTCTGGGTCAAGGGGTGGGGTGGGGAAATATTGAAATTAATAATTACAACATTGCTCGCTTATTAATAAATTAATTAAGTTTCCAACACAAGTATGCAGAAAGTCACCAGAAAGTTGCTTATGCAACAACGGTAAGTATACATACATTAAACAAAAGCATAATTTTGGAGGACCGTATTTCTTTTTTTAGGTGCAGGTAAGGATGAAAAAGTCCCACCAAGTTGCATAAAATTGTTCTGCTGGTTCTTTGCCTTCCACCACATGAATCCCGTGAGTTATCTTTTCAGCAATTCCGAGGTTTCATAAGTTCTTATGCCACAATGATCAAGAGGCACATCATTTAAGTTCTTCCATTTTTTGTGTGTGCAATAGGAAGTCTGGCAGCTACCGGAAACCATTAGCAGTTCCTTTGAAGAGAAATGTTTTGGAGTATCACCCCAGGTATTTAATTATAATATTGCTTAATTACGAAGGGCTTCAAACTCCTTGCCAGCCAAGTTAAAAGCAAGAAACCTTGCCTGCAGGTTTGTCATATAAAAGGAACCACTCATTGGCAGATGGTTTGGTACTGTCAATATTGTTTGCTTACTGTGCTCCAACTTCTCAAACCCCCTTTCCCCCTGTGAAAGACATTTCCACTGTTTCTGCCTCTTTCTCAGAGCCCTTTAGAGTTTCAGTGGGTGCAGGCTTGGGCTTATCTTATCAAAGTGAGGTGGTCATAGGGAGCGCATGCGTTTTTGTTCCCACTAAAAATATTTCTCCAGCATTCTGCAGTCTAGCCTGTTCCTTGCGCTTCCTGATCTGCATAAAATGCCCCATAAGAAAAGATCTCCATACTGAAGCTGGTGCATGATGGGAAAGGAAAAGGAGGGGCAACTGCTGGTGTATCTGGTGGGCTACCTCTTCCCCATCCTTCTAGAGAGCCCTGGCTTCCTCTCTCTCTCTCTCTCTCTCTCTCATTTTTATTAAATTTTCTGTTTTACAATTTAGAATACTCATTTAAACATCGTTAAAATATCAATGACTTCCCTTCTTATCTTTCCATGGTTCATTTTGTATATCATAACCCCCTGCATATTTTGCATAAACTAAACCATTCAGCATTCCATTATTACATCTATCAAAGCTTATTTACACTGCTGAATTCATCTTGATGCTGCCAACGTTTCCAAGTGTACACAATTTCCCTCCATATAGTCAATAAACGTTTTCCAACCTTCTCTAAACGCGCATTCTTCTTGTTCTCTTATTCTATACGGCAAATCTGCAAGCTGCACATATTCTGTCAGCTTAAATTGCCATTCTTCTTTAGTTAGGACCTTGCTAATTTTCCATTTTGGGGCTAACAAAACATGGGCTGCAGCAGTGGCATACACAAATAAACTTTTCTGAGGAATGGGAAAAAAAAATACATTCCCAGATTTTCCCGAGCAGAGGAAACACTGCAAATCCAGTTTAAATCTGGGATAAAGGTAAAGGGACCCCTGACCACTAGGTCCAGTTGTTACTGACTCTGGGGTTGTGGCGCTCATCTCACTTTATTGGCCGAGGGAGCCGGCATACAGCTTCTGGGTCATGTGGCCAGCATGACTAAACCGCTTCTGGCGAACCAGAGCAGCGCACGGAAACGCCGTTTACCTTCCCACCGGAGCGGTACCTATTTATCTACTTGTACTTTGACGTGCTTTCAAACTGCTAGGTGGGCAGGAGCAGCGACTGAGCAACGGGAGCTCACCCCGTTGTGGGGATTCGAACCGCCAGCCTTCTGATTGGCAAGTCCTAGGCTCTGTGGTTTAACCCACAGCGCCACCCGTGTCCCTAAATCTGGGATACAGAACTGCGATTATAATCCGCAATCTCCACTATCCTTTCAAACATATATCACCTTATGGCATTGTCTTGCCATTTTTCCCAATCCCCGGTTAACCACATTTCAGAATGTATCCCTCTAATGCAATGGGGGAATGCAAAATAAAGCAGTGTGATTTTCAGTCTCATTCACCTTTGGCGGGATACCCTGGCGTGAGGGGGTCCCCAGCACCATCCAGAATCAGGACATTCCCACGCTGAGCTCCACCTTCGGGAAGATTCCACCCTGCTGGGTAAGGCTCTACTCCAGGGGCACAAGAGTCAGCTGGGTCGGAGTATAAAATGACCCCTTTGGCTCCAGCAGCAGCAGCATTCTTCACCTGGTGGGGGCGGGAATCACATTGATGCTGCTGTTAGTTTGTTCCTTCTTGCAAAGGTGAGAGGCTGCCTCCATATGGCACAGCCTGGTAGTTGCCAGAGATGGCCAAGTCTTTATCTGTGGACACAGCCAGACACCATAGCAGCCAATGGGGACATTCCCCCCCCCCCCAGTTTGCGTACGACATTCCCTAATATGCTGCCTTCAAAGTTTGATGGTGTCAGCAGTCTCTAGGGATGGATGAATCTATCGCTTCCAATTTATCCCAGTTTCCAGTCTTATGTTAGTTCTTCACTGTTCTGGATCAGTTTGTTTCTTTTTTAAAAAAAAGCTCGTGAAAAATCATCAACATGTTAGGGCTTTTTTTGCAAGCAATTTACCCTAAAACGATGCAGTTCATGCTATTTTTTAAATATATTTTCATTTTTTTTTTATGCACACATCCCCCCTCCCCAATATAACATTTTTGTACACATTATTTGGCTGGAGAACTGCATCACAAAATTCAGACCACTGCGTTTCATTTTTGCATACAGTTTTAGGCAGTGCAAAGCAGGTAGGTTTGCATTGAAATCCTAACCTAATGGGATTTCTATCCCATCCCCATCAGATCCCAGTGCTCAAATAAGATTCCACTGCTGAACCACTTGCAGTGCCAGATTTATGCATAACCTAAACAAGCTATAGCTTAAGGCTGCACTCTCTTGGGAGCCACAAAAAAAAATTGAAAGGAAAAGAACCTGGATGTACATTTCCAAAATATAAGATAAAAAACAAATAAAATAAAACCTACATACAGCAACAGTGTTTTGTGTTGTGTAGACTCCTATGATGTAAGTAATGGGCTCCGCCTGCTAGCCTGCTCCCTAAAATATCACTGGTTTGCTCATTTCTATATACACTGGTACCTTGGTTCTCAGACTTAATCCATTTTGGAAGTCTGTTCCAAACCCAAAGCGTTCCAAAACCAAGCCGCACTTTCCCATAGAAAGTAATGCAAAACAGATTAGAATCATAGAATCATAGAGTTGGAGGAGACCACAAGGGCCATCGAGTCCAACCCCCTGCCAAGCAGGAAACACCATCAGAGCACTCCTGACATATGGTTGTCAAGCCTCTGCTTAAAGACCTCCAAAGAAGGAGACTCCACCACACTCCTTGGCAGCAAATTCCACTGTCGAACAGCTCTTACTGTCAGGAAGTTCTTCCTAATGTTTAGGTGGAATTAATCTCCATTCCAGATTAATTTCAGTTCAACAATTACTTTGATAAAATACATATTTTGTTATGTGCAAATGGAAATCATGAGCTCCAACACTAAAGAAGCAATTCTATGTGTGAGATGCTGGCATAAGTTAGGCTGGTGTAAAATTACAGCACGTCCAAACCCTGTTCAGCAGCAGGTTGCTGCTCTGCCAAAGCCTGGCAGTCAGAAAACAAGCCTTTTAAATTAGCATTCTGTGCTGAGTTGCCAGGATACAGCCTCAGCCCCTGCCCTCGCTGGTCCCATCCACATAGCTCCGCCAGAACACCTCTTTTTGGGGACTGACACTGGCCTTTGTTCAGCGAGCTTTGGCTTAGCTGTCTGAGCCCTGGCTGAGCCGGGATCAGCAAGCTACACCGGCGTGTCATTGGTTGAACTGAGGTTGGAGACTTAATGCTGGCAGAGCCAGGAATCAGCTGCCTGAGCTGGAAATCGGCTGCATCCTAAACTATTTATCATGGGGAATCAGGACATAGGATTGCCCCCTAAACCTGGAGTCCCCAATGTGGTACTGGTGGGCACCATAGCATCCTTGCTGCCTCCAAAGGTTCCCTGGCCATCTCATTTTTTATCTTAAACATTAATGTTTGGGAGGTGTTTTTTGTTTGCTTGTTGTGGGAATGTTTTGTGGGTTCTGTTTCTGTTCAAAGGGGTGCAAGGTTTTTGTTGTACAGGGGTACCTTGGTTCCTGAATGGCTCAGCTGCAGAACAAATCAGCTCCCAAACGCCGCAAACCCGGAAGTAGCTGTTCCAGTATGCGAATGTTTTTCAGAAGCCAAATGTCCGACACGGCTTCCGCTTGAGTGCAGGAAGCTCCTGCAGCCAATCGGAAGCTGTGCCTTGGTTTTCAAATGGTTTCAGACTCCCGGAATGGATTGAGTTTGAGAAGCAAGGTACCACTGTACTTGTTCTACTGGTTTTGAAGTGTGTGCATTTTGAGAATTGCCCATTTTCCTTCTGTGAAATGGGTATGTTGGGGGGGCATGTTGGGGGATCAAAGTGCCCCCAGGCCCTCCTCTATGCTGAGATCCCTCCTTCACTGTTGTTATGTTCACCTGAAAAAATATCCAAATATCACACATCAGTATTAAGTTACTCTCCGTAAGTTTCTGCCTTCGTAGTTGTTGTTTTAACAATATAAAAGCAGCTTTCACATTTGGGCAAATTCCGTCTGTGTGTCAAAGCATCCCCTACACACTGAGATGGGATATAATCATTATTACCTTGTTTCCTCTGAAGATTTTCCCATATCTGACAATCACAATTTTCCCAGAGCAATTAATTCCGAGCTCTCGTTTTAACCTTTGGAAATCTTCTATGCTTCCATAGTTCACGTAAACCAGATCTCCCTGGAGTATAAGAACACCAGAATGTAAGAAGAGCCTGCTCGATAGAAGAAGTTTAGTGCTGAATTCTGTATTACTTGCACAGATCAGAAGGACAGTGGTTCAAATCCCTGCAACGGAGTGAGCTCCTGTTGCTCTGTCCCAGCTTCTGCACTTAGCAGTTCGAAAGCACACCGGCGGAAGTAGATAAATAGATACCACTGTGGCAGGAAGGTAAACAGCGTTTCTGTGTGCTCTGGCACTCGGCACAGTGTCCCATTGTGCCAGAAGTGGTTTAGTCCTGCTGGCCACATGACCCGGAAAGCGGTCTGTGGACAAAGGCCGGCTTGCTCAGCCTGAAAAGCGACAGCCCCATAGTCACATTTGACTGGACTTAACCGTCCAGGGGTCCTTTACTTTACCATACCTTTACTTGCACAGAACACAGATATGAGTGCTAAACTTGCACTAAGTTATATTCTGCTATATTTCCAGAAGTGGTTTTTGTGGCATCTGAAAGCTCAAATGCAGAGAATAGCAGAAAACAACGGAGGGAAAATAGAATATGCTTCTGTGTGAATGCACCCAATATGATGGCATTGGAGAAGCAGCAGAATACAAACTAGAGCAGAATAAATCTACCAACAATGCACTATTCTTGTGTCAAGATCAAGGGTTCATCCAGGCCAGTTTGCCCTGCCACTTCCCCTGGGAAAACTTGTGGTTTAGCACTGAATCGGATAAACAGCAGTCGGGTTTGCTGTTTCCTCTGTATAATGCTAAAACATCAGTGTGTGGTGCCCAGAGTCTTTCAGCCAACAGCAGTTTCCCCAATATCAGCTGTATGCCTTTGCCGTTCTGGGGGGCTGCTTCTTCCTAGGGAGCGCCAAAAGAACCCTCATATCTTTTTCAAAAATATATTTCTCTGATGAGGGACAGATCTACACTCATGGTTTTTAACGTTAAGGAAGGTTTAAGGCAGGGTTTTGATAATGTAGATGGGCACATGCCATCCTACTTTTTATGTTCATAATGCTTTATCACCTTGCCTTTTTTATCGCTTAGTTTTTAATAGTTTTATGCTGCTATATTGGTCCCTGTGTCTTATTCTTCTATATATGTCCCTATGTAATGTTCCACTGCATTCAAACGCTGACCGCCCTCCAGTGGAATTTGAGGGGTGGTGGCATGTGCAGATAACAAAGGACACAGAGGGAGCGAGAATTTTGTGGCAAAAAGATTCCATTGATCACATGGATTTATAATATGGACAGAGTAGCTACATATGAATGAATTGCATGTCGACGCAAATTAAGAATGGATAAATATGAAGAAATCTGGAAGGAATATTTAAGCGATAAGGCAGATAGTGGTGGGAAGTAGGGGGAGGAGAGAGAGGTGGGGAAATATTGTTTAAAAGGTGTAGTCATAGGTATATCAGTGTATTCAAATCTGAATTGTCAAATTGTGTTATTGGTGTTATTGTGGTTTTTGTTGTATGTGTCTTTTGCCGTTGTTGTTTGTATTGAAAAAATGATTAAATAAATTTTATTTAAAAATGGAGGGAGGGAGAATTAAAATGTGATACTGGAGGGCAGAGCAGAGCAACCAGAAATCATCAGCAGGGAAAGAAACAGTGTTTTGGAAAACAGTGTGGCCGGGTATAACTTTCATTTGCCAAACCAACAAACCAAGGTAGTAAACCTTTTAATCAACAAGTATAGCCTATGATGTTTCAGAATGATATATCTATTATTAGTCTAATGGGGGAAAATAATGTTAAACAGGTCAGTGTAGATCCAGCCCAGATACCCAAATTTAGGAACTGGCTTATTTTAGCTCCCACCTAGGCAGGAGAGGTGAGGCAGAAACCTAGTAGCTTGAAATTCTTGCTGGCCATCAAGTTTAGTCACAATCCTCTTGTATAGCAACAAACTTGGGAGATATAAAAACCTAGAGCAGGGGTGGAGAACCTCAGTGGCAGGTACTCAAGTTCCCCTCTCTCTTCTGGGAGCTCAATGATAAGAATTAACGAGCATTTGGTAGATTTATAGGCCTTTTATTACAGCATTATGATGCAAGCACAAGCAGGCAACCCTCCGCAAGGATAGAAGAAGAGTTTGGATTTGATATCCTGCTATATCACTACCCTAAGGAGTCTCAAAGCGGCTAACAATCTCCTTTCCCTTCCTCCCCCACAACAAACACTCTGTGAGGTGAGGGGGGCTGAGAGACTTCAGAGAAGTGTGACTGGCCCAAGGTCACCCAGCAGCTCCATGTGGAGGAGCGGGGAAGCGAACCCGGTTCACCAGATTACAAGTCTGCCGCTCTTAACCACTACACCATACTGCCTTACTCTGACTCCTCCCCACTTCCACAGCAAGAAGCGTGCCAACGGGAAGTTCCTCCCCCTCTGCGTCTCCTCTGTTCTTTGACATGCTTGGACCTCTGAGTTCAGGGGGGGAGGGGGTTCCCCCACTCTCTATTGATGTATCACCCAGCTGCTCCCTCCCTTCTGGTTGCTTAGCTACTATCTCATAGCTGGGTAGCTCCTCTCAACTGAGCAGCTGCTGTGTCTACCTGTCTCTCTGTTTCTGGAAACGCTGGAAGCAGGGGAGGCAAATAGTCTTCCTCCTCTTCTGTTAGGAGCTGATCTCCCTGTGACTCCATTCCCCAATCTTCCGATTCAGACCAGCCCCTGACACTCAGGTTAGGAGGACCCCATGTGGCTCCCGAGGTCTCTCTATCTGGCCCCTGAATCTTCCCGAGACCACACCCCTTGCTTCCTTGGATGCACACACCCCTTGAGAGTATCTGCCTACTTCGAATATGTCCTTAAGATCTGACCATGCCTCCTGCTTGTCTGGGTGGAGGGCAGAGTGTGTGTATGTGTGGAAACTAGCTTACTGCTGCACTAAAGTAAAAAATTTGCATCGGATGCTCCGCCTACTCTTGCCTCTGGCCCCGCCCACCTCTGGTACGTGGTCCCCAGAAGGTTGCACACAAGGGAAAGAGACACTGGATCTGAAAAGTGATCACCACTCCTGATCCAGAGAGAGAGTGTCATTCGCATAACCAAAGGGCACATTCACACAACCCATTACCCCACATCAGTCCTTACCTCTGGCATGCCCTGAGCAGAGAAAGCACTGTAGGGTGGAACAACATCTTCAATATGTGTATACCCCGGAGGGAGAGGCTCAGATAATGAGGTGTTGAAAATCTGGGCAGTTAAGAGGGAGCAGAGGAGGAGGCAGAATATTAAGGTCAGGTTTAGACTAATTTCATATAATTGTTTTCCCCAGTATTAATATTTTAATGGCAAAGGTTTCGAATATAAAGAAATAAAGTGATGTATGTGGAAAAATAAAATAAAAAATAAAAAGGCTCAAACACACATAGAAAGAAGCAGTATACGAATATATACAATATATGGAAAACACCCTAGCCCATACATTCTTATATGAAATTGATACTCTTATCCTAAGACATATGCAAATATTAATAGCCTACTACATTTCATAGAAGCTCATTCCAAATATTGCCATATTGATCCAAGTCAACGTCTGTAAGCAGTCCGTTCATAGGTTGCGAGCGCTATCATGTTGTCAGTCCATTTGTTAAATTTCATAGAATTGTGGAGTTGGAAAGGATCCAAAGGGTTTCCCTCTGGTCCAACTGTCTGCAATGCAGGAATCGCAGTTAACGTCCCGCATTGCATTCATGTTAAGGCTGCAGGTGGCATCTATGACCAGGCCCCAAAATCAACTTGGGGTATCACAACTGTAAGCAAACAACCTAGCAGAATGAGAGAAGATGTTGCTAAAAGCTTGAGAAAAGAAAATGTGGTCAGTCCCTCCCTCCACAATGCACACAGAAAGTAGGCACTGGGCATATATATCTGAGGAAAGGTTGGGATTCTGTGACAAAGAAGGAGAGATGTGCCTGTCTTCCTCATTATTAACATTCAGAAGGAATGGAAAAACAGTACTATCCACCCAGGCATTTGACGGCTGAAAGATACTACCCTGGCATCCTTGAAATTATTACCTGTGAGGGTATGTGACGGAAATAATAATAATAATAATAATAATAATAATAATAATAATAATTTATTATTTATACCCCGCCCATCTGGCTGGGTTTCCCCAGCCACTCTGGGCGGCTTCCAAAAGAACATTAAAATACTGTGATACATCAAACATTAAAAGCTTCCCTAAACAGGGCTGCCTTCAGATGTCTTCTAAAAGTCTGGTAGTTGTTGTTCTCTTTGACATCTGGTGGGAGGGCGTTCCACAGGGAGGGCGCCACTACCGAGAAGGCCCTCTGCCTGGTTCCCTGTAACTTTAAAAGCTATAAAATATGTTTTCATTTTATTCTATTCGCTTTGTTCCACTGCTGGTGTGAACTCCTTTTGGGGGAAGGTGGGAAAGCCATTTAAGAAGAGTTTGGATTTGATCTCCCGCTGTATCACTACCCTAAGGAGTCTCAAAGTGGCTAACATTCTCCTTTCCCTTCCTCCCCCACAACAAACACTCTGTGAGGTGAGTGGGGCTGAGAGACTTCAGAGAAGTGTGACTAGCTTAAGGTTACCCAACAGCTGCATGTGGAGGAGCGGGGAATCGAACCCGGTTCACCAGATTACGAGTCCACCGCTCTTAACCACTACACCACACTGGCATTTAAGGAATCCTCACCTCAAAGTGTGGGCAGGTTCACCTGGAGAAAAGATCTCTTCCAGGTGTTTTGCTCTTTTCAAAGCTCAGCAGAATTTACCTCTCATAACTGCATCGTTATCTGTTAAACTGAATGTTCTGAAAGGGACAGGGATGGTTGACTTAAAAAAACGCTAAAGCCAGATGGGGAAATCCATTTTCTCTCCCTCTCCCCTTTACCTCATGCCCTTGGTCATCCACAATTGAGATGTAGTTGGGATTTGTTTCATTTGGGTAGGACAGCAGAACGTCGTAGGCAGCCAGTTGAACCGAATCCAGGCCAAATTCCTTCCACTGGGCCTGTATTTGTTTGGCCAGGCGCAGGTTCTCTGGTGTGCCTGCCAAGTGAGGCAGCCGAGTGAAATTACTGCAAAAGAGGAGAAGGGTATAATGAATGAAATCACATTTATTTATTTTTTCATTGGGCTTGCTGCTGCTGTTGGACGTCGGTCCTCGCTGTGCAAGTTGCACAAATCGCAGCCAGGTGACCATCTTGACCAAAGGTGGGTCACTGACAGGAGCGAGCCAGCAGCAAACCACACCAATCCAGCAGGAGTTAACTCTTTAATAGCAAAACAGGATGTCTAAAAGAGTGTCAGGCCTAATAAGCACAGAAACTGAGGTCTTGCTCCATGGATGTAGCCAGGATTTTTTTTGGGGGGGCAGGACTTTGTTAGGGGGGCAAAACTGATGTGACTCATCAGTTAGTTAAGTATTTATCACACACACACACACACACACACACACACATACATATACATATTCTGTTTTGCAATTTAGAATATTAAACAACCTTAAGATACCAATAACTTCCCTTCTTCTCTTTCTATGCTTCACTTTGCGTATCACAAATCCCTGCATATTTTACATAAGCGAAACCATTCACTATTCCATTATTACATCCATCAAAACTTACTTACACTGTTGAATTTATCTTAATGCTGCCAACGTTTCCAATGTACACAATCTCCCCCCATATATTCAATAAACATTTTCCAATCTTCTTTAAACGTGTGTTCTCCTTGTTCTCTTATTCTATATGTTAGGTCCGCAAGCTGCGCTTATTCCATCAGTTTAAGTTGCCATTCTTCTTTAGAATGTTTTACTTGATTTGGGGGGGGGGGGGAGTTGCCCCCTTGCCCCCCCCCCGGCTATGCCCTTGTCTTGCCCCCATGAATCAAATTGCTGAGACTAAAGATCCACAACTTCCCACAGCCAGGTATGTCTCCTCCTCTCCAGCTCCCCCCCCCCTCAAGCAATCAGAGACTGCACCGGTGTGTCTCTCTTTGCTTCTCCCGCTACATGCCTCTCCTGGTTCTAGGAGACCAAACAGGAAGACAGCTTATCACAGCAGGATGGGGAGACACCATAATAATATTAATAATAATTTATTATTTATACCCCGCCCATCTGGCTGGGTTTCCCCAGGCATTCTGGGCGGCTTCCAATTGAATATTAAAAACAATACAGCATCAGACATTAAACACTTCCCTAAACAGGGCCGCCTTCAGTTGTCTTTTAAAAGTAAAATAGTTGTTTATTGCCTTGACATCTGCTGGGAGGGCATTCCACAGGGCAGGGGCCACTACTGAGAAGGCTCTCTGCCTGGTTCCCTGTAACCTCACTTCTCTCAGCGAGGGAACTGCCAGAGGGCCCTCAGCGCTGGACCTCAGTGTCCGGGCTGGATGATGGGGGTGGAGGCGCTCCTTCAGGTCTACTGGGCCAAGGCCGTTTAGGGCTTTAAAGGTCAGCACCAACACTTTGAATTGTGCTCGGAAACATATTGGGAGCCAATGAAGTTCTTTGAGGACCGGTGTTATGTGGTCTCGGCGGCCGTTCCCAGTCACCAGTCTGGCTGCTGCGTTCTGGATTAATTGCAGTTTCCAAGTCACCTTCAAAGGTAGCCCCATGTAAAGTGCATCTAAGTGGGAGATAACTAGAGCATGCACCACTCTGGCAAGACAGTCTGTGGTCAGGGAGGGTCTCAGCCTGCGTACCAGATGGAACTGGTAGACAGCCGCCCTGGACACAGAATTGACCCCTGAGCCTCCATGGACAGCTGTAAGTCCAAAATGACTCCCAGGCTGCACACCTGGCCCTTCAGGGGCACAGTTACCCTATTCAGGACCAGGGAGTCCCCCACACCTGCCCGCCCCTTGTTCCCCAAAACAGTACTTCTGTCTTGTCAGGATTCAACCTCAATCTGTTAGCTGCCATCCATCCTCCAACTGCCTCCAGGCACTCACACAGGACCTTCACCGCCTTCACTGGTTCTTCTTCACAAGGCTTCTTCACAAGCCTGACCCATCTCTGCCTCTCACCATCTTTCCTCTCCTTCATCAGCTTCTGCCCAGATTCTGGACACTCCTCAATCCCTAGGCCCTGTTACCTCTTCAGTCACTCAGCTCGCACCACCACTATTTCTGTTTCTTTGTTTAAGGCAGCCTTCCACAACCTGGTGCCCTCTGGCTGATTTGAACTACTGCACATTTCCCATCTATGTCAGCCCTGCTACCATGCCGGCTGGGGCGGAGGAAAAATTTGATTAAACAAATCGTTAATTATTTTTCACTCACAGGTTTCTCAACTGCTTTGCGGTAAAAAAAAAAGTTAGCAACTCAGTGTACAAGAAGTTTAAGATAAGATAAAATACACAGGATGCGCTTCCAGACTATTACCGGCTCAGCACTAAATCCGCCTCCACCTTGCGGGCTCCACCTTGATCGTTTTTAGGTGTTGCCCATGGGCCTTTGATGGCATGGGGTTACCTCGTCTTGAGAAAGTTCTGAAATGTACCCCAAGTGTGTTGGTTGGTTTGGCCAGTTGGCATGCTTGCTAAAGCCCTAAACAGCCTCGGCCCAGTATACCTGAGGGAGCTTCTCCACCCCCATTGTTCAGCCCGGACACTGAGGTCCAGCTCTGAGGGGCTTCTGGCGGTTCCCTCACTACGAGAAGTGAGGTTGGAGGGAATCAGGCAGAGGGTCTTCTCAGGGGTGGCTCCTGCCCTGTGGAACGTCCTCCCACCAGATGTCAAAGAAATAAACAACTATCTGACTTTTAGAAGACATCTGAAGGCAGCCCTGTTAAGGGAAGCTTTTAGTATTTGATGAATTCTTGTATTTTAATTTTTTGCTGGAAGCCGCCCAGAGTGGCTGGGGAAACCCAGCCAGATGGGTGGGGTATGAATAATAAATTATTATTATATACAAGCTATGCTTTCTGTTTAACTCAGATTTGTTGCACGATGGGCAAGAAGTGAATTAGAACCTCTCTGCATCTCTAAAGATAGATCTACAACTTGGCCAAAAGCAATTCTGGAGATGTAAAGCTCCGGTTGGAGGCAGGAATTCACCAGTTGCTGGAAACCACAGGAGGGAAAATGCTCTTTCGTTTGGATCCTGAATGCGGGTTTCTCACAGACATCTGGCCTGGCCACTTTGAGAACATGATGCTGGACTTAGATGGACCATTGGCCTGATCCAACAGGCTTGTCTAAGGTTCTTATGTGCTTAAATAAAAGCTGTGATTGACTAAGCAATTCAAACCTACATGCTTATTCTTTTGGCCTTTAAGTGGCATTGTATATTGTATTGTTGCTTTATTGCTATGGCCGTTGGCTGACGCAAATAAAAATTCATTCATTCAGTCAGTCAGTCATTCATTCATTCACCCTGCATCCATTTTGTAGGCATCTAAAATGTGTAACACACCCTCATGAACAAGTATGAATAAAAGGAGGAAAATGTTCCTCTTTAACACTGCTTAACAATCACAAAACCCACTGAGCTGGCGCTGGGTGGACAAACGTCAACATATTAGCATTTATTAACTGGAACACTGACTCATTTGCTAAATAAGTCTAAGCGATAGTTTTCTTTCCTACTTGAAAACGTGCTCTGCGTGCCAGCTTTTTGATTACTAAACGCTTGCCATGGACTAAAAACGCTGTAATTACAAATGTATGCCGCTAAGTTAATCTCAGGAAATGCCACCAAACTGAATAATATATTTTAGCCTGCAGTCCTGGCACCATCAAAGGTACTTCAGTGTAGCTTGTTCATCCTGGCTCACCTGTGGCTCAACCAGCTGAGCTGAATCTGGCTGAGGCAAGGCCAGAACATTTCACCTGCCCGCTTGGCAAAGAAGACTATTTTAAAGGCTTGCTTTCCCTCTACCAGGCATAGGAAGAGCGACAGCCCTGCTGCTGATCAGGGTTTACATCTGATGTAAATTTACACCAGCTTCTTGTACATAGGAAAGCTACATGGGTCTGGTTGGCTTATAATTCTAATACTAATGCTAATACTAACACTAATACTACTACTACGACGACGACTACTACTACTACTACTAATTTATTATTTATACCCCGGCCATCTGGCTGGGTTTCCCCAGCCACTCTGGGTGGCTTCCAACAGAACACTAAAATACAATAATTATTAAACATTAAAAGCTTCCCTAAAAGGGCTACCTTCAGATGTCTTCTAAAAGTTTGGTAGTTGTTTTTCTCTTTGACATCTGGTGGGAGGGCATTCCACAGGGTGGGTGCCACTACTGAGAAGGCCCTCTGCCTGGTTCCCTGTAACTTGGCTTCTCGCAGTGAGGGAACCGGCAGAAGGCCCTCGGCGCTGGACCTCAGTGTCCGGACAGAACGATGGAGGTGGAGATGCTCCTTCAGGTATACTGGAATGAGGCCGTTTAGGGATTTAAAGGTCAGCACCAACACTTTGAATTGTGCTCAGAAATGTACTGGGAGCCAGGGTAGGTCTTTCAAGACCAGTGTTATATGGTCTTGGCACCCAGTCTACTTTTAATTTTTCTTCTTTTTTTCCTCCTGGAGGTTAGCTACCCCTGACTTAAGGGCTCCTTGCTGCAATGTGCTTGAAGTATCTAATTTAAGGCAGTCTCTAAAAATGGCAGCATATACCAGGAATATTTGCACCATAGAGATGCATGGCTAGAGCAGTTACCCATATCTGCCTTCTTGTTTCTGTTATTCAAATACAGGGTTGTTATTTTTCAGTTCAGTGCCACAAGTTCAGGACTGTGCATCAGTCTTTTTCTTTTTTTCTAGTGTTTGATCAGGGATGATAGCCAGACAAAAGAAATGAGTGTGCACATCGTGGACAATGAACCCCTTATCTTGCCACTTCTAACTCTCAAAAAAGCTATTATATATCACCAGCTTGGGGGTGAATTTAGGCATTGATCTAATTCTCTTTTGCCCTGTCTTTTGTTTTTTTCTTGGGATGGGAAAAGTAAAGATTCAAAACAAATAAATAATCCTGTACAACTAGAATCAGAGATCAGAAATCTACCATTTCTGATAGATCTCTGGTGACTGAGCTTATTGTCATTTGCTAAAACCACCTTGTTCCAAAAGAGTCGCAAAAAGTGGTTTCTGGGTCAATTTAAAGGCACACACACAAATCAACGCAGTGCACTTTGCTTACTATAAAAATTGCTTGATATTTGCAGCTTTCATTTCTGTCATAAACGCCTTCTTCATCTTCTCGTGAGAACCTGTTGCTGGCAAATGACCTTCAGGTTTGCTCAGCCAACCTGCAAGACAGACCAGAGAGAGCTGCAACAACTGCACCTGCCATCACAGAATCACAGAATTGTACGTTTGCAAGGGACCCCAAGGGTCTTCTAGTCCACCCGTCTGCTTAAAAACATGGAATCCAACATGGCGGTGGCAGTGTCAACTCATTGACTGAAGACCCAAATCCTAGACAGACATGGCTTAAAGGCCATTTGCTTGTTACAGAGTGAGTTTTATCCATACAACTGTTGAGGTTCATAATGTTAACCATGCATTCACCTTCATGGAATATGAAAAAATGCCAGAGGAAATCCATTCATTTTTACTGATTGCTAAAATTTCAGAAACTGGGAAGGCTGGGGAGAGAAACATTTTCCCCTACTAATTTGTTTCTTTGTCCTCTCCTTCTATAGTCTTTATTTTTAAATAAATAAATAAATAAATAAATTGTAAGCTCCTTTGGGGCGAAGGCATACCATTTTGGTTTGTTCACCTAGGGTTAATGTCCACCAGACATTTGAAGCACAGTTAAAGCACAATCCCCCCCCCCAAAAAAAACCCTAGGGGCTGTAGTTCACCCCTCATGAAGCTACATTTCCCAGCACCCTTAACAAGCCACAATACCCAGGATTTTTGGGGATAAGACATGAGATTTAAATTGTGTGCATACAGCCTTTGTAAAGGGTTTATTTATGTGCATTGGTTCTAGTGTAAATAAATAGCAAGCGGGACCCTGCAACAAAATGTTGCAGTGTGAAGTGCTTCCATTCAGGAATCCAAAACACAAGGAACCCACTGAGCATGTCCAGTTCTCATGGGTTTGTTTTTGAGGTGCCCCACAGGGTTTTATTGTCCCCAAAGCCTGACGATACTGAGTGTATGTATGTGGGGCCATTAGGCTCCATAAGCAATGAAAGTCTCCCCTTGAAGACGCAAAGGGATGGAGTAGAGAAGTTTGAAATGATTTTAACACGCAGAAATTGAATTTTGTTTTTTGTTCTGTTCTGTTTAAAGCAAAGCAAATGTGCCTTTAACGGGCAAGAGAACAGACAGACAAGCAATGCCTTGGCACATCAGATCAAAGATCCACCTGCAGTCCAGTCCACCTGCATGTTTACTCAGAAGTAAGTCCCTTCAGCATTCAAGGGGGCTTACTCTCAGCAGGTAAAGTGCAACCACAACCAAACCAACCCCACCAAACCCACAAGCAAGACACAAAAACAGCACTCTGTCCTTAGCAACCAGCACTCAAAGGTATTTTGCTGCAGTATGCAGAGGTTCTCTTGAATGATCACAACTTGTCACTGTTGACTTTGCCCTCCGTGAATCTTTCCGTTTTTTAAAAGCCACTGACTTATGCTGCTGAGCGAATACCGCAAATCCACTTTGTCTGTTCTTAGTAGCTGCAAGAGGGGAAGGCGAGAGCTTTCCATGCCTTTTTTAAAACCCTCATCTGTTCAAATCTTTAAAGAAACAAAGCTTCTTGCTTGCAGACTAAAACAACTTTTTTCCCCTCTTAAACTTTCTTCTTCCCCTCCTAACAAGTTCCAGGAGGAGAACTCGCTCCCTGGAATGCGAAGGCAATTATTTCCCTCCCCTAATGAGTGACAGAGCAGCAGCGCATGCAATTCGACCTCCAGCAACTCTTCCCCAAGCCCTTTTGCAGATAAAACGAGACTCTTGGCTCAGCCCGCACCATACCAATGAGGAATCCGAGGAGGAACACGCCAACTGCCACCCCCACGGCCAGCACCCAGGAACGGCTCCTGTTGCCCCTTGCGTAGGTGGGCTCGGTGGCAGCATGCAGGGAGCTCCACATCCTTCCTGTTGCAAAAGAAAGCTTTCCCAGGCTCTGGATTGCGCCTGACCTCTTCCAGTCCCCTGCCACATATACAGAGAGAGAGAGAGAGAGAGAGAGAGAGAGAGAGAGAGAGAGAGACTCTGTACAAGGGGGCAAAGTCCTCACACTTTTCTTCTGCACACAGATCTCGACTCCTCCTGCAGGCTGCGAAGAGGGCAGGCAGAGACGAGAAGGATCCTCTGCAAACCAGGCTCCAAGTGCTGTAGCGCTGCCAAGGTCTGCGGCCTGGCACTGCCATTCCTTCGCTCAGGAGGAGAGCAAAGCCAGGAACAGGTGTCTTCTCAGACTGAGGCCACCGCTGTCCCACTGGGGATGCTCTGGAAGGGCTGGGCTGGTTTGGCAGCCTCGGTTTTGGCAGCATCCGTTGTCAATTAATGAGAGGCGCCCTTCATGAATAAATGAATCGCACAAACAGGCAAAGGTGTTGGCCGTCATAAATACAGGGATGGGGAAACGGTGGCAACCCAGATGTGGGCAGACTCCAGTTCTCATCTTTACCAGCCAGTATGGCTAAGAGGGACGCGGGTGGCGCTGTGGGTTCAACCACAGAGCCTAGGACTTGCAGATCAGAAGGTTGGTGGTTCGAATCCCCGTGACGGGGTGAGCTCCCGTTGCTCGGTCCCTGCTCCTGCCAACCTAGCAGTTCAAAAGCACATCAAAGTGCAAGTAGATAAATAGGTACCGCTCTGGCGGGAAGGTAAATGGCGTTTCCGTGCACTGCTCTGGTTCGCCAGAAGCGGCTTAGTCATGCTGGCCACATGACCCGGAAGCTGTACGCTGACTCCCTCAGCCAATAAAGCGAGATGAGCACCACAACCCCACAGTCAGCCACGACTGGACCTAATGGTCAGGGGTCCCTTTACCTTTACCTATGGCTAATAGTGAGGGATGTATTCCTTTCTGATGGATCAAAGAGGACATAGACAGGAAGGGAGTCTGCCTTTCTATGTGTGGATAAATGATAAGATATATACAATATAAATATAAATATGACAGAGAGTCTTTTAAGTTACACTTTTTCTATTACTTTTGCTCTTTTTCTTTTCTATACAATTGCGTTTTGTATTTTCCCTAGGGAGTTGTTGTTTAGTTGTGTCCGACTCTTTGTGATCTCATGGACCAGAGCATGCCAGGCACTCCAGTCTTCCTCTGCCTCCCGCAGTTTGGTCAAATTCATGTTCATAGCTTCGAGAACACTGTCCAACCATCTCGTCCTCTGTCGTCCCCTTCTCCTTGTGCCCTCCATCTTTCCCAACATCAGGGTCTTTTCCAGGGAGTCTTCTCTTCTCATAAGGTGGCCAAAGTATTGGAGCTTCAGCTTCAGGATCTGTCCCTAGGGAGAGCATTGCACAAATGGGAAGCTACTGCAGAAAAGGCCCCGTTCTCGTGTTGCCACCCTTTGGACCTCTCATGGAGAAGACACACGGAAAAGGGCCTCAGAAGATGATCTCAGAGTCTGGATTGGTTCACATGGGGAGAGGCAGCCCTTGAGGCACTGTGGTCCTGAGCTGTTTAGAATCCTATTTTGGCATTATGTGGTATAAAGTAATTATAATAATGGGTGTTTTGCAGAGCCCATTTTCCAAGTCAGAAATAAATAAATAGGCAGTGCTGCGGACTGATTTGTGTCAGACTAAGACCTGAGAGACAGGATTCAAATCCCCACTTGACCACAAGGCTCGCTTGGTGGTGCGTGGTCACAAACACTGCCTCTCACCCTGGCCTACTTCACAGGGTTGTTGTGGGTTTGGGGGAGAACCACATGCATGATGACCACTTACAGGTCCTCGGAGAAAAAGGTGGATTATAAATGCAATGTTTAAAGACCAAATAAACTGTATTGCATTCTGCCTTCCTATGGCTCCCATTCACCTTGCATGTTCAAGGAGGCTGCAGGCCTGTTTGTTTTATGTGCCTTTCTGAGTGAAAGAGAAAAACCATAGTTCTGTCGGTAGAACATGATGGGTGGTGGGTTCAAGCCGCACATTGGGCAAAAGATTCCTGCATTGAAGCGGGTTGGGCTAGATGACCCTTGTGGTCCCTTCCAACCTTAAAAAGGTAGGTAAAGGGACCCCTGACCATTAGGTCCAGTCGTGACTGACTCTGAGGTTGCGGCACTCATCTCGCTTTATTGGCCGAGGGAGCCGGCGTACAGCTTCTGGGTCATGTGGCCAGCATGACTAAGCCACTTCTGGCGTACCAGAGCAGCGCACGGAAACGCCGTTTACCTTCCCGTCGGAGTGGTACCTATTTATCTACTTGCACTTTGACATGCTTTCGAACTGCTAGGTTGGCAGGAGCAGGGACTGAGCAATGGGAGCTCACCCCATCGCGGGGATTCGAGCCGCCTACCTTCTGATCGGCAAGTCCTAGGCTCTGTAGTTTAACCCACAGCGCCACCCACGTCCCTTCCCCTTCCAACCTTACAATTACACAATTCTATGATCCCTTATTTAATTCTAGGAAGCAAGCAAGCAAAGGAAGCAGCTTTCACTTTCCACTAATGTTTCAAATTTACCACTAGATGGCAGGATTACACCACAAACAATTGCTGCCATCATACCCCGCTTTCTAGGCTTTTAAATAAGAAATTATCAGTTGCAGAAAACCGCTTCCTTCCCTGCGCAGGCTTGTAACACGGTGATCTATGGGGCAGCCCACCTTTCCCGCCTACCCTCCCTCTGTGGTACATTTGTCAGCTGCCTTCCTTTCCTCCCAACCTTAGAACCAATATGGTTATAGCTGTGTTGGATGTTTTGCCTGCTAACATCTGTAGGAGCGCAGTACTTTTTTTCTTCTAAAACAAAGTTTAGGGGTACTCTCATTTTCCTACTCATACTGAAATACTGCCCCTCAATGAGGCCAAATTTAGATTCACAAAATGCTTAGGGGTATGCGTACCCCTGCGTGTCCCCCAGAAAAAAGCACCGTAGGAGTGTATATATGCATTGTTTGTGTGCGTCCACATCTCTGTATCTTTTTGGCACGTGCTCAAATCATTCCTGTTTTGGTAAGCCTCCCCAGAGGCTTAGAAATTTGAGGTAATTTTAATACAGTGGTACCTCAGGTTACAGACGCTTCAGGTTACAGACTCTGCTAACCCAGAAATAGTACCTTGGGTTAAGAACTTTGCTTCAGGATGAGAACAGAAATCGCGCCGCGGCAGCGGGAGGCCCCATTAGCTAAAGTGGTACCTCAGGTTAAGAACAATTTCAGGTTAAGAATGGACCTCCGGAACGAATTAAGTTCTTAACCTGAGGTACCACTGTAATACTTTAACTTGTGTGTGTCTTTTGTAAACTGCTTTGAGTTGGATTTTGTTTTTGTTTTAGAATTAAGCAGTGCATAAATTTTATGAAACAAACAAACAAAATATCTCCACAGCCCACACTTCGCTTTAAGAAATAAAATAATGAAAGCTGAATGTTTTTGTGACAGGTGGCACACAGGAGGGGGACAAATGACCCCCCCAATTAAAGGAGATCACTCTGCATTTATTTTCCTGCCCCCCCCCCATTTCTGAACTCCTGTCATTAGCCCGTGCTGTTATTTTTCTTCCTTGCTCACCTAGAAATATGCTTTGCTCCTTCTGTGTCCCCCTCCCCAGTTATTTTTCTCATGTTGCCACTGGGTGGAGGAATATACACAGTGGGACTTGACCGTACGAGCCCCCACCCCAAACCCCAATTTCATGGACAGTAGTGTTATGTACTGAAGTTCTCACCCTGGGCCAGCAGGGGGATACTGTAGATAGTTTTCACTCAGGTCCACATATGCAAATAAGGAATTGAAAATGACGTTCAGTGATTGGATAGTTACAGAAAGTTGTTACTGTTGCGTTGTAGTTGAGCTCGCTATAAGCAGGCTGACTGAACCCTTCAGCCCAGTTCTGTTCTGGCCTGTGAATAAACAAGAGCTGTTTGAAGAATCACTGTGTCTTCTGATATGTTCACCCACAACTTAACAGGTAGGAGGCAGTTTTTGCAAATGCCACCTTTCTCTTGCAGCCCTCAAGGCCATCTCCCCTGCTCCCACCAAATTCTGTCCCAAAGGTTTCACCAGCCCTTTGGGGATTTGGGGATGGGAGCAAAGGAAGGGAGGGATGATAGAGGATTGCCTCCCAGCGGGCCTTCATAGACGCCTCCTCTGGATCAAAGAGCTTCTATGAATGGTTGCAATTGGGGAAGGGACAGGACCAATGGCTAAAATGTTTTTATTTGAAAGACAGTCAAATCGATCTTTTAATCTACTCCTTGACAATGCCTGATGGATGCTTATATTTATGCGCTTTATTAGAAATATTGTGAATGTGTGCTTTAAATTCTGTTTTCCCTCTCTGATTAGTTGAGAGGGGTATTACTGGGTTGTTCTTCTTTTTATTTTGATTGTGTATTTTGTGTTTCTATATTGTGATTTTATCCTGTGAACCACCCTGAGACCTGTGGGTATAGGTGGTATATAAATTAATAACAACAGCAACAATAATAATGCCCTTGCCAGTTTTAAAGCAAAGCACAGCTTTATATTTTGTCTGCTAATTCAGTTGCATGCAGATAGCTATCATTTAAATAGATTAGACAATGAAAACCTTTTACTGTCCAATTGAATTTTATTTGTCTGTTGGTTTATAGAGCTGCAATAACATCAAAAGATCAGAATGGTTTGCAAAACTCTGGGCAAGCACATGCTCCAGCCTGAGGAGACCAGCCAGGGTGATGAGTTTCCCCACAAATTCACATAGTAGTAGTAATAATAATAATAATAATAATAATAATTGTCAGGGGTTCTGGGACAGAGGCACAGGGTAGGCAGGAGATGGAGAGCGATGGGGATGAATCCCAGGACAGCGAGGAAGAGGATGACAATGACTCAAGAGATTCCATGAGTCTTTCCAGCGAATCAGAGGATTCCCAGAAGGGGGCGCCGGTGGTCAAAGTCAGGGGAGCCCCAGGGGGGACGTGTCGGGAGCAGGGGGCCAGCGGGGGATCCCAAAGTGGCAGCTGGGCATCAGGACCAGCCTCCCTGCCAGAGTGCAGCGAAGGGAGTGGAGGTTCCAGTGTATCAGGGGAAGCAGCTCCGGCAGCAGAGAAGGGAGGGAGGTCGGAGCAAGCCACCCTCCCGGAAGGGGAGGGGAGTAGT